TTTAATTGGCCGACCGCTGACCTATACGTATGACTGATGTTCCGCTGCGACCTGATGATCTATTGAACAGGGTGGGCCGTTTATCTTGGGACACTACCTTATCTCAGAAACTATAGAGGATGAAGCCAAAAGAGAAATACAAAAATTAATTAGGGTATTACAAACCTTCAATTTATTTTAATGTTGTATAAACATTGTGTTTCATTTTTCGTAGGCAAGTATCAACTTTCTTATTTTAAATGGAAGACGTTTTTGACATTTTGCAAGACATAAATTATCTGCCAGTTTCGTCATTCGGAAGCGTCTATTGCTTCACTTGAGTAAGTTTTGTTGTAGACAAAGGACTCGAATAACGGATTTCATAAGAAATTTCGATACATTTGAATACAGGGTACGCGAAAAATAAAATTAAAAATGAAATTTGCAAATGAAAAAACTGCAAAAACTTTTTTTTTAATGGAAACTATCTACTTTTATAATCTTGTCATATTTACCATTAAAAATTAAGGCAATTTTATATAAGGTTGTATATGCCTAATAATTTTACTTTTTGAAATATCTCCTTTTAAACATTTGTCAATCATAAATAATATGCTGTGGCCATATACGTTCAGTTAATATAAGGTGGCTATGATGGCGTTTGAACAAAACAAGTGCTGAAGTGCTGTCATTATGATTTACCATTTTATAAATGACCATAATCTTGCCGATGCGCTTATAATGACAGGTTATGTATACGCAATAACGTTGGTGAATATTTTATTAACGAACGATAAAAAAAATAGCTTACAAAGGATAATAATTATTATCACAGTTGTTCAATATGTCCTCTACTTTGAGCAACACAAGTAGTATAAAGGGTTTCTAAATACATAATCGCATTTCTAACAGATTCAGTCTCATTTACATATCCGATACCTTCTCTTATCCGTCGTTTAAATTCCTTGGCAGTTGACGGTTTCCGTTTGTAAATTAAATCTTTCAGTGTACCGCATCGAAAAACATCTAAGGGAGTTAAGTCCGGGCTCCTTGGAGGGCCAGGCGTAACTACGATTGTCCCCAATCCATTCTATATGTGCATTTAAATAGGTGCAAATTTCGTGAATTCTGTGATAAGGAGCGCCATCCAAATTAAATTTCGCCGTTCCCTTTCAGGCACTTCATTTTCAATAAAGGAATGGATAATATTTAAAAGCCCTAAGTAGCGTTGAAAATTTAAGTTCTCATCAAAAAATACTAAACCTATTATTCTGAACTTCCAAATGGCGCACCATACTTTGACAGAATTTCTAGATGTACTAGATGTCTCAACCACGCTTGGCAAGATCAAATTTTCATTCCTTTCATCTGGAGGTTTGTTCCTCTTTACCTTAGCAAAACTCCCGTAGGTGACAAGGTTGTTTTTCAGACTCCTAAACATAGTTCTACGGCAGAGAATAAAACATTCCAACATATCATGCTTATCACTATTTGAAAAGTAATTCATTTTAAAACTCACTTTTTATTAACTTTACACAACTGACACTGATTACGAATCACCTGGGATACGCTGGCATGGCCAGATTGATGCAAAATAAACATAGCGATATCAAAGCCTACTTCCTGCAATCTAATTTTTGTTATTTTTCCGGATTAAACATAGCGATATCAAAGCCTACTTCCTGCAATCTAATTTTTGTTATTTTTCCGGATTTATCTGAACCAAACATAAATGGGTTACACATTTTTAAAAAGGATTTTGAAAATGTAAAAATTGAATATGGCGCCCATAAGAAAAACAATAGTAGCCGTACGCAACATAGTTCTGAAATTTTTTTGACGCCATTTTTAGCATTGCCATATTCTTATATCCTATTCTTATATCTTATATATGAAAATTTGTACATTTCAGCTCCTATAATGAAGAAAATATTTTGGGTTTCCAAAAATATACATTTTCCTTTTTCAACCTTAAGGGTATTGATTTAAAATAAAACAAAGCTAGATTATTTTTCGGCATACACATACGGTGCTTTTCTTTCATTTAAGCGATGCTGTATCTCAGTTTCCAATGTCTCCATGTACATCATCTTATACCTTATATTCCTGCTCGAATTTGAACATCTTATATGATTCTCGGCTGTATCATTACCTACTTGACGGGATCAAAAAATTTTTATCTCGATTTGACACAATAATGTTTTTGTTTCTTAGCTTTATTGTCAATTTTGGGACAGTAAATCATTAAGTGTGAAACATGTATTTTTTCAGAATGACGAGCTCAGAATCTTGAACAAAAAATGCTGGTCTGTATTTAAAGAAACGGAGTTGATGATGGGCACACAAACTCGATATGTCATACTTAAAATTCAATAATGCCTACTTGTAGGACCGAAAAAGGTGAAGTGAAAAGGTGGAGTTTGTTTTTTTTTTAACTAAGGCCAGGAAAAAGTCCCAAAATGACCATCTTGGCGCCCTTTAGCGACCTCGTATCTCTTACGTTTTTCAAGATCCCAATAATCCTCGTCGAAATTGGGACAGCCTGTATAGTATATGTAGAGTCGACATATAGTACAATGCCAACAATCCGCCGGCCCCCTCCGAGCTTCCCAAAGGATGATAAACGACGCGGATGCGTCCGGTTCGACCCCGAAGCCCCAACTTTTCGAAGATCCGACCCGGGGGCGGCCGGCCGGGGGCCATCCCCAGATATTAATATGTCGTTTGGCGCGTCGAGCTCCGAAAGTCGTCGGGACGCCGCCACGTGCGGGATATTGCGGGATAAGTAGAAATATATCCGCGGGGTCCGTAAACTTTGTTTCGTTTAGGGAGGCGGCCAAGCCTGCCACCCCCATCGCTTTTTTGATGTCGTACGCTGGTGATTTAGTCCCGCGGTTATTTTGCGAATTCAAAATGGACGTGCGGAATGCGGAATTCGCTAGTCTAATGTTTAAATTCTAATGCGTCCCCCCTCCCCCCACCTAGCTAGTTTTGTATTACTCTGGCGATTTGAATTGTACATGACGTGGAGAAACGGACGGAATGCCTAAAAACAGCAACGGCGCACCAACAGGAAGCGTGATTTGACTTTGCACTAGCTTTACGAAATGGTTTTGGTTGGCTTCGATTGTCTATGGTTGACCAAATGAGAAATTAAAGGTTTTTTTTTAACATTTTCCTTCGCTGAATCAATATTTCATCAAAAAAAACTAACCGAAACTACATAAAAATTGCCAAAACGGAAATATTAACTGTCAACTATAATCAATCAAAAAAATATATTGCAAAGTCATTTTAAAAAAATACAATATCCTAAAGAGGGGCCCCAAACCACACCAGCAGAAGAATGCACCTAAAAAATAGTTTAAAAAGTGCAAAATAATTTGTTTTTTAATATAAATAAATTTATTTTAATTAACAATTTTAGCTTCGGAAAATAGACATAGAATTTTAAGAACATAATTGACCATTATATTTTATGTTAAATTTTCTTATAATACTAACAAATGAACTTAAACTTATTCTGATTGAATAAATTATTACATGACGTAAACGCTTGCGCGTTTGTAAGGGTATATACATAATCGCGGTCTATTTTTAGAGCAAGTAATAAACTTTAAAATTGGTATTCCGTGTGCGCTACCAACGTTATTTTCATGCGAACTGCGCTACCGCGGGTTTGATCTCCTTTTGATGCTAAGGTCATTGATTATAGCCATAACTTTTGCCTTTAATTTAACGTTTTAATTGGGTGGAACTGCGAATAAACTGCTCGACATTACGTTCACCACGATGCTTATATTTTTTGATATATAGGGCGTCTAGTTTTTGGTGTACACACCATAACCGAATCGTCAGGAATTTTAATTTAAATATATATATATATATATATATATATATATATATATATATATATATATATATATATATATATATATATATATATATATATATATATATATATATATATATATATATATATATATATATATATATATATATATATGCAACTTCAATGTCATATGAAGGTGGGCTTTTTTATTATATCAGACATCAGACAAAACTTTCTTACAGGTGAATAATATATTTAGAACTTTTAAAAAACACACGTTTACTTGGTTTGACCTTGAAGTAGGCGAAGATCAGATAGTCTATAATAGATTCATATTCACTGACGCAAAAAATTTCCGTTTTTCGCCATTTCACCGAATTGTTTTTTTCAAACGCAGCTAGCTCGGAAATTAGCAGACATTAGTCAACTTTGCTTTAATCTTTACGGGCAATATAAATTCACGTCAAGTCAAGTAATTGCCGTCTTTGTTTCGAGCATAATCAAATCTTAATTGTTAATACACACGCGTAAACAATCGCAGACCGATGGCGGCCGCACGATCTCACGCCGAGGCCGCCTTTGCCGATAATAATTGGAGATGAGAAAAAACGACCCTGAACTTTTTCTTCGTACGTGTGAATAATAATTTCGATCATGGAGCTTCCGGCCGATCACAAAAAATATAATATTACGCCTGGAAGAACCCCCGTCATCGTCGCGACATTGTCTGCCAAGTGGTATCCATTGTAAGTTCCTGTTAGAAATATGTAATTGTGGCGCCATCTAACCATGAGTGTTGAAACAAATCGTTCGATATCCTATTTTTCCCAAGTTTTGGCAGGAGCCGCTAGGTGGTGGTTGTACCAAAATTATTGTAAATGTTTTATGTTAGATCATCTGGCCTGCTTATTTTCTTTTTAATGTAAATTAAAGTCCTCAAACGTTCAGTTTTATAAGCGATCAAAAAAATATCCCATCGAGAAATCGTAAATCGTAGGAAGTATATAGTTTGCGGCTCAAGTAACTGGGTAGCATCAATAATGATGGTAGTTATAAAAAGACCGAAATTATTGGATATGCAGACGCGAAAGAGATAACCATTTTTGGTACTCAATAACTTTGGGAGCTCAACAAAAAAATGGTAAAGTTTTCAATAGAGATCACGCACAAATAAATAAAAACTTGTAGACGATAGATTTATTAATAAAAATTACAGTTTTCTTAACTTTTTGTTCTGCTCGCGGAAAGACCGGTCGCGACGGGGCCTTTTTTTGATCGTCCTATCGAAGCCCTGTATCCAACGATTTCTCTTCTCCTCCCACGCGATCTGCTTCCGACCTGAAACGAGATTCGTTGCCCGTGAAAAGCCGCTCCCCCAACCTTCGCCGCCGATACTCACTTGCAGCGTCCTCGTTCTGTAGCGCATTTGAACTACCGGGCTTCTGTTTCGACGCCCCCTCCTCCTCCAACAGCGACGCGAACTCCTCCGCCGACGCGAACAGCGCCGAAACGTCCCCTTTTGCGTCGTCCTCGGCGAACTCCATATCCTCCTCTTCGTCGTCCTCCAAATCGTCCATCAAATCCAAGTCTTCGTCGTTGGGCTCCAAATCGCTGTCCCCTCCGTCGTCCGCTTTCCTCTTTGTTTTTCCGGAGACTTTGCCCATTTCGGGCATAAAATCGATGTCCGCCTCCTCTGCGTTGTCCGCGCCGGCCATCTTATCGAGCATTTCCTCAAACTCATCACTACCCACCGACTCCAAGTCGCTGTCTTCTTCCTCGTTCAAGTCCTGGTGCTGATAACGCCGTTGAAGGTAGCTGTACAAGAACAGCTCTTCCACAGGGATACTTTTGGTGTCCGCGTTCATGTAGTTTTTCGACCTCACGGGCAGCAACTTCACCCCCCGCGGCTTGTAGAACTTCCGCGCGCCCAAAGTGGGATGAATGCCCGGCTTTTCCTCGCTTTTCTTGGGGTTCTTGAACACGAACCGTTCGAGGAAGCGAATAAGGGTGAAATCCTTCAACGGGTCCCCGGAATACTTGATCGGGGCGCCTTCCAATAGGTTTTTCGCGTAAAGCGAGACGGTTGGATGGAAGTGACGCGCCAGCGGCAGCAACTCGGTGTAGGCGCAAAATTCGCCACCCCCGTATAGGGGGTTTCGCGCCAACGGATTATATTTGAGGCGGGGCCTGCGCGATTCACCGCCCGCCAGGTCGCGGTGACACCATCCGGGTCCCCGGATCAACTCCAGAGAGGCATTCAACAATTCCGGGTCGGGTTTCTCTTCTTCTTCTACGTCGGTGGGCGGGGCTGCTTTTTCACCCTCAGATGGCGTCTCCGTCGCATCGTTTTCATCTTTAATGTCGTAATACTTCTCTTCGTCGTCGCCGTCATCATCTTCCAGGCGCAACTCTGTTTGCTTCAGTATTAAAGGGCGCAGGTCGCCATTTTTACCAATCAACTGGGACGCGGTGTACAAAATGGCGCAGCAAAATGCCGGTTGGACGAACAGAGACACCTGGAGCAGACGTTTCACGAACGTTTTCACCCTGTTCACTTGCGTGTCTTTTTTGACCGCTTTATACACCAAAGACAACAGCATCGCCTGGTGGGACGTGTTCAGCAATCGTGGATCCGACAGCTTGCGATACAGCGCGCCATAAAACCTGTCCGCCATCTTGTCCAAGGTGACGTGTTGCAGTAACGCGAGCACCTGGACGCTCACGTTGAAGCTTCCCAGATGAACAAGTCGGTACAAAGTGTCCACGTGTTCGGCCATATCGTCGAATTCCATTTTTGAATAAGGGTAGGCACGATTTATGCCCATCAAAATGGCGGACATCATCCGGCTGTCGACGTCGCCCTAGAAGATGCGCACTGCACCAAAACCGCCGTCCATCCCAGGGAGCTTACCTTTTTAACGCACGCCTTGAAAAAGGCCAAGTAGAGCTGTATGAGCTTTTTGGCGACTTCCGGCTCATCGTGGTTGAGATAAAACTGACTCAGGAAGCAAAGGCAGTAGTACTGGGCTCGGCCCGATATGTTGGGACGGAAGAGTAGTCGCTCCACTTCAATGAGGACCATCTCCTGCTTGTTTGACTGCCATTTGCGGCGTCTGATTAGCAGCTGGGTGAGACAATATATGGCCTTGGACGCAACCTTCTGGGATGGGTCCCCTAGCTTATTGACAATGGACGCTAGCAATATCTGGAATATCAAGCTTGCCAAAACAACATTGTTGAATAGTTTCAGCCAATGTGGATTTGATGGGGCAAATTTTAGTTAGAATGGGACGGATAGTAATGGGAGTTGTTTTCTAGATCATGCACATTTATTCCAACAACAGGTTACTGTATTAAGAAATTGTTTATTTTTCTCAATTTATTTCCGAGTAATAACATAAAAAGTAAACAGAAAAAGATTTAAATTTTCTCACAAAACAAAGCAATTATGGTGAAATGTATATATTTTTTAAAATAATACTTTCAAAAAAAAAATAATGCTCTTTTCTGACATTAACATTAGAAAGGCTTAAATAATTTCAATTTCTAAATATATCAATTCGTGTACACTTTTTTCAAGGGTTTTTTTACACAGATATATAATAAATTGTTCTCATTGTAGCGTGATGCAAATATCTTGTCGGGTTGAGGCAATATAGGTTAAGAAACTGTCTTGTTAATATTTCGTTAATATTTTTTTGTGAGAAAAGTGAGTTTTTTAATGTGAAAAGGTGTTTTTGGACATTGTTACTACAAAGACTGATATCAAAAATACAGCAATAGTATAAAGTTTTGAATTTCAAGGTGTCATTGCACATGTAGGTAAACAAATCAATGACAGTTTCATAGCAGTTGTGGTGGTGCCTGTAAGTTGGAGGTCTGTGGTTTTTTTTAAAAGTCAGAATTTCTATTACTGTTTTCTACGCCATTTCAGAGCATACTAGGAAGTCAAACAGTATTTACCATATACATATATTTCCATAGAAACATGATTGCCTGGCTTCTGACATGAAAAATTTACTGCAGCGGAGTCAAAGATGCGCCACGATTATGGCTGTAAACTAATTTTAGTTAAGTACCATGAAAAACCTGGAAATTTAAATCCCTCAATGTGTAACAAACATGCAAATTGGTGGGTTAACAGGAAACAACAAATGGAACCAAAGGAGGAATATGCGAAACCGGTAATGGGAAAATTGCTGCCGGCTCATAAACGGGAAGTGTTTGTGGCAAGATCCAAGCAAGCTGGCACCTTTGTCTTACAAACAATATAGTGAACGACTCACGCGGGTCGAACATTTAATTGTATTTACAGATGAAGCAAATAAAACAATATATTTGAAATGAGAACCCACCTTTTCCTGCTCCGGATTGCCAACTAGAAGCTTAAACATGGCAGTTAGCGCTTTCTCTTTATTTTTTTCAACCGTGTCTTGCGCAGCAGCATTCAAAGCTTTCAAAAAACTGTGAAAAATTTCTTTAAGCTGATCCTCAAAGTACCACAGTGCTAACATTTTTCTCCGTTTCACACCATCACCTGAACATAAATCGCTCAAAAGCGACAAGGGTCTCTTGTCAAACACTTTTAGGCATTCCCTAGGTTTAAGCAAGTACGTCAAAAATAGATCGGTGAGTGTTTCTGAAAAGTATCCATGGAGTATATGCAATTAAGTTAGGCTGGCAAATTGTACCCATTACAGTGAAGCATTCCCGTTTTTTGCCCACTTTGACCAACGCGATGAGGTTCTGTAGGGTTTCCAAACTGCACAGTGGGTTGTCTTGTATGGTTAAAGCGTGCGCAGCGATTTTATCTGAAACGGTGCCCCCCGACATCATGGTCGTCATCCATTTGTTCCTGCTCCCGGCGTTGGCTTTACCGACTTTCGATTGTATCAGTTGATCCAGGCATCGCCTAGCCTCATCCTTTAAATCGATCAGAATTTGTTCTGATACAGGATCGAAATTTGCGGGTTCCTCAAAGGAATCCGTGTACCAGTTTTTAGGTGCTTCGTAGATTTCGTTTTGCTTTGTCGGTTTTCTATCGGTTTTAGGGATTTTCATGCTTGCTACGTACGCTGTTTGAACGAAGGGAACACGAACAGAACCAAACAACTTTTGATTCTTACCACCATTCCTTAACGTTTCGAAGGGTTAGGTTCAAATTTTTCTTCGTTAATAATGTTTGTTTTGGTTAAATTGGCTTATTTTGTTCCCATTTAGAAGGTTGCGAAGTCACAGAATACAACTACAGTTTAGTAGTCTGAGTCGATCGGGACTCGAGTTAGACCATAAGAACCCAGCCACATCAAAATTGTTTGTTCTTGTCGCTGGTTTCGTATACCAGAAAAAATCTACCGAGCGGTTATCATCATTGAATGACATCTCCTTGTTGTTATTTTTTAGTGAAAGCGGTTGCATAATTAAAGTTGTTTGGCCCAATTTAAATGAACTCATTGCCCTAACCAGTAAATTATTGTTCTACGGTCTTAGCCTAAAATTATTTTTCACAAATCAAATTTAAAATGTTTGCCACACAATTGCCGAAGAACGTAATACGTCGGTGTTGCAGTGCGAACGCGTTTGAAGCAGATGTTCGAAACAATTTCTGTGCTACAAGTTCATTTCAGAGAAGCGTCTTGATAGCGGGTTCCGCGCTCGTGTCCATACTGAACCCATACCGAGGCGACATGATCGCATGTTTTGCGGAACTAAGCGGGGAACGTGTTTTGAGGGATTTGAGAGCGAAAATGGAACGGTCATCCGAGGGAGCCCGAATTCTCGACGATCAGCCTCGTATCAACACTCGCACTGTACTATTAGACCATTTAAGCGGTCTACCCGAAGATACGTTGGGTAAAACGTATTTCGATTTTCTAAATAAATACCGTGTCACCCCCGACGAGCGTGTTATGGTCCAGTTTATAGAAGACCCTGGGTTAGCCTATGTAATGCAGCGGTATCGCGAGATCCACGACCTCATCCACACAGTGCTTCTCATGCCCACAAACATGCTCGGCGAAGTAACTGTTAAATGGGTGGAAGCGCTCCAATTTAAGCTGCCGATGTGCGTGACGGGTGCCATTTTCGGCCCCATCAGGCTCAAACCGAAGCACCGCAACTTGTATTTGACGCAGTATTTGCCGTGGGCCGTCAGGACCGGAAACAACGCTGAGTTTTTGCTCAACTGCTACTTTGAGAAGAGATGGGAGCAGAAACTAAGCGATTTTCATAGGGAATTCAACATTCAACCACTTGCTATTTAAATATCACGCACATGAATTTAGATTCAATGATTATGATTGAGGCTGTGTTAGTTTTAGTCAGTTTAAAAAACCTTATTGGATTTCAAATGCGTTCAATGACGTCACAACTACTTTATACAAACTTTACAGTTTACATAAAATTAGACCAAGATTATTAGACAAAGTATTTACATCAGTTTGAATTGAGCAGTTTTACTTTTATGCCACTTTTGTGAGCGTTACCGGACCCGCTGTTTTTCCTATTCACGCCGCCGAATGGTCTGTTGTGGAAGCGGGGAAGTCGTTTTCTTGTGATTAGTCCAAAGTATAATTTTACCTGACAATACATGGGTTGGTTAGTGACCAACAATAGACGTCCAAAGAATTTGTGTCCCTCTTCAAATGTGTAGAGGCAAGAGAGATTTCAGGTCTTACTCCTTTTTTCTCAAAAAATTCTATTCTATAACATTAGTAATCGATTAGTTATTGCGGCCTATTACAACTTAAATCAGACTGATAACTGTAGTGCACTAAGGAACATGGTGTTTGTTTTTTTATCAATCCGTCTTTGATCACATACAATATTAATCAAACACCTTTTATTCTCCATGCCTTCGTCTTTCTCTTTCTGCGAACCGACAGTTAAAATCGACCACAGAAAACGACATTCTCCTTCTACTTCTAAATGGTAACAGTGGCGCTTAAAATACAACTTTCTAAAACACATTACGACTTTAGCAAATCTAAGATGATCTCAAATTTAACAAAGTCTGTTCTAACTAGGCTTAGAAACATAACTCTAATGACAAACGTATTCGTCATAACTACCTGGGGTCGCGGGAATTAAGAACCAGAAGTTTGAAGAATGAATTTCTGAGAATTACTTGATTATTCTGGCTTGAATTGCGGTACCCAGTGTTTTGATGACCTGGAATGGTTTTGGGCTATAGTAAGGAGTTAAAATATTTCCTTTTGTTTGTTTGCGCAATTCAAAGTCACCAACTTTAAAGTTGTGATCTTTAGTTTTGCTTTTTGCTTCAATAGCTGGAATAGCTGGTAGAAAATTCTTCATTTTTTTTTAATGATTTCAAAAGGAGACTTTTCAGTAGTCAGTAGTGTGCTTCTATAGTTTACTAAAAACTTAAATTTTATGGTCAAATTTCGAAATATGAACACAACAGTCCCTTTTTTGTTGTTTTGACAAATCTTTCTACCATACTATTTGCTTCTGGTCAAATCGGTGTTACTCAAGTATATTTACTATCATGTTTTTTTAAGAAGTTTCTCAATCCTTGTCCATTGAATGTCTGATTTAAAAGTTGTGGGAAAGCCCCAAGTAGCAAAAATGTCATTTAATGCAGGTCTCATGTGTGAAAACTCAGTTGATTTGACTACTTCAATCGCTGGATATCTGGAGTATTCATCGATGACTATGAACAAATATTTGTTATGGAATGGTCCCGCAAAATCAACATCGATACATTGAACAGAATCTTGGCTCTCTATTCTGGATCTTCGTAACAACTTGACATGGCATACAGGTTTTGGTTAATTGGATGTTATCAACACTGTTTAGTGATGAAGTTGTAAAGAAACATGATGCTCATTTATAAATAAATAATCAGTTGTTCATGGTCCTATTTGAACTGATGGATAGTGTTAAATTAAAATATTGGTGGGAATGTTCAGATGATTCCTAAAATCGATAATCAGCTAGTTTAGACCTTAATTTTTCAAAGAAACTTCCACAGGCTACTGTAATGAGTTTTACAAAACTTCTGGATTCCTCCTGCGTCGGTTTTTGCTTAGTCGAAATTGCTGAAAAAGCGAACAGGATGATTGGCGAAACATCAGCAATTTCGACTAAGCAAAAACCGACGCAGGAGGAATCCAGAAGTTTTGTAAAAACTTTTGACCTTAATGAAATTAGGACTTAATGCCTAGAGATTTAAAATTGGCAGATAAAGTTTTCTTGATTAAGGAGTTTCTTCTTGCAGGGGTATCGTTAAGAATCCCACCGTTTTTAACAACACCACATTTTACAGAACCTCAAGTATATGAAACAGCAAATTGCAAAAGTTCGGATTCAAGTAGAAAGGGTCATTAGGAGGATAAAGTGTGAACATTAAAGAATTTTTCACTTATATACTCACTTTCACTTACATACTCTGAAAAAAAAACCATATTAATTACTTGAATTTGGTGGTAATAATTATGGCTTGTATATAGAATTAATATACCCTCATCGTTATAATAAATTATATAATTATTATTTTTTTAATTTTTTCTGATAATCGATCATTCCTGGACAAAAACTGAAGAAACTCTGTTAAATAGCACGTTCCTTCAGCAACATATCGAAATAAAAAATCTTATAGGTCGGCACTAATTCACGAAAACATTAAATGAAAAATTTCTTATGGCAATTTATCGTTATAAACGAATTTTTTTCGGAGCCCATCTCGGTGACGTGACGTGACGTAATGTTGTCCTTCGTGTGCTTTTTTTGGATTTAACTACTCGGCCCCGTTCTATTAACCGGTCTTTGATCACATACAACACTTTTCAAACCTGTATACTTTAATTCTCCACCCCCTCATATTCCTCTGTCTGTCAACCGTCAGTTACAATCCACCACAGAATACCACAACACTATGAATTTTTGCGAATCTTCTTTTAGAATTAACCATAGATAAAAAATTCCAATTATGTAGAATACCCCTAATTTTTCTCTGCAACGGACGCTTGTTTTCAAGAAGTTATTTACAATTTTGTAGTCGGAGATGTATCGCACGGATAAACAGTTTATGAAAAATCCGGCGACGGCCGCTCAGCGCATATACATCGGCAATTTGCCTAAAACCGTCGTCGCGGAGGATTTGGAGGTTAAATTCAAAAGACACGGCAAAATTCTCGGCCTCGTTGTAAATGGGGGATTCGCGTTTATCCAGTACGAAGCCGATTACGAGGCGCACGCCGCGATCAAAGCAGAAAACGGCGTCATGATGCAGGGCCGCAAGATAGTCGTCAAACAAGCTTTTGCGCCAAACCAAAAAACTCCCCCTCAATACAAATTTGGGCCCCAACAACCACAACAACTACAGGCTAAAATGGAGCCTTCTGGGGTGTTCGACAAACCGCCGCCTCCTGTACAGCAACCGAAACCTGCCGCGCTCGAGAAAGACCCAGACCCGGTAGATCCCAAACCAAAGTTCCAGCCGCCAAAGCGGGAAGCAGAGCCGCAGGACGAAGAAATGGACGTCGCGCCTACCATCAGGCCTCCGCCGCCGCAAAAGTTCGACGACGACGACAGGGGACATAAAAGAGGCGGAAGGGGCAATCGGGGACGGGGCCGAAATAGATCAAGAGACGCTTTCGATCATCCAAAGGAACATCCGTTTCCGGACCGGCCGGGATTCGGCCCCGGTTTCGGCGGTCGCGGCGATTACGTCGACAAATATGGACCGCCCCACTCCTTGGACGTCGCGCCGCCTCCGGAGAGAAACGACTGCGAGATTATCGTCGTGTCCAGGGCTTTGACGTAAGTCGACCTCTCCGTCGTTGACATTTTGAACGATTTTTTTGTTATATAAATAGGGAATACGCGGAATTTATAGAGTCGAAGCTCAAACAGCTTGGGCTGATCGTGGACTTGCTGTTTCCTAACGAGGACGTGCCTATAGGGCGAGTGTTGGCCAATATCTCCAGCCGGGGTTGCCTCTATGCCATGCTCGTCATGCCCCAGAATGAGGAGCACCGCAGTTTGACTTTAAACATCCTCCATGGCATACCTCAAGGTATTTGGGTAGGCGGGGCCACTGTATTGGATACCCTTCCGACCATTCGATCATTCTAATACGCGTTTGTGGTTCTAGAACACCGAAACATGCCCGTAGAGGACGCGCTGCTGCTCGTGTCTCGTAATTTCGAGGCTTACATGAGGGGCGACACACTGCAGCCCGAAGATCCGAACAAAATGAGCATAACGGACCGTCATCCGGTCCCGATCCAGATGATGTTCAACCTGCTGGCGGAGAACCGCATGCTGACGACTGCTCAGTACGACCGTTTGCTCAAGTATCTGCAGGAGCGTCGCGACCTGCAGCACGAGCACGAGGTGGCGGAGGGTGTGGTGCAAGAGTCGGACGACTCGAATTCCAAACAGGCGGAGCTGCAGAACCGCATCCTGAATATCCTGAACAAGTCGAGCGAGCCGATCATCCCGACGTCGATAACTGCACCCGAACCGGAGGGCGTGTCTGCCCCCACCCCTTTGCTGAAGGACCCGAGCGTCCAGAAGGCGCTGGACAGTTTGTTAACGGGCGACATGTTCAAGAGCATCGCGGGTGCGATTTAAGATAAGGTGGGGGAGATTTTAACATTGGGGGGGGGGGGGGTAGAAGTATTGTAGTCGATAAGTGATGTTTTAATTACAAAAGAAAACATCGATATATTTTGGAGTTTCGTTCAAAGACCTTTGATTCTTGATCCTCAAAGGGAAAAATTTTATACAGGGCGTTATTGAAATGAAGTATAATTTAATAATAATAATAATATAATATATACGCTATAAATCAAATTTTGATTTTATTAATTTTATGTAAGTAGATAGCCCTAATTCCCTCATTTAACTGGTAATATTATTCCATATCTTTATTGCCACATAAGTAAAAGATCTCTGAAATGCTGACTCTCTACGAGGAATAAGGTAAGTTAGGTTATTTCTTGTTCTTTGGGAATATGGTAGAAGTTGGAACATCTCATTAAGATAAGCTGGTTTACCTGAGTTCATAAACAAATCTGTACATATGCAGTTTTCATCCTTTACCCATGTTTAAAATATTAAATTTATTCAGAAAAGGAGATATATGAGGTAAGCTATTTTATAGGCAAAACGAGTTTTGCTATTTTTGTATTCACTTTTTAGTTTGCCAAAACAGACAGTCTCGATATAGGCGTAATCAAATAATGAAAGAAAATATTTTTGTTTTGAATTTAAAAATTGCTTTAATCTGTAAATGTTCTTAAGGGGTGACTTTAATTTTTTTTTAATGTGAAAATCAAATTTTAGAGAATTGTCAAAAGTCACACCTAATTTTTTTGCTGGGTTTACAACTGGAATAAAATTATTTTCAATGTCAACGTAGATTTTTCGTTCAATGTCCTTGTTTTTATTGATGATAATTTGGAATTTTTGAGGGTTAAGTTTTAGGTTGTGATTTGTTGCAAATAAGTTCAAGTTGTTAAGATCTGCGTTATCTAACAAGTAATTCATATCAAGATATCCATTAAGAATAATATGTATTTGGGACTAAACAAAGAATTCCTTCCAAAGAATCTAAGAAAATTGAAGCCTACTTGATGGTGGTCGATAGATAAGAAAACTAAAAAAAGAAAAGATTCTTTTTTTAGTTGTAAAGATACTGCAGAGGATTCAAGATAATGGATTTTGAAGTTGTCTTTTTCATATTGAATATATTTTTTAAAATAAAACCCGATCCCCTCTGCCCGATCTGCTCTATCCTTAAAAAATTATATCCAGGAATATCGAAACAGTTGCTCGAAATGTTTTCATTTCATCACGTTTCATTTAAGCAATATATGTCAAATTTATTATAAAAAATTAGTTTGAAACTTCGTAAAATCCTGTATTTAGTGATCCAACATTTAAAAGACCCACAGAAAAATATTCCTTATTATTAAACTCATTGTTGTTAATAAAGTTTAGATTGTCTTCCACACGCCGATTAAAATGAATATTAGTCATTATCTCAAACTCCCCCCCCCCTTCCAGCTATGATCCCAAGCCACGAAACCTAAATTGATGTGGCAATTCACCTAATAAAATTACTAGCTACTTCAAAATCACAATAAATGTTTTTACAATGAAAGGAAGAGGAGAAAAAAAGTAAACTTTGTTCCGTTTTTTGGATATTTACCTTTAACAGGTCACTCACGTTACAAGAGATATTTTCGTTTTGAAGAATACGTATATACTTGTTTCTTGAGGATTGTTCCTGTTCAGTCAATTGTTTATTTTTCTGATGCAGTTCGTCCATTTGGTCCTGGAGGGATTTTGTTTTAACTTTTCTTCCATAGTTGTCTCCAGCATTTCCATAACTTTTGTGGCTATATCCTAGAGAAATTTGTGGCTAAAGATGCTGATGATTGCAGATTTTATTTCTCTCATATCCGCCGACGAAATGACCATTATGGCGACTTTGCTGTTGATATTTCTATTGTTTTATCACCGTATAATACATCAATCGCTGTTTTAATTGTTGTTATGGAGGTATCAACACTTGTAACAATTGTTTTCTGTTTATTACTTTGGGACTGGTATTCTTATACATTAATTGAGCAGGTCAAACAAAGACGTTCTACTCGCGCGCCATCTACTACTTTGACGAGTGAATCGCAAATTGGCGGGAATACTAATGCAGTCTAGAATTCCAGAAAAATTGCTCCAAAGTTTTGGCGTGTTACGCTGTTAGATAGGATGACGTGGCTTCTTCAGAAATTTGAAAAATTAAAAACTGAGCCGTTATTACCACTACTAACGCAAGAGTATTATAAGTGTAGTGAATTCGAAATGACCAGATTTAAGCTAGGATCGGATTAAAAATTTGCTGGAGAATATCTGTTCGTTATATTTCAATAACACTGTATAAATTTTCCTGTTTTGTAAAGGTCCCTTTTCGACAGAGCAGTTTCGACTTTATCACAAGGCATATAACAAATTTGGATCCTTGTAGTTTGTAGTTCAAAGGAACCGCGCGCGAAGGAAAACGACAAGTTCACTTGATAACTGGCTTTATTTACACCGTCAAAATAAAAAAAAGAAAACAACTAGGGATGCTCCGGTCTCGCGCGCCGATCCCCGCCCGGGGGGGGTTTAAAAAAAAAAAAAGTTCCCGTAGTCGTATTGCACGGTGGTGGCCGAGGATCCGCGGGACGCGACTCGAGACCGGACGTTACAAAAACGGCGTACTTCATTCGGGATAGGTCTCCAAAAGAAAAAAAAAAGATCGCCTTAAAAATTCGGTGCCAAAATGGAATAAAGGTCCAATATAAATTACACAATGTCTAAACTGCTACGGGTTGTGAGTTCACATCGAGAGAGGGCGCTGGCGAGGCGTTTCTGAAACATTTATTGTCTTGGGGGGAGCAAAAAGCGACGCGCTCCTCCCCCGTCGAGGGCGCTCGCGCGCGACTAGAAGAGGTAAAACAAAAAGGTTAGCCCCGCCCCCTACTGCTCGAACGAATTGTCCTCGCCGTCGTCGGGCAGCGCCTCGAAGCTGAGCGCATCGTCTTGCTGTTGCTGTTGTTGCTGCGCGTTGCCCTCCGACGGGTAGTCGTCAGGCGCTGGCGACGACGGACTCTCCGCTATCTCGGACGCGTTCGCGCTTGCTGACGGGTCGAACGCCTCCTTGATCTGACTGCTCGCTCCCTTCGGGTCTAGGTCGGTCGCCCAGCTGAAGTGCTGGAGTGCGAGGTCAGTGTTGCCTAGCTTCTTGTGCACTTTACCTAACGGACGCGAGGAGATGATTTATTTAAAGAAATTAATAAATGTATGTTTTAGAGTTCTCCAAACGATATACCGTTTTTACAACCTTTTATGGTTTTGACTTCGGAATGAAGAAGGGACCATTTTTTCAACGCAGGTACCACAAGCCAGGGCCGTATTTAAAATGTTAGCCGACAAGAACTGTGCCGTGCGGACTATTGTATTTTAACAGTAGGGAAATTTTCTTTCATTAAACTGTTATATCAATTCATAACAGTCCCTACTTGAGGTAGCTCGATTTCAAGTTGCCCATTAGAAAGCTCATTATAAAGCCCATTAAAAAGCTTAAACTGACTGCCAATTTAAGAGTTGTAGATGATTGATTTATAATGGATGTCTTTGAATGCACGAAGTAGCGAAGTACGAATCTGGAAAGTCATTGTGGAATTGCGAATCTATTTATTGTGGGTTACAAAGAGAAACCCAAGCGAGGTAGGACTGCGGTTATAAAAATGTACCAAAGTTAAATACCGGATTATGTCGCAAAATCGGTATATCGTTCGGAGAACTCTAAAATAAATTATTTTTGAACGTGCTTGTTTTGCTAATCCAAGTAAGCCGTAAAAACACTCGACATATTAACGAATTATTATTGACAACGCGGGCGTTTATTCTTGTCTAATTGTCAGCGTTTAACCGCAGCTAAATTTACTATATTTAGAAAAGGAAGATGCGAGTGTTTAAAGCCCATTGCTCATTGGGTGCAATAATGTCAAAAAATACACATAGTTATCTTACTTCAGTTCCGCTATAGAGAGTTAGTGCCATTATTGGATTTTTTAAAGATCTTACGCGCAAAACCGGCATATAACCCAGTGCATCTGTGATCGTCGCAGAGTACGTAATGTTGGCAAAAAGCGTGAAGAAAAAACTTTAAACCCAAACTTTTAACTTTCATTGGGACAGTTCAGGCGATATTGTCAAAATAAATGACGCGTATGTTTTCAAAGTACACATTTTTCTGTAAAACATCTTTTAGTGAAACTGACTACAGAAGCATAAGCATTGCGGAACGAAAAACGCGAGCAAGCGCGAATTTTACATCTTGAAAATGTTTCTAGACCGTGCTTATTGAGATTTCAAGAAAAGTTTAATGACTTAATGGATTTGCTAAAAAGGAGTGCTATTAAAAAATGTCACAGTCACTTTTATAGTAACCTGAAATGTGCTTTGAAAATAGTAATTTTTGTTTATTTTCCAAAAACCTGGTCAATTGTCGCTATTCCTTTTTTTATGTGCCATGATAATTCTTGTTTCTATAATTTTTAGACCAGTAGCTCTCTGCCAAAAACTATAGGTCCGTTGTTTTTTATTGTTTACGTGTAAAAGACTATTTATCTGAGAGTTATTTCCTTTATTTTAGAAATAATACCTACTTCGACATGTATCAAAAACCATACGTTTATTGTTTTATAGTTATAGCTTTTACATGTTTTTGTAGTCATATTTTTTAGTGTTTTATTAATTTCCAGTTTGTGTTTTTTTAAGTTTTTGTACGTATTTTTAAAATAAAATGATATTAAAATTTTGATCTACTGTTTTATTTTTCTTTCTTTTCATCAACCTATAATAAACTAACCAAAACTTATACAACAATGCGCCTCAATGACACAATCACCGATTAAATAAGCTGTAAATAACGGCGGTTGTTTTGTAGTCGTAGTAAATTCTCACCTATAAGGTAGTACACCGACGACTCCTTGGGCACGATCTCCTTCAGCTCCTCGAGCTCCTGAAGCGCCTCGACGTGCATTCCGAGCGCGAAATAAATAGAGCCGCGGTGGAACTTGCACAGAGGCGACCTGGGGTTCGCCTCGATCGCCTTGTCGAATGTCGCGAGCGCCCTCTCGGTTTGCTTGAGCGCGTGCTGCACTATACCGATGTGACAGAGGATGACGGCGCTGCGCGGGTTTATCGACAACGCCTTCGTGTAGTTGAGCTCGGCGAGGTTGTAGCGTTCCTGTTTCGAGTAGATCGTGCCGATGCCGAACCACGCGTTGTAATGACGCGGGTTCAGCCGGACCGCGTTGCGGAAACAGCCCATCGCCTTGTCCAGCTCCTCGGTAGCGATGTACTCGTGTCCGAGCAGGGTGTAAGCGTAGGAAAATGTCGGATCCACCTGAACGGCGCGCTGGAAGAACCGTATCGCGGTGTCGTGCTCCTTGTGCAGCGAGAAACAGTTGCCGTTCACGCACCACGTGACCGGGTCGTTCTTGTCGACGGCGACGAGGTCTTGCGCGAGCGCGGACAGCGCCACCTCGCGCTGCAGGTGCCACAACGCGGTCGAGTAGACGTCCATGTGCTCGAGGCGACGCGGTTCCTGCGCGTGCACCGTCTCGAAATACCTTTTGCAAAAAAAAATTTTTTTCGATGATCGATTCGCGCCGAATCGCCGATACTTAGTGGACACTGCCTTATCTCCAAAAATATAGGGGATGGAGCAAAAAGTTAATTGGGGTATTACAAATTTTCAATTTATTTTAATGTTGTATATCCAGGGTGTTTCATATTTCGCGGGCGAGTATCAAATTTCTTATTTTAAATGGAACACATGATATGTTACTTCATTTTTGAATTCGATACAAAATTCTAGACATTTTTTGTGTTTAATATCCTATACCCAAGTCCAATCGTTTTTGAAATTTTGAATTTATTTTAAAAATTATAGGGTTTTGTGTTATATAACTTCGTTATATTTTAAAAACGCTCCACCCTCTTACCTGATGCTCGCCTCGTAGTCGTTCTGCTCGAAGTGGGCGAGACCCAGCAAATTGTACACCCACGCGGTGTTGAGCTGGTGGGCGGGGAGCGCGGAGAACTTCTCGATCGCCTCCCGGCAATTGTACATCGACAGTTCGAGGTAGGCGCGGCCGATGTCGCGCAGCAGCGCCATCAGGCCTTCCGCGCTCTGACGTTGCAACGCGATCACCTGTTGCAAGCAGTCGCTTTTTTCTGCGCTCCTCGTCTCGTACGACGTCATCGTCTCGCTCTTCGCACCCTCCAAATTCTTCGTGTTGTTGCGCGCGTTGATCTCGTTCGTTTTGTTCTTCGCCGCGCGTTGTTTTGTCTTGCGCGACGGCGACTTGGGCGTCGCGAATTTGGTCCGCGTCGGCGATTTGTTGTTCTCCTTCACCGAGTACGAGTTGCTAAAGAGGCGTGAGCTGCGCCGCACGTTCTGCGCGGTCTGCACCGACAACGGACTCGACAGCATCCTACTGGCCGGCACATTCGACGACTGACTGAATACGGGCTTGCAGTTTTGCAAAATCGACGGGTCCTTGTTGTTGCGCGCCGCAATCAGCGCCTGTTCGGAGTGCGGCGCGCGCGCCCTCTTACCCAACAGGTGGTGGTTGTACGTCTCGGTGAGCGTGGGCGGAGGCATGTTCGGCGTGCCGTTGTACTCGCCTGTATCGAACAGCTGACCGAAAAGCGGTTGCGGACTCTGGTGACCGGAGAAACAAAAAACTGAGTGGCAGGGATATCGAAAACCACGAGCCCAAAATCGCCAACAAATAACGAAGTAACGTGAGGGGCGAGTAGTTCAAATGAACCTCACGGTGCCGTATTGTCGCATATGAACTTTAAACGAACCGACCGGATATTTGCGGGTTTCGTCAGTTGAAAAGTACTCACACCAAGGTAGAACTCTAACTAATAGTTCAAACGAACTGCAGCCATTTACGTTGTTTTGCCTTGCCGAACCGAGTTCAATCTATTCGCAATAAGACAAAACTTATTTAACAATTACTTTTACATCACGAGGAGTAAGTATGATGAACAGCGCCATTCTGTTGGATTAAAGCCGTTAATACAACGCTTCCATAAACTTTCCGGGTCTTTGTTCGGTTAAATCGTCGAATCGCCCCGGTAGTTCAAACGAACTGAAGCGATTTCCAATGTTTTCGCTTGCTGAACCGAGTTAAATTTAGTCGCAATAAGACAAAACTTATGCAACAATTACCTTTACATCACGAGGGGTAAGTATGATGAACAGCGCCGATCTGTTAGTTTAAAGCAGTTAATACAACGCTTCCATAAACTTTCCAGGTCTTTGTTCGGTTAAATCGTCGAATCGCCCCGGTAGTTCAAACGAACTGAAGCGATTTCCAATGTTTTCGCTTGCTGAACCGAGTTAAATTTAGTCGCAATAAGGCAAAACTTATGTAACAATTACTTTTATATCCCGAGGGGTAAGTAAGATGAACCGCAACGTTCTGTTGGATTAAAGCCGTTAACAGAACGCTTCCATAAACTTCCGGCGTCTTTGTTCGGTTAAATCGTCGAATCGCCCCGGTAGTTCAAACGAACTGAAACGATTTCCAATGTTTTCGCTTGCTGAACCGAGTTAAATTTAGTCGCAATAAGACAAAACTTATGCAACAATTACCTTTACATCACGAGGGGTAAGTATGATGAACAGCGCCGATCTGTTAGTTTAAAGCAGTTAATACAATGCTTCCATAAACTTTCTGGGTCTTTGTTCAGTTAAATCGTCAAATCGCCCCGGTAGTTCAAACGAACTCCAGCGATTTCCAATGTTTTCGCTTGCTGAACCGAGTTAAATTTAGTCGCAATAAGGCAAAACTTATGTAACAATTACTTTTATATCACGAGGGGTAAGTAAGATGAACCGCAACGTTCTGTTGGATTAAAGCCGTTAACAGAACGCTTCCATAAACTTCCGGCGTCTTTGTTCGGTTAAATCGTCGAATCGCGCCGGTAGTTCAGACGAACCGACGCAACTTTCGCGTTAACAATGACGGACGAAGAGGAAAAAACTTAATTCCCTCGATTTCTGAATAAGTAGTGCAAGCTTACCGACACGTTGACGTCACGGTGCAGACGCAGGTTCTTGTGCCGCGTGGGCGGCAACGGTAACAGGCCCGACATGCACAGGGGGTTCGCGAGGGGGCTCTCCTCCGGCGTCGCCGCAGAGCGCTGGTTCTTGTTGAGGTTAGGATTGAAGTCGCTCAGAATCTGTTGCGGCGTGATGAACAGGTCATGCTTGTTCTTGACAGCATCATTCGGCGTCGCGGCCGTCGTGATGATGACACTCTCGACGTTGCTAATCGAGTGGCCGTGACACGCCGATAAATTTTCTACGTTCGATAGCTGAAAGGCGACCGTGGGGTTCGGTTGAGCTCCGATCTTGCACAGGTTTTCGAACGCGGAGAACAGGAACGGGTTGATTTTCAACGCCTTCTTCCAGACCTCGATCGCCCGAGTTTTTCGTTCGGTTTTCGCGGCGATGTTGCCGAGCAGGAGCAGCACGAACGCAGCCTGGTCGCCGAACTCTTTCGCGATGTCGTCCAGCGATTTGGTCGTCAGATCGTCGTTGTCTGTTATGGCAGATTCCGCTTCAGCGAACCTGCGCGGCAGATGTTAAACGTTAAGTCATTTTTCAAAAAAAAAAAAAAAAAACAAAACAATTAAACGGCCATGTTTGCAAAACAGGCAGGTAAAATTTCATACATAACTGACAACGAATTGAACACTGAACAGATCGATATGGCCGCCAGAGAAAATTATAGATCTTTCTGCAAAATTCTCGCTTATTTTTAATTTTAAAGGGACGGGCGAAGAGTATAATAAAAAAATAACGTTTCTGCGATAAACTGAAGATTTTTTGACGAAGGCGACAGTTACAAACATAGAACATTGTTGCTTGCCTTCTACTCACAAAGATCTATTACACCGAGAGATTCAAAAGTTTAAATGCGTTTAAATGTTTTGAAGATATGTAAAATATGTTACACTACTTTTTTCAATTTAGGGCTGCAATCCACTTTTCTTTTCTTGGAGAACTTTTATTTTATATTTTAATGTGAGGGGAACCAAATAAAACTCTCGCTATCCCACCCCACCGTTAAGAACAGCAGAAAAAATTGGAGATTTTAGTCCCATTAGCTGGCGAAACTGTCAAAATAATTGAGATTTTCAGATGGTATGTCTTCAATTGTTAAATATTTGTTAAATATATTTTCAACTGAGTTACCTACCTATCCTACCCTAGTGACCAGATGTGGCATTCACAGGGCAAATATATACACTATTTTAATTGTGTTTTTAAACAAAATAATATCCACATCTTGCAATAGGTATTACATGATCCTTCAACCCTTTTGTAACCTAAATAAGTGGCGTCTCTCAAATAATGTCGCCAGCAAAACCAATTTTTTATTGCTTCAGTTCATTTGGTTTTGTCATACTTTTTCCTATATTTTTTCAATTCAAATTCAATATTTACTATCTAATGTTTTTTTTATAAAGCAGCAAAAAAGTACGTTAATTGCTGGTTTTTTTTTTCGCTCGCGAGCGCGTTAGATCCACATTACATTCTAGCAGGTGTAAATAAACTCACTTTTCCAAGTTGAAAGCGCACAGCCCGAACAAATACTGGCACTGCGCAGAGGATCCAATTTTATCTTTTAACAAGTCATAAGCGAAAGCAGTCCGGCCGCTTCTGTGATAAACAGTGGCCAAGAGGAACAGACTATCGTCATTTTTCACTGGAAAAAACAGAAGGCACATATTGCTGGGACAGATAAAATTTGCAAACTCACCTTCAGCGTAGAGTCGTTCAGAGAGGAAGAGGGCGTCTTGGTAGTCGTAATGGTTCAAGCAATGCCAGATAGCGGCCTGGAACGAAAAACCACCCCTTACTATTGGGAAAAAAAAATCTTTAATTTGGGATGTTACCTGAACGGGCTCCTGAACAATCATCGTGCAAAATAGTTTTTGTATTATTCGGTGTTCATCGTCGCACGAATTATTCTAAGCGGATAGTCTAAAACTCCCTTATGATAATCTTTATTTGGGTGACATCCGTTCTTAGCACTAGATGACAGCTACCATTTTGTTTGTGTCTTCTTCTCTGTTGCATTTCCGGGCCACACGCACAGAATACGTGGCCGAATAGCAGTAGAAAAAGAAGACGCGCAATTGAACTTTTATTCCCAGCCCTTCTCGTTTCTGTTTAAAAAATCAAATGCGATAGAATTTTAAGCGGATTCGTTATTAGTGACGTCGACATATTTGGCTTTCAACGGTACGGCGATTTTTTTTCGTGTCGCACATCAACATGTTTCATCTTTTCACCACTAGATGGTGACACCGCTGCGCTATAATATATTTTTTAATTTCCCCTTTGAGTGAAGCTTGTTTTAGCGTGACAAGCAAATGAAACGCACAGGACTTTTGCGACTCCGCTGCCGAAAAAATGCCCGACCCAGAAACAGAGCCAGTTGCGAGTAACTCGAAACGACCGCATCTATAGTGACACTAAATTTAAATGTAGGCCAAGAACGAGAAAATATTTGCGACCTCGAATCACTCGGCGATGTATTTCGAACAATCGGATGCGGCCTTGACTTTGTCTCTTTAAAATAATACGAGGATTTATTAAAAAACCGTTTATTTTTAAATGCGATTTCCAAGGCATTCTAGAATCTCGCGGCGCATGAGTGTTATTTCTGAAGACGCCGCGTCGCAAAGAGATCTTTCGCACAAACGCCGGAGCAAATATTATTGTTGTGACGCCCCACATCCCGCGCGTTTTTTAGTTTGTCAACTTTCGGGGAAACTAGAGTGCACGACCGAGTAAATTTCGAAGTGTCGAATAATAAATAATATCGTCCACCCTTCAGGCAGACGTCACGACGCCGCGTCCCCTCCTTCGAGATTCCCGCTTTTCCCGGTCTAATTTTAAATTTCCACCTGCGTTTCGCGACTCGTCGTTGGAGTCCGCGGCATTCGTCGCGCGTATTCCCGCGGGATAGTACCGAGCTCGCCGCGCGTGCGTACTCGCAGCCATGAACACGAAACACATGAAGCGCAAGAAATCGTCCATGTCCGAAGTCAAAGTGGCGGTCATAGGCGCTTCCGGCGTCGGAAAAACCGGTACGTTCTCAAGCCCGACACACGGCACTTCCTGGACGACTTAAATTTGAAACCGAACGGCTCGCACAATACGCACGCACGCACAGATTCAAATTCGAAAACGATTCGCGGGCGATCACATCCAAGCAGGCGTTTGTTTTACGTTTCAACACGGCGGTCACCTGACGGTGGATACGGTTGTCTCGCTGTTTCGGTCGCTCTCACGCGATCGTGGCTATCGAATTCGCGACGTACGTAGTTGGCAACTTTTGTGTACGTAGATCTTTCCCGTGTTATTTATTTTGTTTGGTCGAAAGGAAATTTGCAGATTCGCGTCGCGGTCGTTTCGACGCAGGTGAGTACGTTCGGTTTGCGGCCTGCGCGATGACGTCACCCGCAATCGAGTCCCTTCCGCGTCCGACCGACATCAACATACTAGCTGTTTGAAGGAGAACGTTTACGCGTTTGCCGTTATTTATTGTTCGCGGGCTTTGAATGAACGTAACTCGATACGCATTCATTTTGCGATACAAAATCGCCGTCTATTTTAAGCTCTTGTTTTAAACAATTATTAGTTGGGAAATCGCGGCTCGAAAATATAATGACCGGAACCGTGTCAGTGGGTCTAGTACGGGCGGAAAAATTCGCGCGGCGCCTCGACGCCTTGGGCCCGACCTTGACGTGTTTGTTTACGTAAATAGCACGCGTAAAACGATTTTAACGGTCGTTTCGAGTGCCGATTAAAAAGCCGTTCTACCACTCGGTATCGAAGAGAACTCGACGGTGCTCTCGCTGGCCGTATGGCCGCCGCCAGCCGCTGCTAATTAAAAACTTTTAATTACGGTCGGTTGCGCCAAGAGCCAATTTTCTCGGAAAATAAAAGAAAATGCTTGTATATTTATTTCTTCTAGTATTACGAAGAATAATTGACACTCGGGTTTTTTCTACTAATTTCACTTTTATTTTTCGAAGAGACAGTAACTTTCAATTGCATTTAGTACTCACTCCCAGAGATGTTTTCTGCTTTAGGAATAATCCCGGAATGCCTCTTACCTACCTACGTAAAAACCATCCGCACAAACTTTTAATTGCCGCCTTTTCGAAAATTGCTTTATTACGTTTACCCAAAAATGTTTACAATAGATAATAAAAATAAACTTTAATTGATGGATTTTGAATGTTATTGTTTTGTTCACGTCTTGTCGCTACCATGTAGGTCTGTAATTTGAATTTTTGTCTGTCTATTAGGAATTTTCGGAATGTGTTTTTTGAAAAATAACCTAAAGTAACTTAAACCTATGGTACATTATTATTATATGACAATGAAACCAAAAATGTTTGTTTAGCATTAATCTTAAACCGATTGGTAACATAAAACGTTAATAATCTAAGCGTTAAGGCTCTTTCATTATCTTTAACGTTAATTATTTAAGGGTCAATTTAATCGTTTTCACACTAATTTATACAAGATTTTGATGCAAGTTAAATGAACATTCTTGGTTACCGTATGTTGCGTACAATCTCTTCCAATACATGCATCAATTACACGAACACAAAATAGGACTCAAAGGACAATTCTTCTTTTTCTTTCTATGAACTCACGTCTTCCGGAACAGTCGCCCAATTCAATATTCAATATACGTTTGCGCCAAAGAACAGCTGCAATTAACAGTGCACATGCGCAAGTTGAATTTCATTTAAAATATGTGTTAAAGTTTAAAGTAGAGAGTTTACCTACCTTTTCTTATATTTTAAATGTCCATTGATATTTATGTAGAAATGGACATAGGGGAACGTGGATGTATTCCCAAAAATATTTGCCAAGTATCTTTTTTTATCTTTTTTGGATATTACCCAGTATTAATTACTATTAAAGTAGAACCGCAAATATCCATAGAAATGTTATACTAGATTTTCAAATTTTTTGCTCTGCACTTAAGCATTTTGTTTTTTTTCAGCACTTTCTGTGAGATTCTTGACGCGACGGTACATCGGGGAATACGATCATCAATCGGGTGAGTTGACGGCTTAAGAGGACGTCATCATTAGATAGTGCGGAAACACTATATCTCATTTATTAACATTTCACGTTAATCTAATCGCAGCAACGAATCACTCCGACACATCACAATCCAGTAAATAAGTGGCGTCGATAGCGTTCGCACGATACTCTTGGGAGTTTCGAGGTTTTATAACGAAAAAAGCGCAACAGGCGCAACTCAAATATAAGCATTCGTGAGTTGAACTTCAGATTACAACCTAACCAAATTCAATTCCAACCTCAAACTCTTCGCACAGACCGTTCGCATTGTAAAATGCCTGTACCTCTCGATATTTACTATTTTGTGACGTCACCGAAAAAACATTTCGAAAAACTTATCAAGTGTAGCTTAATCGGAGGTGGTGGTGCGCGCGCCATATTGCTGTATTATTTTAAACGCGCCGCCGGGTTCCGTGCCAGAACGTGGGACGGGCGACCCGCGGAAAAAAAACGCCCGGCATGCGACCCGACAAATAATAAAAAATAATATAAACAAGCGAAATGGTTGGATAATTTTTGGTTTCCTCCGCTCCGCTCGCTACGAAAATAAAACTATTTTTAGCGGTTTTATATTCCGCAAAGAGTAAATAACGGCCATTCGGTCGCGATCGTAAATCGGGCAACAACGGCCGGAATCAATCCGTCTTCCCCGCCCCTCGATCCCTTCCCGCCGTCAATAAATAAATAGTTGCCATTAATACGCGTGTTTCGAGACTGACCAATGTCTCTCTCTGTTCTCTGTGACCGCCACCCGAAATCAAGCGAGCCGCGGCCAACTATGGAAGGCTGAAGAAAGTGAACTCGATACAAGACGGAACGGCAACGCCACACAGTGTGATATATAATATGAATTTCGAAATTGTTTTTGAAATGTATACCTCTTAAAAACGATTTAAATTAAACGCCGATAGTACAGCAACAATTTAATATTTTGAAGGCTGAATAGATAGATATGTAGATACAACATGCAGTATTAGTCAAAAATCGCGCCATAGTCAAATATTTCAGAGGGTGTTTTTGCAATTTGGTACACTGTAGTTTTTAAGTATATTTGATCCAGGTACGTTTTTATTTTATTTTTAAATTGTCTGTAGGTTAGAAACAAAACAAAAACATATTTTCATTGAAAATATAAAGTTCGCAGCTCTAAGAAAAAAAAAACTATAGACTTGGCAAACATCTTTCATATTAAATTTCAAAAGTTTTGAATAGCTTCTCAGATACAGCTACTACGGAAAATTTGACGTGCATGTATTTGTAAGCGATGTTATAACATGAACAATAACTATAAAGTATGAGGTACATAAAATATGACAGAAAAATATTAATAAAATCGACGTCAATAATAAGTGCATATGCAATTTAGTAAATTTTGAACTTCTGTGAAGTTTCTCAATTTTTGTTGTTTTTTTTTTTAATGTGTTTTTCTAAAAAAACAGCTCATATGCAAAAAAAAACACGAAATCGGCAACATTAACACTAGTTCTCAATACTAGAGGTTTAAAAGTTGAAGAAAAAAGAACTAAAAAGCATTAAGATACTTTCAAAATAATACTTGTTTCATGGGCGTGGTCTGTGGTGAGATTTATTCGAAAGTGGTCTAGTATGTACATGTTATAATTTACAACATTTTTTTAGCCTATATTTATGAAAGTTACGATTCACTTACTTATTAGGGACTTGTTGCACTTTTTAATAAAATTTCACTTTATTGATGATTACGAAATTTTTCTAACGTAATTTTAAATTTAACATTTTTACTTTTTTCTTGACATTTCAGATTCAGAAGAGCACTTGCCGTGAATCACAATGAAAACATTATAAAAAATATTATTTTGCGTGATATTTTTGATGATCAACCTGTCAATGAGGTTGACCTAACATCTTGCTGAATTATAACCGACATATTCGAATTAAAAAAAAAACGTATGTGCGGACCATAGCAACGGTATTGGTATGGGGAAATTAGATGTTTTCGATGCATTAGATGTTTTTAAGACTAAACAAGAAACTAGTCAAATAAAAATATTTAAAAGGTGACAGACATTTCTTAATTTACAACCCACAGTATTAGCTATTTTCGATACTTATCGCATTTACTACCGACAACACCGTTTTAAACTTTAGCAACTTTATTTCTAGAAATTCCGAAAAAACTTTATTATCTATCAAGAAGTAAATGTTTGAAAACCATAGTGTTAGTTCATAGTTTTGTTATATTGCAGCAAAGTAGGACAAAACATATATTACGGAGATTGCTGATTTTATTATTTATAATTTTTGTAAATGCGAGACTGTTAATAACTGATTCAGATATATCTCAAAATATGTCAACACATGAATACCTACTTATTCCGAGTTCGCGTCTAGACAAACCACACCAATAATAGTCCTTTTAATAGTTAAAAGGGGGCAAAATAATAGTTTCGGGAATTTTTTGCAATTATTTCCGGACAACAAACATTACCAATAAAATGAAAGGAAAATAACAAAAGGAAAAAGAAGTAAAGCAGAATTAATTGTGAGGTTAGGATAACACGTTCTCTCTCTCTCCTTTACTTCTATTGGCCACAACAGCTAAGATCACTCGGCCACTTACAATTACGGTTCATCGTTTTTTTAATAACCTGGAGGATGCCTTAATTAAAACGAACTAGACGGATCGATCACCCTCCATGGGGGAACGGATATGCAATAAATTAACATATTCGAACAGTGGAACAACTTAAAAAAAAAAGTCACATAATGACGACTGATTCTTCTAACGGCTCCCGCAATTATCTCATACGGGATATCCGATCCCATCTGGCTTGATTGCCATCGTGAGTACAAGAAATCCGGACACCGTGTTAACACACACATAATGTAATGACATATCACAAATCCATAAACATCCGCATAAGACGAACAGTATTTCCGAAATTTATAGACATTGCACCTCTATCAGTTCAGATTACGAATATACAAAACAGTATTTTACATCAAACGACACTAATTTCAATCGATTTCAACATTTCATGGATCCGGACAGGAGTACGCCCGCCCTGTGCAATGGTTCTTTCAAGACCCAGGAAAACGCTTTAGTAAAATTGTATTCTTATTCCTGAAAAACATGTCCGAAATTGGGGCATGCACACAAATATTTTCAATTATTACAAAGACTATGGTGTAATGGAACCTAACCTCAATGTTTGGTGGCATCAAGCCGTCGGAGAATGAAAAGTCCATTAAATGTGAAAATCTTTTTGAGCAACTAATGTAAATCTTAAGTGTTAATTAAACTAACCAATACTACTCTCAAACGTTTCTATTTCAGAGACCAGGTACAAGCACGAAGTCCTAATTGACAACGACCCTGTCCTCTACGAGATATTGGACACCTGTCCGAAGGTGAGCGCGCCAGTTTTCCCGATTCGATTATAGCGCATCACCCTGTAGAATAAGACGAGCCGTCGTCGCGCCGGCGACGTATTAAAATCGCGATTGGAGGCGCGCAAAACAAACACTCGAAGCTGATGTGTTTTTTTGATTTAAACGGCGAGAGGTACTCAGCGTAGCCCGTAACTGTCAAATAGATCGTCTCGAAATGGGGCCCAGACCGACCGACTCTGTTTGCTTAAAGTCGTCTGGGAAAACCGCGCTATTTTCGAATCGAAAGGAAAACAATAAATGGCGACTAAATCGGGAGAATTCGGCGTCGACCAATTACATTATAACTAGGGCACTGCGCTCGAATTGTGGGCACGACGAGACATAACAAAATGGACACTTAAAGCGGCAATCAACCTGTAACCCTACCGACGTAGCAGTAAAATAAGCCTTTCTTTGAGTTGACACAATTTGTTAAAAATCCTTTTTTTAAGATTTAACGTTAAGAGATTGTAGAGTGAAAATTTAACTTAGAGTTCCTTCTCCTGTAGGAAACGGCATTTTCAACTTTTGTGACCATTTTTGTCAGATGTTTGTTTTTTTGGCAGGCATCTTTTATAGGCACCAGGTACTGGCGTTTCCCTTCCCTGGTAGTGCGAGCCAATCTACAAAGCCTTGTTCTTTCATCAACTAACAGATGGTTGCGTACGCTTCCCCTTCTGGACTGAACTACCTCCAGGAATATTGCCCTGTATACACTGGCAACCCTGATGTGCTTTTTTCTTTGCACTCTCGCATTGCCTTCACAGAAGTTTGCTCCATATAGTAATATCGTCTCACTCAATAACTTTTTTTGCTGCGTAAAGGGTTCGCCGATAATTATTTCATTTTATCCTTGGCTCCGCAGGCTACAGTATTTGCAAAAAAGTAGATATAACTTTTTCCGAACACTTATGATTAATTCGCTATGTGGTATTGTTGACCCTGACATTTCGGTGTCTCTCATAGCAGAGCATCGACGACCTGCCGTCACCTGAAGTCATAAATTGGGCGGACGGCCTTTTGCTAGTATACTCCATCACGGACAGGGGCTCGTTCGGGTTCCTCAAAAAAGTGGGGGCGATCGTCGCCGACTCGGACATTCCCGCTTACGTTGTCGCCAACAAAAACGACATGGTGCACCTGCGCGAAGTCAGCGTCGAAGAGGGCGCCATCTTGGCACGGAATCTCGAATGCGGGTTTTCGGAAGTGGCTGCCGCCGAGCAGGTCGCCCCGGTCGCGGTCGTTTTCCAGGTACGTTGTGCTACCGTCCCGCAGATGACGCTGTACGAGGATCGTTGCAGGAATTGTGCCGGGCCGTTTTGGCCGCGCGCAGGAAATCGAAACACTCGCTGCTCGAGAGGATGCTGGGTACGAGAACGTCGAATCTGAGGCTGTACGCGCGCGGGAAGAGCGACAGCTGCCTGCCCAAGGACTGAACCGCAGAATAAGTGCCAACCAGAAGCGACGATAGGTTTCGGACCGTGGGTGGGGGTAATGTGGGAGCTGTTGCTGGTTCCTTGTTGCTTTTCAGATTGCTCTCCAGAGAATTAGTCATATTGCTGTGGTTCTAGTTTTATAATAATAATTGTAATAATATTAAACGTTTCTGTAGAAAAACTAAGTGCAATTACAAAAAACGTAGGAACGAGCACCGAAGGCTAAAAAATAGTCTTGAAACGTGATATGAACTGTTATTAAATTTTGTCTCTGTGCAAAAAAAAAACGGTGATGCCGCCGAAATTTCTCTCGGCGCGGGCGAAGCGTGACGTCACGGGGCTCTTTGTCGCTTCTGTAAAGTGTTTATTCTGTGACTGAGCACGCATGGTCGTTTGCAGAAATTTGTCAATGTTCGAGACGTTGCTGGACTGCCGGGGTGTGCTGTAATACGCCCCTGTGTAAGGGGGGCGGGGGAACGCAAACTTGTACAAAACGAACCTTGTATTTTCTAGTTTTAAACAATAAAATTTGACAATAGATCGGCATGTTTTTTTTTCTTTGGGAAGGCTGTAAATTACATAGAGACGCCGGACCGTACGGCGGGTATTTTTCCAACTTAAACGATCTGTCGCGGTACATTTGAACTACTCGGAAATTAAATAGTCGCGGGATCGCGTCTCGGCGCCGAGGCCGGCCCTGCCCTTTCGGATCTCTGTCCGGGAGTCTGCGCCTGCATCCGGGCGTCGCGTCGGGTCCAGCGGTAAGGATTCCAGTCGCGAGAGGCTGCGAAATCGAAAATGGGCGGAGGTTTCGCGAAAACCACCCTTGCCGCGTTTGTTTTGCTGTTCCTTACGGATAACCTGGGAGGAACAGATGCGTCTAGCGAGAAAATACCGCTGGGTGAGTACTTCGCGAACGTCCCGCTCCCACTTTCCTTTGTTTTCGGTGGGGGTGTTGTCAAACGGGGAGGCAATAGGTTATAGTAAACAGCCCATTTTCCCCGGTGGTGCGGGAAGGTTTCTCCTAGAAGGATAATGGTATGTTCGAACTACTCGAACGGGGAACAATATTTTCAGGTGCGATTTTCGAACAAGGGACGGACGACGTGCAGACGGCGTTTAAATTCGCCATGCTCAACCACAATCAAAACATTTCCGGGCGACGCTTCGAGCTCCAGGCCTACGTGGACGTCATCAACACGGCTGACGCGTTTAAATTATCGAGGCTGAGTGAGTAAATTGTTGGTCGCGATTATTTTAATTGACGTCCCCGCGGTAGTTTGCAGTCAATTTTCCCGGGGGGTTTACTCGATGCTGGGCGCCGTCTCCCCCGATTCGTTCGACACTCTGCACTCCTACAGCAACACCTTCCAGATGCCCTTCGTGACGCCTTGGTTCCCTGAAAAGGTAATCGCCCCACCCCTTCCGCATCTCTGCTGATAATGTTTCTCCAGGTTAAGGCGCCGTCGTCGGGATTTCTGGACTACGCCATCTCCATGAGGCCCGAATATCACCAGGCCATTGTCGACACGGTCAAGTACTACGGCTGGAGACGCATCATCTACATGTACGACTCCAACGACGGTGAGTGCGTTTCGAACGTTTGGTACATTTAAACTACTATATAGATTTGGATTGCCGGTGCTGGAATGTGCCTCGATAATAAAACGGAGACTATGTGGTAGTTCAAAAACACCGGTACATTTGAACTACTCGATCGGTCATATTAGAATATGCCGATAACAAAATGGAATCGGTACATTTGAACTTTTTGTGCATTTGACCTACTCGATACGTTTGGATCGACGACGACGAGTCTATTTGGTAGTTCAAATGTACCGGTACATTTGAACTACATCGAACTAGTTTAAGATTGGCCACATTAGAATATGCCTATGACAATGCGGAATACTCGATTAACCTTTGAACAGTGTTCGTATATAGTATTTCAAACTTATTTGATCGTTGGAACTATTTTATTAAAAATATAATAAAAGCGATTGAATACTACTCGTCCCGTTCCTTTCCGTGTCAACGGGTTTCGAAGGAGTCTTCCGCGTGGTAAAAACGGTTAACGCCTTCGTCAGGTTTGTTGCGGCTGCAGCAGATCTATCAGGCACTCATACCGGGGAACGAGAGCTTCCAAGTGAAAACCGTGCGAAGGATAACGAACGTGACGGAGGCGTTGCAGTTCCTGAGGGGCCTCGAGGAGCAATCGAGATGGGAGAACAAGTACGTCGTTTTAGATTGCTCGGCCGATATGGCGAAGGAAATCGTTGTTAGCCACGTGCGAGATATCGCGCTCGGAAGGAGGACGTATCACTATCTGCTGTCGGGGCTGGTGAGTTTATGCGCGCGCCACTGCGATCGACTCGTTAAAATTTCCGCGACACGATAAACGATCCGAATTAGCATAAAAATTTCCCGTCGTCGATGGTTTTTTTTTGTTAACTTTATTTCTGGATCGCGTGTCGCATTTTTAAACTTGCCATTTTCATAATGGCCCGTTCGCAGGTTATGGACGATCGGTGGGAGAGCGAGGTCATCGAATTTGGTGCCATCAACATTACTGGTTTCCGGATAGTGGACGCGACCAGAAAACACGTACGGGAATTCCTGGACGGGTGGAAACGCCTCGATCCCATCTCGTCGCAAGGGGCGGGAAGGGAGTCCGTGTCCGCCCAGGCGGCCCTCATGTACGACGCAGTGTTCGTCTTGGTCGAAGCTTTCAACAAGATCCTGCGCAAAAAACCGGACGTGTTCCGGACCAGCGTCAGGCGAAGCCAAATGTTCACTAACGGAACCAAGATCCTCGACTGCAACGCCTCCGGGGGCTGGATTACTCCCTGGGAACACGGCGACAAAATCTCGAAATACCTAAGAAAGGCGAGTAACCCTAAGCGTCAATTTCAAACGTTCCCGTAGTGCGTTTGAACTACTCGACGCGACGACGACGACTCGTCTGCGTTCGAAACGTGCACCACACACAAAATAATCCACCATAGGATCCGGAAACCCATAGGAGATACGAAAAAAAGTTTCTTACAAAAGTTCCTCAGACTCCTGAAGATTCAAAAGTATTCAAAAAATATCGATATATACAGGGTGTTCCATTTAAAATAACAAAGTTGATGTGAGATGGGACACTTTTGGGACACCCTGTATCAACGAAATTATAGTATTTTAAATATTCAGGAGAGTCCAAGACATTTTTGTACTAGACTTTTATTCGTATCTCCTGTGGGTTTCCAGATCGTATAGGGGATCGTTTTATTTGGCACACGGTGTGCAAAAAAAAGCGCAATCGGGTCAAAACCGGGCGTCCGGAATCGCGACTATTAATCGCTAAAAATCACGTGAGAGCTTTGCCGGATAAAATCTGGATTTGCACGACGACGGCGCGGCGTTTTGTTACGATTGCCGCTTTTCGCTCTAGATCGGTAGATAGCGCCGGACGTTTGACAAACGATATTGCTCGAGTCGGCCACTTGTTAGGCCGACCGCCACGTTCGCTTCAAGGACGATCGGCGCTTTGTTCCAGGTGGAAATCGAAGGACTCACTGGCGAGATACGGTTCAGCGAGGAGGGAAGACGGCAGAACTACACGCTGCACGTGGTCGAGATGACGGTGAACAGCGCCATGGTGAAGGTCGCCGAGTGGAGCGACGAGCTGGGGTTCAACGCGGTCGCAGCCAAGTACATCAGACTCAAACCGTCCGCGCACATCGAAAGGAACAAGACCTACATCGTCACGACGATCGTGGTCGGTACTGTAGATCTAGTAGTTTAAACGTACTACCAAATCGAATAAATTCGGTAGTTCAAATGGATCGGTACATTTGAACTACGAAGTCGAGTTTTTCGCATGTGATGGTTCAAAACTGCTCGAATTTTGCAATAGCCCTAACTATAGTACGACCAAAAATATAGTGCATTTACTGCTTTGACGTGTTAAGTGTTTTAGAATACCAGACCTGCATTAAGTAGGTCTTACCTGAGATGGACCGTTTATTTGAACATTTATTAGAATCTGTTTTTTAACACTTTAAAATATGGAAACCGTGGAATGAGGCAGATGTTCCCCTGTTAAAAAAAGACATGGAAAACAACGCAGAATTTGAAGACGAAGTGGAGATGGTAGTCGAACCTAATGACAATTTAGCAGACGAACTGCCTCAGCAAATAAAAAGAGGGATCCATTTGTCTTCGGATGCGAAACAAATTGTTTTGAATGGTTAAAATTTTATAAGAAATTCAGAACGGGAGCAGCAATAAAAACAAGTGACATGACCAAAGTTCCGAAGTCAACTGTAAGATAAATTGTTGCCAATGGGATAGTCAAGAGGAAAGTGAGAGAAGATCTAATTGAGCGTATAATCTACGACGCTTATAAAATGAATAGTGTTTTATACCTAGAAACATCAGGTGTGTCAAACAGTCGTTGCGTAGTTTTTAGAAAAAAAATGGATTTTCAGTTCCAAACAATTAATAAACGTCAAGCGTTAATGGAATTTCGCAACGGAGGGTGGATTATTTAAATACAAAATAGGCCACTCACAACACAATAAAAAGTGTGATAACAGTAACAAGTGTGTACTGGACGTGCCGCCTTCACATGGAAAACGCATGATAATTCTTCATATATATATATATATATATATATATATATATATATATATATATATATATATATATATATATATATATATATATATATATATATATATATATATATATATATATATATATATATATATATATATATATATATATATATATATATAGATTTCTTGTAGATTTCTTTGGGTCATTGCGTTTCTTATACCGTCTCCCCGTGTGTTTCTGGGACGTCCTCTTTTTCTTTTTTTCTGGAGGAACCCAATTCAATATTTTTTTTGGCCATCTATCATCCGGCATTCGACATACGTGGCCGTACCATTTTAAACTTTTGGCTTCGATAGTGTCAACAATGGTGGTGTCTATCTTCATTCTTTGTTTTATCTCATTGTTACTTATTTTGTCTGGCAGTGTTAGTCCACAACAGCGTCTCCACTAGTCCATTTCCATTGCCAATAATCTTTTACGTAAATAATCAGTCATTTCCCATACTTCGGCACCATAGGTTGTAATACTCTTTACAATGGTCTTATAAATCCTGATTTTAGTTTCTGGTCGAATTTGGGTACTCCACAGTATTCCATTTAACTGCTTTGTTGCATGTTTTCCCTGTCGGATGCGGTTCTTAATTTCAGCTTCACTAGTGCCACTTTTTGTTATATCTACTCCCAAGTACTCGTAGGAATCGACACATTTTATAGTTCCCTGATCTAGGATTAAATCTGTTTGTGCCTCCTGCGATTAGATATTCTGTTTTTTTCATATTAATTGATAGACCCTAAGACTTGTACGCCTCGGTCAGTTTTCTGACCATATAGTTTATATCATCCTCATCCTCAGCAAAAATGACCTGGTCATCGGCAAAGTGCATTGTGAAGAGTTTATCATTACCAACAGAAATTCTCAAGTTTCGGCAGTTGCGTCTCCAATGTTTTAACGTGGTGTTCAGGTATATCTTAAACAAGATAGGAGCGATTGCACAGCCCTGCCGTAGGCCTTTAGATATTGGAAATTCCTCCGATAATTTCGTTCCCAATTTAATGCTGCTAGTCATATCAGTGGACAAATTTTTCACCCTGTTACTTACTTACACCATTTTCCGACATTGCAGGCACAGTCTACTGAGGCGCGCACTGCCATAGGCTTTTTTTAAATCTATAAATATATTTTTTTTAGTAGCTGTTTTAAACAGAATAAGTTATCAGAGCATGATCTGCCTGCACAGAAACCATTTTGTTCATCTATGTCATGAATTTGTTGTTCTATTCGTGTTTTAATGATTTTTCCATTTGGCTTGAAAGGGAGTTTGTTACACTAAGTCCTCTATAGTTTGAGCATAATTTCCTGTCACCTTTTTTATGTAAATTCGATATGTAGGCAGTTTTCCATTCTGAGGGGAGTTGTTCGCCTCTCAAGAAACAGTTGAAAACAAATGTAAGTAGTTGGAAGAGTAGGTTTGGTCCATTCTTTAAAAGTTCGATGGGAATTCCTTTTGACCCAGGAGCTCGTCCATTTTTCATTTCTCTAAGAGCCTTTCTTACTTCTTCTTCTGTTATTAAATCTTCTTCTGTAAGTGAGCTATCTAAACTTATACTCGCGTCTTGACTCTCTCTTATAAATTCTGGGCGATTTTCGGTGAACAGTTGCTTATAATGGCATACCCACTCACTTGGCTGTATAAAGCTGACAGGGACTCTTTCTTTTCTGTCTGTTCTCAGTGATTTTAAAGTTCGCCATGCTTCACTGGATCTAATGTATCCTATTTGCTGATCGATTTGCATGCATCTGTTGTCCCATAATTCTTCGAAGATGCCTTATTTTTGTCTGCCAAAAACGTCAAGGTTCAAGTATGGATTACCTTGAAAACGTGACCGAGGAAATATTGAGAGCTAGTTCGAAAATAAACTGTTGCCAAAACTATCGCCCAATACTCGAAAAATTCCAAATACTTCTTCAAATTAAGAAGTAATTAAAGAATTTCTATACGAAAATTTTGAAGAGAGCTACACAAAACAAACTTCTGGAATTATTAAAAATAAAACATTTTAATAAAGACTACAAAATTGGTTCGATAGCACAGCAAAACGAATATGAAGTCTTGAGATTACCCCCGTATCATTGTATCTTTAACCCGATTGAGATGATTTGGTTTGAGTTGAAAGCGCATATAAGAAAAAAACAACACTGCACCAAAATTTAGTGATATTAGCATAAACGCAATTCGGCAAGAGGTAGCTAAAATATCACTGCAAAGCTGGTCTAACTCTGAAAAACGAGTATTAAAAGAAGAAAATATTTTTCAAAGAAATTTCCATAATACTTATACTATTTACTTATATATATATACTAATATATATACTAATACTTTTTACAAAACTTGTGGATTCCACCTGCGTCGGTTTTTGCTAAATCGAACTTGCTGACGTTGCGCCAATCATCCTGTTGGCTTCTTCAGGGCTTGACTGAAACTGACTGACATTTCAATCAGTACCTGCTTAGATTTTGATTGAGGGAGGCGGAGCTAAATGAGGGGCATGAACAGCGTCTCGGGTGAGTGATTCCGATATTGGTGACATATAGAGACCTGAGTCTCGGATTTTTAGGTTGTTTATAGACTCTCGGATTTTTCATTGGTTGCAAGAATTTTAGTTTTAGCGAATAAAATTTTATTGCCGGTTTCGTGATTATGTTCGGCAACAGCTGATGAGTTTATTTGTCTTAGTCGTAAGGCTCTTTAGTGTTCTTTTAGCCTAGTTGATATTTTTTTCCCGGTCTCTCCAATATATTCTTTGCCACATATGCATGGAATGCTGTAAACTCCTGACTTCTCAAATGGAATTTTGTCTTTGATCGACCGAAGATGTTGACGTTTTACCATTGAGTTGAAAACTAATAATAACCTTCCATTCTTAAATTTTCTTATCAACAGAAAATCAGACCTAACATTGGGTCATTGTGTTTACAGAAAAGCTACGCACACAGACCTTAATGCATGGTCACATTACCATCCGGCCCCAAAATCATCGGTTACAGAGCCGTAAGTCGCTGAACCCAGAATTAAAATATCTTACCTCTGCTCTTCTCTCTAATAATTTCCGCATTAAAGATATTAAGCGTTTCATGAAAAAATACACTTCACCCCAACCTTCCAATAGCAATGAGGCCGAAAGCACTCCTACCATTGCCACTTGCCACCTTACATTCAAAAGTATGACGTCAAAACCAGATTTACTATTTGTCCAAAAATCTCTCGTCAGGAGTTTACAGCATTCCATGCATATGCGGCAAAGAATATAGTGGTGAGACCGGACGAAAAATATCAACTAGGCTCAGAGAACACGAAAGAACCTTACGACATAAGACAAATAAAACCGGAGATAAAATTTTATTCGATAAAATTCTCGATAAAATTCTTCTAAGAACGAAAAATCCAAGAGTCTATAGAAATATATAAACAACCTTAACCGCGACTCAGGTCTCTATCTGTCATCCGAGACTTTGTATATGGTTCTCATTTAGTTCCGCCCCCCTCAAACAATATTTAAGCAGGTACAAGCAGTTTCGGTCAAGCTCTGAAGAAGTCAACACGATGATTGGCGAAACGTCAGCAAGTTCTACTCAGCAAAAAGCGACACAGGAGGAATCCAGAAGTTCTGTAAAAAGTAAGAAAATATTTATCGAGAACGATTAGTGGCAGAGATGATAGTGATGATTTTTTAAGTGAATGATACTTTATTATTAATATAAAACGTAATAAATTGTTACTTTGTACAAATTTTTTTATGTACATGTTTCAAGAATTACTTATATCCCGTACGTTAGTGTAGGTAAATAAATTTCTTGGGTGATCCTGGAATAGTTACGGGTAAAGGTCTGCTCGGTAGAGTGTTCTATAAGGGGCTGCGGTTTTGGAGTAATAAACAGTAGGCAAAGTTAATCACGGGTCGGTTGTAAAAGCACTATATTTGTGGTCGAAGTATACCCTGTTAAGTCTATTGCTAGAGTTCAAAGGAACTGAAACCACACTGTTTTATTGCGCGTGGTTTCGACGGCTTCCGATCGTTTCGCAGGAAGAGCCGTACATCATGGTTAGGAAGGAGGAGCCCGGCGAGTATCTTGCGGGCAATGACAGGTTCGAGGGTTACTGCAAGGACTTGGCCGATCTGATCGCGAAAAAACTGAACATTAACTGTAAGTAAGCGCGGCTATAATTATTCGCGTCGAGCCTTGACCGGGATAAGTTAACAAACCGCGACGATGCGTGCTGAAACTTTAACACGCCGCGCCGACCTTCGAAACGTGCAACCCTCGCGATCGTCGCAATTAACGTTCGCGCCTCACCGATCGCCCTAAAAATTGAACGCATACAACAATTTCCGCTGCACCTCCGGAATCGGGCCAAGGCGCCCGCGGTTGCGTAAATATGGTGGCGCGAGCGATTGATTTTACGTCGACCTTTAAGGGCTTTTCCCCCTTCGAGAACATTAACGCCGTTTCAGACGAGCTCCGTATCGTAAAGGACGGAAAATACGGCGCGGAGAACCACGAGGTCAAAGGTGGATGGGACGGTCTCGTCGGCGAGCTGGTGCGCAACGTAAGACGAGCGAATCCGACCACAAGTGCCGGATACCATCTCACACGGGCTTAATTTCAGGAGGCCGATATGGCGATCGCCGCACTGACAATAACCTCCGAACGGGAGCGCGTGGTCGACTTCAGTAAGCCGTTCATGTCGCTTGGCATCTCGATCATGATCAAGAAGCCGATGAAGCAAAAGCCGGGCGTGTTCAGCTTCCTCAATCCCCTGTCCAAAGAGATATGGGTAAGCGAGGCCTCCCGCGCCGTATAGTTCGAACGTACCGCGGTACATTTGAACTACGCGTTCGCGGTCGGTCGGTAGTTCAAACGTACCACGGTACATTTGAACTATCCATCAGCGGGCGGTCTATAGTTCAAACGTACCTCGGTACGTTTGAACTACTCTTTGGGGCGTTCTCACCTCACCCGTTTTCAGGTTAGCATCATATTCGCTTTCGTCGGCGTGAGCGTCGTGCTGTTTGTCGTTTCCCGGTTCTCGCCGTACGAGTGGAGGATCCTCCACATATCGGGCGAGCACCGGGAGGCGCCGAACCCGCATACGAACCACGGCGGCACGATGGCCAACGACTTCACGATGCTGAACTCGCTGTGGTTCTCGTTGGCTGCGTTCATGCAGCAGGGCGGCGACATATCGCCCAGGTCGATATCCGGACGGATAGTGGGCGCGTGCTGGTGGTTTTTCACCCTCATAATAATATCGAGTTACACGGCGAATCTGGCGGCATTCCTGACCGTCGAACGTATGGTCGCGCCCATTAACTCGCCCGAGGACCTGGCCTCGCAGACCGAGGTCGAATACGGCACGCTGTACCAGGGTGCAACATGGGACTTTTTCCGGGTAGGTAACAACCGATGACGTTTTATTTAACCTCTTTAATCATTTTCGACGTGATGTTAGAAAAGTGGGAGTGACTTGCTCGTTTCTTTTGCTTGTGCGAGCATCGTCTAACAAATGGGTGTGATCTGGACGTTTACGTGAACTAAAGGGTCAATATTTAAACCCACAAAGTCGCAACGTCGTTAGCCTGTTTTGTGTTATATCCATCCCAGGCAATATTTTTAATGGTGGGCGCGGTACTCAAACAGTGCGCTGGATGTTGGTGTAGTCTGACCGTGTGCTGGTCATGGGATGGGCGGGGCTCGAATTGACTTCTGATAAGCCCCCACACTACGTGAATTCTCGTATTATTTTTCAGCGCTCTCAGATCACGCTGTACTCGAAGATGTGGGAGTTCATGAACTCGCGCAAGCATGTGTTCGTCAAGACCTACGACGAGGGCATTAAACGCGTTAGGCAATCGAAAGGTGCGGGCGAAGGGTACTTTTGAACTACCTCCGGTAAATACCCCCTCATTTCTAGGTAAATACGCGCTCCTGATCGAGTCGCCAAAGAACGACTACATCAACGAGCGGGAACCGTGCGACACGATGAAGGTGGGTCGCAACCTCGACGCCAAGGGGTTCGGCGTCGCGACGCCGCTCGGTTCGCCGCTGAGGGACGCGGTCAATCTCGCCGTACTCAGTCTGATCGAGGACGGCGAGCTGACGAAACTGAAGAACAAGTGGTGGTACGACCGTACCGAGTGCCTGCGGGACAAGCAGGTGAGAAATGGGTTGGAGCGATATTCCCGGGGAGCTCCGCCCTGCATTTTTCCCATTACCCGACGCTCAATTTTCACACACGACTTGCATAATTTACCATTTAACGCTTGCCGGCGCTAATTGCCTATAAAGTTCGTTAATTTGGCGCGTCGATTACCGCGTTGCAGGACTCTCTCAGGAACGAACTTTCCTTGAGCAACGTCGCCGGAGTTTTTTATATTCTGATCGGCGGGCTGTTCGTCGCGATGGCGGTTGCGGCCCTCGAGTTCTGCTACAAGTCGCATGTGGAAGCGAAAAGAGCAAAGATCCCGCTCAGCGATGCGATGAAGAACAAAGCGAGGCTCACCATAGGCGTGGGGCGCGACTACGATAACGGCAGGGTAAGTTTTCGTAGCTACCCGAGCGACCCCGTCCCCTGGAGAGACGCGCGCGCGCGCCACCAACGCGTTCTGTTTCAGTCAAAGGTACCGAGACGACAGTCGCAACAACCTTTAAATAACGGTCACCCGGCCGCGCCGACGACCCCGACTACGCCCACCACGCCGACGGGCACTCGCTGTCCGCGTCACGTGATCGTTAACGCGCGTGCCAACCAACACTACAAACCTAGGCACCAGGGCGTGCCGCATCACAACGCGCAGCCGCAACACCGTTACCAACAATACCATCATTACGTTAACACAACTTAAGTAAACAACGGCATTTCGGACGATATCGCCCTGGCACCGACCTCAGTACACTACACGAGCCCCCCATATTTTTCTCGTAGCCGGCCGTAGCGCGATCTGTTCTCTCGGTAATTTCCAGCACTTAACCTACGCTCATTGGGCCTCCAATCAACACATCTTTTCTGAAAATACACAATTTAACCAGTCGATGCATTCGCATATAATCTTATACGTTCGTAGGCGCAAAAAAATTACCCCGTTCGCGGATCACGTCGTAGATGACAGTAGCGGCAAAAGAAACCGTAGATGTTTGCGAAGTCGTTGACCGAATCCATTTTCGAAAAGTCTTACGAGCGACTCAATAAGAAATACGTCGACGTCCATGTTTATGCTAATGTTGGCAATCACACTTACTTTATTTCGAAGTCATCCGTAGTCAACTGTAGAAGTTCAGGGTGAATCTTGTAAATAGTCTGTAATACGTGAGATGTTCGTACTCAACTGTATAGGACCGTAGTTACGTCAAATTTCTTTAATGACATAACGAAGGTCCGGTATGTTAATACTGCAGAGTAATAAAATACAGTCACGAACAAAATATGTCAACCGTAGGCGGTCGTAACCCAAGTTGCATAATTCTATGTTATTTTGCATATAACTCAGACGTATACGCTTGTATTAGCAAAAATACAATGGGTGGCGTACGTAGTTAACCGTAGTTGCGCACTTAATCCTTATGGGACGTTCGTAGCCGTGTGTAGGGGCCCGTAGACAACAATGTGACGGCGACAAAAACGCGGAAACGGAACGCCGACCGATTCGGAGCTTATTTACCGCCTCCATGCCCCCGGATTCGTGCTGGGGAACGCAATTTTACGGTCTGCGGTTTAGGGGGTATTGCACCGCGCGACCGCGAAACGCTGCGGAATGCGCTTAAATAATCGCGACAGGTCCTTTTGTCTTCATTGTCTCGGACCGACGTAATTCCTGCGCTAATTTACGGACGAAACAATCGCGGATTTAGTTGCCAAAGTCGTGCTGATTTATACCTGCGGATTTCGTTGACGCGCCACGTAGTTTTGTCGATAAGTGGCCGCGATCAAAAAGATTTCCGGCACAGGTTTTCTTTTTCGTCGTCCCGAGACGAAACGTTTAGCGTTATCGATCGCCCAACCGGAATCGGAATTGAAGTTTTTCTTTCCTTTTTTTTCGAGACGAATTCGAATCGTTATCGCTTCGATTTGCGAAATACGTTTCGACTTTCCAGACACGAAGAACGAGGGTAGAAGATTTTCATGGAGTTTATGGACATATGCAGACATTTGGTTCTACTGTGGTAGTAAAAGAAAAAGGTTCCATGTAACACCCACGTCGTTTACACCTAAAATGCGGCTGATCCTCGTTAAACCTATTGCAAAGTTTTTTGCCCAGAGCTTCATCAAAGTATTAAATATTTTCTGCTGATTACGTATAGGTTTAGAAATTTCATTGTAAAAATCTGTGATATGTATAAAAGCAATTTAGTTACATCGTACATCTCCGTACATAGCAACCGGAAAATTTTCTAAATAACCTTAAAAAAAATTTACAAGAAGGAACTTTCCCAGGAAAGTGTACGATTATTTGCGGACCATTGACATCCTCCCCCGCAATGACCCGACACTAATGGACCGAAACTGGCGGGCGGGGACCGTTCAGCACAAAAGAGACGCGTTAATCACCTGTGGCCACGACCGGATAATTAAGGGGTCGCAAATCTACGCGATCGCGCGCCTTTTTACCGCGTTTTTCGGAAGTGGGGGGGGGGGTCGCGTTGGGGGCCGATCGATGCACGACCCCCGGCGCGCAACGGGGTCAGCAAACAGCCACCCTCTGGATTTTCCGTGCGAACGAAGGGACTGATTGGCCGACATGCGAGAGATTTCAAAGTGGGGGCTCCCCCGCCGCCGACCTTTAATGAGCCAGGACGGCCCGATCTGCTGCCCTGTTATTTTCACGGCTCCGCGGACTCCCGAAATAGAACATCGGGAGAGGCCTTGACACGTACCCTTTGCCGCCCCCGGGACACGTAATGCCGCGGACTTTAACACGGGGGGCGGTTGCCGTACTTGATTTATTCGGCGTGAAATCGGACAAACTCCTATACAGGGTGTCTGATCAACATTTTTGTGCTACAAATTGAAACGAAAATGTAAATTAAAGATGTTTTCGTCTACTTTTGACTAGTTTATTAAGAAAATGAAAAAAAAGCTATTATTTCAGGGCTCCCTATACGTCATCGGCCAGCCCAGTGGTGGGGAAACGTTTTGTTAAGACCGGCCATTTGTAATAACTAGACGATCGTAGCGGGTCAAAGGATAATGCTTAATCGTTAAAAAAATTATGTGTTGTATAAACATATGCATAATGTAATAATAATTACATACGCTTATTATTTTAATAGTAAGAACGCAAAAGGTAAGAAAATTATAAGCACAAAATATAAAAAATTTAGTGTAGTTCTTGATGTGAATTATTATCACTTTATTTTCTGGTGTCATTACTGGTTGATGGTGCATGAGAAAAATGAAATTGAGACTGTTTCATCAAAATTAGAAATTCTTAAAACTGACGAAAGGTGCTCATCTGTAATTCGGTTTCTTAAAGAAGTTTTCCTATCTGGACTTAAATTTTTATAAAATTTTAAATTATAATTATATTTAATAATTTAAATTTTTATGAAATTTTAGTAATGGTACTGTATGACAAGTTTGTTTCAGAAGAGTATTACAGTTCAGTTCTATTAACTTCAGTTGAAATTTTGCATCAGCTTCTTCGTAATTAACATTGAATGGGAAAAGTCTGGTTCCATTTTTCTAAAGCCCTAAAATCTCCTTTCAAATTCTGAAGATGGTTTTCTCAAACTAATTTCGTATTTTTTAATCTTATTGTTTGACATAGTGAATTTTAAAGATTGTATTCTTGGAAAACGAGAAAACTCAGACTTAGAGATCTGATTAGCAAATAATAATAACTGTAATTTCAGGTATTGCCAAATATCGTGAAGAAACTGATTTTTCCCTTGCAATTTGAGATTAAGTTTATTCATGTGTAGGAGGAGGTCTGTGAAAAAAAGCAAAATCAGAAAGCCACGTTTCGTTTTCTAAGACGTCAAATTGATTATAAATGTCTTTATCGAGAAGAAAATTCACAATATCGTCTTTTAAATTCTAAATTCCTTCAAATACTTTTGCAGCCCTGAACCAATGATCTTTTGAATAATACAGGATATCGGAATGCTCAAACATTCTTACTACGGCACTCTTAAACGGACCGGATTAAACCTTTCCGCATGCCAGAGTTGGCCCTCGGGCCGAAGTTTTTCCATCACTGGGCTGGCCTATGGAATTTGATGTTATCCTATTGTTATCCTTCACCCCCCTCCCTATCGTAAATCGGCTCGGTCACTTCCGACGGTTATGACTTTTTTTTTTGTATGTTGCAGTACTATACGCCGGCGAACCAGATTGGCAGCGGTACCGACCAGGAGCAGGCGCACAGCAATACCCACACGCAAGTGTAGACGTCCCAGATGGCATACGTCGTTTAACTGAATCAAAATGTCCCGAAGACTATCGCGACGAGATCAAAAACGTAATCAAATTCGCAGAAGTTTTATATATATTTTAACATATCCTCCCCATTCCTTTCCGACGCCCCGGTGTTTTTCACAGTCGATGTTCGTTGTCCTGTAACTAATGTTCTAAACTATTATATAGAGATCGTTGATAATTAAAATTTGAAATAGGTAGGCAATTATTGTATCCACCCGAACTGCGCCAAGGCTCGTTTTTTGTAATAACTATTGTGTGTTTAGCGCTCGAAACGGAACGCGCCTAACAATAATATACGCTGTTCTTTCGAGAAAAACTTGTTTCTGTCTCGTGCCCTCGGATCCCTGAGCGATTGGACTTAAAAATTTATACACCAAACAGAATTCCCAGATTAACTACAACTTAGTACTACTTAGATACAGTAAAAAATACACATTATTACAAATTTTTAAATGCCTTAACCAAAAACGACCGGAAGTTTAAAAATCTGAAAAGTGAGACGACAACACGCGAAAGAGGGACATCCTGTATACACCCGTGGGCAAATTAAGGGGGCGGGATGGGGGTTCGGAAACGGAAGACTCTTACCGCCACGCGGCGATTACGTTCCGATTTTCTTTTCGGCGACCGGAAACCTCCCGACCGCCCCGCCCTCTTTTTTCCGCGACAATAAATCAAAATCGGGTTCCGAGAATGTCGCTTTTGTGCACAGACCCAAGAAAACCTCGCTCAAGGAAATACTTCGGCGTTGCCGTCGCTGCGCAAAAATCCTGCTACGGAGGCGGCGGCAACGACGCCCGACAGGCGGCGGGCCGTCCGAAGTGGAGTTGACCGCGAAACCGCTATAAATACGGCGAGAGCGGTGGGTCGATACGCCGAACGTTTATTATTTTCACGCATCTCGCACCCGATGCAAAACCTCCCTCTCGCTACCTGTACCCCCGCCCCGCGCCTGACTTCAATTATTCAGAGAAAAATCGACTCGAAAGAAGTAAAAAAAAAATGCATCCAAAATCCCGAAAAAATATGCTGCCACGTTTGTGGAGGTGGGAAGTAGATGAGAGATAAAGTGGCCGCATATGAAAAACGACGATCTCCAGAACCGGGCTCTTATTAAAATCGGGAAATTGTTTATTAGTCCACAACTTTTCGCGATACGACTCTCACGTACTTATAATCGTGGAAAACGCAAATGTCATGGCGATTTTTTACGAACAAGGAGCCCGTTACATAAAACATCTGCACTGCCTCTAGGTCATGTTGCCTGTTTCAATTGCGCTAAGGATGATCGCGAAAACAAAAAAAAAACAACCACAAACCTGAAGCGAGCATATTTTATTTGATTTGCCCCGTAACAGTATCCGATGAAAGATCGCGATGTAAATCGCTACCTTAAAACGGTTTTTAGCCTCTCATACATACCACGTTATCGCTTGCTCAGCTAATGTATCCCCGTCGAAGGAAGAAGAAAAACCCCCGCTCGAACTAGGTCAAACGGGGATGTTTTGAAACCGGTTCCTCACGATTTTAGCTGCGTATCCCCAGTCATTTTTTAAACGCGCTTGTACCACCCACCCCCGCTTGAATCCTTTGACGTCCAGAAGAAAAAGGGACGACGCTCCGTCATGCCACCCACACCCCCAAGGGGTTAGTTTTTTCAAAGCCATTGTTTCCGAAACGCGCGTGTAAGCCCGACAGAAAAAATAAATACACTCCCCCGTCCCATGTATCGCGATATCTGATCGTGGCTGCTTCCATTAGAACGTCGCCGAAAACCCATCGAATTGCGTCTCGATGCCTGCCCAACCACTCGATTTCGCTCTCGGAATTTAAAAACCCTCGAAGCTTATATTAAAGCAACAACGTGTTGACTGCTCACCCCTCTCGTGCTGGAGATAATTGGATACTAATCACCCACTTAGCGCTGCTCGGGCGATATATTTTTTTAGCCCCCCCACCGCCCCCTGGTTTTGAAACTTTCAAGCGCTGACAAATCGCTTCGGATATTTGTTTTGTTCTATATCGTACCGGTGCGAATAGCCTCAGGATGGTTTGCCCGCGGGTCCTGCTGTCATTTTGACATTAATCTGGCTCCTGCCGCCGGGTCCCAGAGTCTAGCGCGATCGATCGATCGGAGAAGCAGACCCCGGGACCAGACAAGGCGCTGCTGTGTAGTCGCCTCTCTGTCGCACTCCCGCTGCGGTTTAGTACAGATTCGAAGGTATTCAGCGAGTAACCGGAAAACCTATGGGCTGATCCTGGTACCTCAAGGTGGCGTTCAAACCACTTACTCATTTTAAGGTTAAGGAGTTAAAGAACGTATTCAAAACAAGGTTTCCTTTGTAATACAAGCTTAAGTAACTACCAAGTACCATGATCAAATTCAATTTTTGGGTGAATGAATGTTATATCGAAAGTCTTTTTAAGGCCAGGCAAATACCAACGCATTTACGGCAGATTTTCCTACATAATTCTTGTGATCACGACGGTCACAGCGTAATTCCCACATCTATCGTTCGTCGTGTATGTTAGTTCGACTTAACGAATTATTAAAACGGTCAAGCTCTTAATTAAAACCACTGTTATGGTAAGTGAGGTACACTCTAATTATGCTGGTCATTGTACCAAAGACCGTCGAGATTGTAGCTTCCGAGTGCTTTAAAAATTTACCTTCGGCATCGAGTACAACTATAAGCGCGGAGAATGAAACGCGAACCCTTACTACATTTCCACCACTCTACGCGACCCCCAGACCTTGCGCACTGTCCTCGACCGCCCAGCAGAACGGCCACTCCTTGCGAGCGCGTCGACAGCAAGCAGCTTCGCGCTTAGCGACCCCTTGAAAACACACGCGTCAAACCAGCAGTCCGACAGCGAACCCGCGGCCGCGTGCCGACAGTGCGATATTGCGAATTTTCCGTGTAACATTGCAATAAAACCGCGCGCCTATGGAGACGAGGTCCTGCTCCGAGTCCGCCGAAGCCCTCGCGGAGATGACGCCCACCGGGACCGTCGACAGGGCGCTAGCCGGGCGCGCGGAAGCGTGAAACAACGTACGAAGACGCGAGAAAAACGAAGGATACACCGTGCACCGAGCCCCATCAACGAGATGGGGCCCCTAGGGGCCTGCTTTACGCGGGCACCCTTCCAGCTCCCCGCCGCGACGACGATGATCTGCGTCTTTGGTGTGTTCCTGACGATGGCGACAATGAGGTTTGGACCGGTACACGCCGGGTAAGTACCCAGGAACAATATCTAGTTTTGTTGATAAATATATACGGTCAATGTGTTAAAATTGAACACGTGTTGAGACCATTGTTAGGTTTTAATTTTAAATTTTATCTGTCAAAAGAGTCACGAGACGCTATTGCTCAATAACTGTAATTACTGATCACAGTCTTCAAAACTTTCTTGCAATCAATCAGTCAGTCGATAATGACCATCGTGTGTAACTACTCTAAGATAAATATCTCGCCAATAGATTTAGAGGAGGACAACGATAGCAAATAGTGTTTTAAATTAATAACTTCGGAGGATACGACGCTCATTGTTTCGTTGCCTCATCTAAGAGAGTTTGCATTAATTGTGTTGTTTGAACCGTCGAAAGTAGAAAATTACTATCGTTTCAGCAAGCTTTGGGGAAAATTTACGTCACAATCGAAACGCCGTCAGGTCAATAATATCGACACCCCTTTCGTTACGATCTCGCCACCCCCTCGCCCCAATTCTGTCGGTAAATTTACACTGTCTCTGTGTACGAATCGCTCAGCCACGAAAAGTCTCACATCATAAATTTCGACTTGTGCAAATACGAGAGACGTTTCCCATAAATCGAAAACCAAAAGTGTGTCTGGCAGACAAACAATCCGAAACATGGTCAAACAAAAGACGGGGCGCGGCGTCTTCTATTGACAATTCGAGGGACGAAATTCGCTCGGGGACTTTTTTTTGCGGTCTGTTTCGATATCGACTGCTCGGAAAATTCGACACCGTCGCCGAAATGGTTAGATTTGTTTATTTTTCACCGAATCCAGTGGCGTACTTCGTAATTGGCGGCTGGGGAAAAGAGATGGAAAATCGCCGCCGTCTCCGCGGGACCTTAAAATTTAAAGAAAACAAAACCCCCGGGGGCGGGGTGAGCGTCGCCGGTCGCCCCGGCGCCGGATAAAAGGGCGTCGGTTCGGAATCAAACGATTTTGGCTCGCGTCCCTTTGTGTCCCGATTTCGGGACTCGTTTCGATTTATTCGTCCCAATAAGGAACTCCCGAGGGGTAGGCGTGCGGGCGGAGGAATTTGGAATACGTTCAAAGCTTGCCGAAACGTTGAAAATATTCTTTCACGACTTTGGTTACGATACTCATTTGTTCATCGAGCGTTCACGAGTCTCTCTCGTTTATCAGGAGGAACCAGGGAGGGGGCAGTTACCTGGGGGACGTCAACGTTTCGGCTATACTGGACTCGTTCAGCGTCAGCTACGACAAACGCGTAAGACCAAACTACGGAGGTGAGTGAGCCGCTCTGAAAAATGAAAATGTTTCCAGGCTAAGGGATTCTTAATGCCTAAAAAATGGCGGGTATCCTAGATAAAATAACAGTTTTAATATAAATAAAATTGTAATCGACGATAACGCTGCCGAAAAATAAAATATATTTTAATATCGGATCTTAATACACTAGTTATAACAACATTACCGAAATTTTAAATGGAAATATGGCGCTGAAAAACTTAACTGTCATTTTTGAAGACGGTGTTTTTGTGACTAAAATTTTGACTTTATTTTGTAAACATTTTTATCTCATTGCAGATTCAAAACTGTCAAACATGATTTATCTATTCATTTCTTTTTATTTACATTCATTACTTTGGAGGATACGAAGCTCATTGTTTCGCTGCCACATTTAAGAGAGTTTACATGGGTTGTTTAAGTCTTGAAGCGTCGAAAATAGTAAATTACTTTTATCAACAAACAAGTCGTAACCTCAATCAAGTTCGAACCAGTGAAATTCACCCAAACTTGTAAAACAATAACGTGGCTGATAAAACATTTTTCTTGCAAATTTTGATCGATTTCCCGGTTGCGGCAAGAATTAACCAATATTTAAGCATCTTTTAAATGTTTATCTTAAACAAAATCTAGTTAGTTACGCAAAGATCAACCTTCATTTCCAAATATATTCAAAAATTGTTAAATCGTTTTTGCAATATTGACGTGTTGGCAACACACGCACACATCCACATACACGTTGCACCGCCGAAAAAAAATTAAATTCTCGATAACAATGATGATATAGAAATTAACGTGAAAGCAATATGGGCAAACACAGAAAAAGTTTTGACATTGCGATTTTAAATTGAACTTAACCCAAAGTTCTAAAATATGGGTGATAAGTAAATTTTGTCATTTTCCCAATAAATTTTATTCTATTTTGTAAAATATTAAGAAATAACCACATCTTTCTATACTTCGGATGAAGCAAAAATTAACCAACGTTATTTTATTGTTTCTTTTATTTTATCCAAACTTATACAAGATTTAGCTCCTCAAATCTACAGACTACTTTAGATAAACAAAGTTACAGGATTTGGACGGTTCATTGATAGAATTTTTTTCCTGCCGGTCGCATCCCGTGGTTGCCGAAAATTCCTAAACAAACCCCCCTCTCCGCCCCGCGTGGTAGTAAGCTGTTGGCGTCCCGGGAGCTCCGGGCCCGGAGTCCGCGGCTGTCAACTTTGACCTTTAGCGCGCCCATCTTACGGGGGTGATAGCCGCGACTAAATATAGATAATAATCAAAACGTTCGATAAGTTATATAAATATACAATGGGAGAGATTTAAAATTGATTGGGGAAAAATTGGTATTAAATGTCTTTGGACGTTTCATGCTCCACGTTTTCGGACAGAACCGAAATATACAGAAATATACAACGTTTGGTTCGGTTTGAACACATACAACTTATGCACTAGATGCGAAATTATTACATACATTTTATAATAACTATTCAAAAACAAAAATTGAAGGGTATAACGTGCCACCATCTCGTGGTCTTGCAGACGAAAGGGAAAGAGCGATACTTGACCTTAAAAAGTACATCTGTGACGGAAATTAAGTAGTATAGCAGAGCCGGTTCTAAGGCACTTTTGATGAAAATTTTGAATTGGCGTGAATCGTTTCGCATCGATAATCTTACTTTTAATAGATGTATTTTCAGGTTGTGCTAAATTATGTGTTCTATGTTAATGTATATCTTTCTATACGTACTGTCAAGAATGGGATTGCTAAGGCCTGCTAAGTTAACTCAAACTTAGAAGCCTCAATATCGTAATTTTTATAATCTTTAAATTATAAAATTTTTAATTTTCGTATATTCCGTCTACTTTGTTGTCGACTTTGATCATCAATATGTAGATAAAGATGATAAATTTTAGGAAAATAGAAAATAATATTTCCGATACCTAAAGTCAGCTAGAGGAACCAATTTTATCAGAAACGGCGACAGAAGCAAAAATAAGATGACTACTACGTCATTAAATCCACATGCACACGTTACAACGCCTTCAGTGAGTCGTGAGCAAGTGAACAAAACATAACATAAACATAGTTACGCAGTAAGGGTCAACGGTCTATTTTGAACCAAACTATAACGGACAAATATACCGGATGAATCAGTAGACAAGTAGCAAAATTATACGGGGGTGATCCTAGAGTGTGCGAACCAGAATTCGATAAAGAGGGGTTAGGTGTCCGACACATACGAGCCACCGGAGCGTCCGGGGCGCGAGAGGGTGGGGCTGAATCGATGACGGTGGTCGCTAGGCAACCGCAGGAGACCGGATCGGAGCAGCATCCCTCCGGCGTCGACATTTATATTACACGCGACTTTCGCCGCGGGTTCGGCGCCTTTTCATCCGAATAACGGCGCGCCCGCACATACACGCACGGACACACACAAAAATACGTCTTACGCCACAATACGTTTGAACTATTCAGTGTCGCCGGAGGAAAAATAAATATTCTCTAGAGTCAAGTCTTTTAATAATTTTAACGATAGTTTTATGGCAGTGGTCGCCAACCTCTTCAATGTGTTGAGCTACTTTGTTAATTTTGGATTTTTTTGTGGAATTGTTTATGTTTAATATTATATCAATTAGATTTTTTTGTGCAATTTTGAAGCTTCTTTGATTTTTGCAGTTTGTATTTTTAAATTTAAAATCGTTGTGAGAACTACATTGCCTCCACGAGCTACCGCTAGCTGGGCGAAAGTCTATTCATTAGTTACATCCACTATATCATCTGATTGCAGGCGGGTAATAACACCATGTAACTGTTACGAGTCTTCTAACCCAGAGACACTGTTGGGTGCCTAAGAAATTAATTTTCAGATGGATCGTTTATATAGGGATTTTTCAAAGACATTGGATATAATTGACGTTCTTTCCAGTGTGTGTGCGTGCGTGCGTGCGTGTGTGTGTGTGTGTGTGTGTGTGTGTGTGTGTGTGTGTGTGTGTGTGTGTGTGTGAATGTGTGTGTGTGTGTGTGTGTGTGTGAATGTGTGTGTATGTGCCTCTGAGTGTGTGTGTGTGTACTTCAAGCTTCAAATATTGGGCTTGCTCTCTGCAATTCATTCTGCCAACTTTGTTAGGTACAATATAAGTTCAATTTACCGCTGGTCGACATTAAACACATTGAATCTAAATATCAAATGAATGTAATATTTTAGTTTAGCGTCGATTTATCAACATCCGTCTTTAGAATTTTCTATTACGTCTGTGTCGTCCGTTCAGTGTTCGAATGTGTTAGCCAAGTTTGATCTTCTAATTAGAAAATGTTCAAAGTTTCTATCATATTGCAGCATACAGATTAAAAGTACTAAATACTTTCAAAGTCTTTCAAAATTAAATTTAAAAAATCATCGTTGGTATAAGGAATTATTTCATGATTCATTTAGTGATACTAACCATGGCTTGAAGATTGCATTGGTTCGTTCGCAAAGACCGTTTATTATCCACGATTTAGAAATTTCTAGTACTGTAATACGTATTGAAAATAGTCTGAAGCATGTTCGACCTAGCTAATTATATAGCTATTATAATTATTTTCTAATAGTCAATAAATAAACAAATAGTCTATATAAAAAAAAAGATAAAATTTTATTACAGAGACAGAATAATTTTAGGTTTTTTGTTGTTGTATTATTTAGTAATAATATCTTCTTGAATAATATTGCTTATAAATCTGGCGACTTGACCAATTCTAACATTTTTTGAAAATATTTTCGCTTCAAAAAGAGTTCATAGACAGAATTAAACCTTTTAACAAATATAGATTTTCCACTACCGGAGGTGGGTTGTTGCCACTATCAACCCCCATTTCTTCAAGGCGTTCAACATACCAAGTTGAATCATGTCAATAAATTTGGTACTTTGATGGCTTAAAAGTTTAAGCCCATTAAATGTGCTTCGAGGGTCTTAATTCGGCTCCCTGTCAACTCATCAATATTATTTCATGAAGAGTATCACTGCAGATGATTGTCTTCTACTGCAAAAGGACGTTGACAGGTTAACTTTGTCATGTTGGACTAACGGCATCCATCTTGATATTATGTTGACGGCAGTGCACCGGACCAGTTCAGGGATTTGGGTGTTTTGCTGAGGTTCGTTTTGGTTCTATAATCAGATGCTAGGGTTTGTGAAACCAGCACAAGAGCAATTGTTAGCCTCTACTCATCTAAACAATATATTTTTATGTCGCATAAACTTCTCTAGGTCCTGTCCTTTCTTAGTATGTCTTAAGTGAATAAATAACAGGGATAACAATAATACATAGATAATTACAAAAGAAATGTATAGAAAACATAAATAGAAAAGCAGGTTGCCACTAAACGATCAAAGGATTCATGGTGGCGTTGATTATATTGATTGATTTGATTTAATTATAAAAGATCCTGACCATTGTAGTAGTGTGTACTAGTCGAATGGGACCTAATAAAAGCGATTGAGCACGCCAACAACCAAATTCATTCGCGTTTGTTTCGCAGGCGCTCCCGTCGAGGTGGGGGTCACGATGTACGTGCTGAGTATAAGTTCGCTGTCAGAGGTGAAGATGGTACGCGGACGTTTCGTACACGAGCTTTGTGCCCCCCTCGCTTTTGCGCACCGACACACTTTACGGCCGCGGGGGAGGGGGGGGGGAGAAGGGGAAGAGATTCGATGTTTTGGGGGGTTCGCGGTATTTTTTCTCTTCGTACTACACGCAAAAAAATGTGTCATTTTGAAGAGAATTCAGTGGCGATTCTATAATTTTGTATTTGCCTTTATTCAGTGACCTCAACCAGGAAAAAGATGGATAGTAATGAGGATTGTAGTCTTTTCCTTGCTCGTTTATATAAATATGATAATGTGGTGCTCCCGTTCTTTGATTATTTTATTTACCCATATATTTCACTAATATTTTTTGTCCATCGTCATTTGGTGATCAGTCTCTTTGTGTTTTTAAACCAATTAAAACTGTTCCTATTTACGTAGATTTATAGTTTTGCGCTCCAGCTTCCTTTTCTAACTGACTGGTAGCCAATTCCAATTGCATATTCCGAGCGTCTTCCCCAGGTGATCTCGCGGTCGTTCTTGGAACGCAGACAGGGCTAGGCTCGGCCCATCCAATTCGCTTGTCACAGTTTATTCTAAAATTAAGTCCGAGCCACTTCGGACATTTCCGGGATTTTACCGCGAATTTTGACGTTTGTCAATTCTCACAGTCATGCTAGTGAATGTATTCGTGTTGTTTTGCGAAAATGTACCCAAAAATTAAGGGTCGTAGAAAACGTAAAGTATGCAACACGTTCGGTAAACTTTTTAACTCGTTTACCGCACTTGTTGCATAATATACTACTTACATGTACTTAGAAATTCAAGAAACAGGTAGAAACATTGAGCAATAATACAAACAATATCTTATTTTGCGGTTATCGTTCATTAGTATTAGCGTGTATGACAAAGAAGTACAATCCCATTGCTATCCGTCTCATTCTAAGTAATATTTCCATCACAAATTGATATTGATATTGACCCTCGCTTCCTATTTCACGTCCTTATAGGTTAAAGGGTAAATTGGTAAAGCCCAATTTTAACAACCAACCACATCTTGCTACGGCATAGTTAGCCCACCAGTTTTATCACTCTCCACAATCGATTCACGAATAGTTTTCGTTTTAAAAACAGGCGTTTGTCGTGACGCAGCGAGCACTCTCTTGTAATTTGCAGGCCCACCGGTGGACGTTGGCGTGACCATGTACGTGCTGAGTATCAGCTCGCTATCGGAGGTCCAAATGGTACACTGAAAACCCCGCAAATTCTCTTAGCGTTTTAAATGTTTATGTCGTTAGTGTCTCCCTTATTGCCACCCTCCGGGAAGTCCGGGGGGGCGGCGGCCGATCCGGACGCGACCGCGCTTTTGGACAGGCCCCAGGGGCGCGGGTTTTGATTTGGTTTTCACGCCTCCGTCACTGACCGATTTCCTATTTAACGCAAAAACGGTCGGCGACACTGAACGGTAGAAATGCGAGAGTGTGAGAGTCTATGATTTGGTTTTCAACGCAATTAAACGAGGGTGAATCGATTTTGCGATTGCAGGCCCCCCAGTTGATGTTGGCGTCACCATGTACGTTCTCAGCATCAGTTCGGTGTCGGAAGTTCAAATGGTACTTGATTTTTCGTAGTTCTTAAGCGGTACCGGTACCCGCACGTCCGAGATGTTCTATGCGGACGCCCATAGAAGATCCCGGACGCGGGGGCACCGTCGCGGGTCGTAACCGAGTCGATGTTTCGAGTATATTATTTGGGATCATAGTCGGACCACGCGGGATGGGCGTGAAGAAATGGGTGTAGTAACCCTCCGAATTGTGACGTCCATCTCGTCGTTGTCTCGTCAAATATCCGGGTCGTACCCGCCGGACTTGGGTGTATTGTGATCGTGAATGTATCATAACCTCTCTACTTTAAGTTCCTGCGACGCGGCGGACATTAGAGTAGAGTCGGACATAGTCGCAGTCTTGAATACTTGGACTGTGTGCATGTAAAAAGCCTCATGAGTATGTCGTACGCTTTTGTCGTAAGTTGTTTGCGAGACGTTGGTCAGGTAAGTTGCGGAGACGGCAACTTCCGAGCGTGCCCGCCAGATGTCGCCTGAATAACGATCGGACAATACTTTTGTTGCATTTATATGATCGAATATCTAAGATTGTTACTCAGACGGGATCGTGTAGATTACGTATCATCTCACCCATCCAAAAACCGATTGTATCACCTCATCCACGGGTGGAAAATTATACGTAGCGAGAATGATGTCGCCGCGGTACCGATGAACCGTCGTCGTCGGTACCGTTTCGGGAAAGAACCGCGAGAAACCGCTGGAAACCAAATCAAGGTTGACAAGGTCACACCAGGACGTGACCCCCTTGGCCTGGCCTGCGCGCAAACTCGAACCCAGACCCGCCCCGTTCCCGAAACCTTCCCCGAGACGAAGCTCCGCCCCCCGCCGCCACTGTTCATTTAAATGTGCACTCCCGACCCCCGGAGGGGGGTCAAGTACCAAGCATGAGCATGTCGCACCGCAGCTGTCGATGTATTTTTTCTTTACGATTTTTTATTTTGAACTCGTCGGGAAGGGGGTAGAGGTAGTGAACCTAGGAATAAAACGAGTACGGTCGTGAATTTAAGGCCGGTTTTATCATTATTATGACCCGCCACGCCCCGATTACAGGCGCAGTGCCGATTTGGCCTGAGGCCAGGGGGCACTAAAACGAAAAATATATATATATATATCCGCCCGTTCGTTTTCGCGTTTGACGCGATTTCAGAAACGAGTCGGCTACAACGCACCCCTTTTGTCTCCAGTTTTCATTCACGTGTACGCGAGGGCGTCCGAACAAAAGGAACTTGTTTCCGCCCGGGTGACGTGGGCGGATTGTAGGGGGCCGTTTATCAAAGTTGGGTGTTTTTCACCTTACGACGGCACCAATGACGTTATATCCAAATAAGTCATTGATAAAACACCTAGCGACCCGCAAGCGACATAAACAAACGTGACAACGGCGTATGTCCGCACGTTTAGAACGTGATCAGCATGTTGGCCCGACGAATGTCGATCGCCCTTTCGATATGATGCAGTAACGATAGTAGATTTTTTTTAGTACTGTTAATGGTTTAACGCTAAGGTGGGGGAGGGAGGGGTGGAAACGCGGCCCGCCGGAGGTTCGCATGCGGTGCCGCTTGCTGCATAATCGCCGATGCATGACTGCATTTCGAGGCTTTGGTTGTTTATGGCGAAATTTACTTGCGATTTCTGCGGATCGATCGAGAGCGGCGGGGGCAGCGGCGTTGGATACACGCCCGGCCTTGAAGTCGACCTTTAATCCAGCTGGTCCTTCGAGCCGGATCGAGAGATTCGTACCGCAGGAATCACAAGCGCACGTTTTGGACGTAGACAAAATTCGTAGCAGCCGCCCCGTCATAATGGAAACGCGCATGCGTATCCATGTCGATCGGTCGAACGTAACAAAGCTCGAAGGATGAAATTATAATAAAATACGGAGCTGACGATGAAAATAGCCGATTTGTCATCTAAATTCGGTAAACAGCAGGTCCGTACATATAAACTGGATATTTTAAAAATTGTTTCTCGTTTGTTACGTGCGGCAGGTCGAAACGTTTGGTGCGCGTGCGCGCGACCGCTTTCACTATTACGATCACGTCAATCGGTATGTTCCCAGGACTTTACGTTGGATTTTTACTTCCGACAATTCTGGACCGATCCGCGACTAGCCTTCAGGAAGCGGCCGCAGGTCGAGATGCTGTCGGTCGGTTCCGAATTCATCACAAACATCTGGGTGCCTGATACGTTTTTCGTCAACGAGAAGACGTCCTCGTTCCACAAAGCAACAACGTCAAACGAATTTATAAGGATACATCACTCAGGGTCGATCACTAGGAGCATTAGGTGAGGAGAGTGCTGTTGCCAGATCTCGCGTTTATTCTCGATATTACGCGATTTTCGTTAGTAAAGTCCGTTCATAGATATAAGAAAGTGACTAACTGATAAGAATTAAGGAAAGACCCGGGCAAGCTGTAAGAATGAAATATGGCCGAACAGGTACGTACTTTGCTTAGAATTTAATTATTTGAGGTTTTGTTAGGAAAGATACTAAACAATATTTATTTGTTTATGTATGTATTTATGTTTAAATCTAAAACAAAATTAGAAATTATTTTTATTACCTACTTAAATTACTTAAAATTATTCACATAATATATCAGTACCACTATCACTATCATCGCCTGTTCTAATTATTATTTGTTCTATATTATTTGCAATATAGATATGCGATCGTTCTGCTTTTTCTATGTGTTTAACAGAATTTGCCCAAGTTTGCCTAGGGATGTTAAAAACTTCGGTTTCGTTTGGTGCATTCGAGAGGATGAAAAGAGTTAAATCGTAGACTCGCGTGACGGTTGAATTAAATATGCGAAGGACAGAGTCAAACAGAAAGCTCCACAGAAAGATGCACAAAGCAGCGCACGAAATGGAAACTGGCCTTACAATAAATCGTTTTATCTTTATAAGTATTTGAGATCCTGAGAGACTCCGTCAATGGCGTATCTAGTCTAAATGTGGAATAAAACTTATTTTATTACATTTACAACAATCTTTGAAAAAAAGTGGAAAGCGGTTGCTCGTATTGACGCGTCCCTTCGTTCCAGATTGACGATCACCGCTTCGTGTCCAATGAACCTCCAGTATTTCCCGATGGACAGGCAACTGTGCCACATCGAGATCGAGAGTTGTAAGTATATCTTTCAGATCGAATGGGACCCAAACTAACGCAAACCGTTAAACACTCGATAACAAGAGTCATCCAAAGACAATGTAAATGTGCTTGGCGACGACGGGCGACCTTTTTTTACTTTTTTGTGTGTAATCGTTATTTATTACGGAACGCACGACACGACAAAAGCACAACGGCTCTTGGTCGTCGAAGCACAACTCCTATCGATTTATTCGGTCCGACTTTTCGAATGCGTCGACCGAAAACGAAAAAGCTTTTCTCTGTAAATATCTTTTTTTTTCTACACACACACACAAACACTTCAAACACGCAGTCACCATGATTAATTTTCGAATCTTTACAGTTTACAGATGTGTGCTATGTTGATCTGAGTGTTTGCAATGTGGATTCGGAAGCTCCGCAATATGTCAGACGCGAAGCCTAACTTGGAACGTCTGCCGCACAACTCCTAAAGTTACGACACCCAACTTTTAATTTCGATAATCGGCTTTAACGTCTGGCGAGGCTACGACGCGCACCTTTTAATTTCAAACGTCACGAATCGTAACTTGAAAATCTGACATTTTTGCGTTGTTTCCGAAACGTGCAAAAAAAAGGCGAAAAGATTCCTCGGTATCCTTCTCTAATACAGCACTATGCGGAAGGACCGTCGATTTGCGATAACCAGCCCGTTGTGAGCTGACTAAACAGCAGTACGGCAAATAAGGCTCACAACAGCCGCGCGCACTCAATCTATGGCCAGACACCCGGAAACTGCGACAAAATGGCCGACCACGGACTCCGACGTTATCTGGGACTCACACTCGTCGTACCAACGTCCGTCCACTGCTTTCAAAATCACTCACCATATCACGCTAGCACTGCATGCTCCCCACCGACAATCCCTCCGCTTGCTGCCGAGCGATCCCACCACTTCCCACTCCTGGCGTTGTTCAGTAGGTTACGTTTTGGCTTTTTTTGAGAGGACGGGGGCTCATGCATGATCGATCGCCGAGACTTGATCTACCATGATATGACAGCTTTGTTTGTTTTGGTGGGCCCGCATAGTTGGTTACACTATGAAAGACATTAGATACAAGTGGAACGCTGGACCGACCAGTGTCGGGATCAGCACCGAGGTCGAGCTGCCACAGTTCCGGGTGCTAGGCCACAGACAGAGGCAGAAGGTTATATCTTTATCGACAGGTAAACACCGCAAGTGGCCCCGGTATTTCTCTGTCCACTCGCAGAGCAATACCGGGACAAATAATTCGGTTCCAACGCAAAACCAATCACAACCACATTGAAACAAAAAGGTCGACGGCCACTTTTCTTTTCGCGCATACCTCCCACCACCGCGATATAGCTTCTATATACGCTCCGGCACTATTTTCGGCACTCTGTGTGGCTTGTGATTGCAGTCGGGTACACCATGAGGGACATACGGTATAAGTGGAACGAGGGGCCTAACTCTGTGGGCGTGTCCAATGAGGTGTCCCTGCCCCAATTTAAGGTTCTAGGTCACCGGCAGAGGGCGATGGAGATATCTCTCACCACAGGTACTCTCTCCTAGTTATACTGGTACTACTCGGACCTGCGCCGTTGACGTTATCTCACGAACCACCTCGAAGTCGTCGGATGGTTCTTGAGCTAACATAAAATGATTCCGCACCCTTTCACGAAACTGTCTGCCCTCCACCTCCGTGTCGGCAGGGAGCGGGAGTTTTTGTTTGACGTAGCCACTGTCCCGACAGGAAATTACTCCAGACTGGCGTGTGAGATCCAGTTCGTCAGATCAATGGGCTACTACCTGATCCAGATCTACATCCCGTCCGGACTGATCGTCATCATCTCCTGGGTGAGCTTTTGGCTGAACAGGAACGCGACGCCGGCGAGGGTGGCACTCGGCGTCACCACCGTGCTGACCATGACCACCCTCATGTCGTCCACCAACGCTGCCCTTCCCAAAATCTCATACGTCAAGTCCATAGACGTTTACCTCGGGACTTGTTTCGTTATGGTGTTCGCGAGCCTTCTAGGTCAGTATAATCCATCGTTTTATTTATTTGTTTACGAACGTTGTCTTGGCATTAAATCATTAATCATCAAGTACAGTCAATGTAACAGGACGGGTTGATGGAAAGATAAGAATAAGTATTGGTACAACTAAAATTTTACATGTTAACAACCTTATCGCAAAGTTCGTCGAAGAAATTCAACGTCTGCTAAAAAACGCCTGCTCGGAGGCGGTTATCCTCCATAATAAAAGAAAAGCCATCATAACCGGTTGAGTCGTGAAGGACCGCTTCCGCGCGACGCGTAGTTAAAAGTAGTTAGACGGGGTTAAGTTTTAAAAATTCATCAGCCACTCAAACTTTAGAGCTGGCGGAGTTCGTTAGGCGGCGGTCTCTATCTCTATCGGCCGTCGGGGAAGCCTTTCAGATTCGGACGTAAATATTTTAGCGTCTAATCAGAGCCGGTCCTAGCTCGATAGCCGTCGCGGCGTCGTATATTTTTTTTTTGTTGCGAATGTTCTGTTGTGTTGCAGAGTATGCGACTGTCGGATACATGGCGAAGAGGATACAGATGAGGAAAAATAGATTTCTCGCCATCCAAAAGATAGCGGAGCAGAAGAAGTTGAACGTCGACGGTCCCGACGATCACGTGCCCAAGCAAACAGTGAGTAATCGTACAATTGGCAGCGTCGCGGTGCACATTGGGGTATTAACCATACAAAACCGATCGAAAATTAAAAAAGCAACTGTTCTCTAAATGTTTAAAATGCTCCTACTTAACAATAATTGGTTACTCTGCGTTATTAAGTTTAAAAATTTCTTTTTTCAGATATGAGACAATAGAGTCAGGCCATTGATTTCGGTGTTGCCGGTTTTTTATGTAACCCTGGGCAAATTGTTACTGAATGTATTATCCGCTTTTTATTTAAAACGTTTTTAGATAATTTCGCTCAGAAATTAATTAACAGGTACCCCATTGCGCCGCCGTTAATGTCTATTTTATATTTTCAGTTTAGTTAAATTTAACTATTGTCGCTTCCTCAGCGTCATAAGGTTGTGTGTGCGCGCATTCGTTTATCTGGATTATTTCGTTGTTATGATACACCAAAGAGACGACTTAATATAAATCTGGAATCAATTGAATTGCTATATGTGTATATATAATTTATATTTCAAACAGTGTCCCTTTTACAAATAAACTGGACCTCGATTTAGGATGGAGGTGGTATGTATTTTACAGAATTATATGATTTGCAAGAAGCGGTCTGTATAAGTAATAGTTTCTTTAATTTCTTATAAATTATACAATTTAAATTACCTTATCGTTTTTATTATGTTATTTTATATTTTATTGTTTATATATATATATATATATATATATATATATATATATATATATATATATATATATATATATATATATATATATATATATATATATATATATATATATGATGACACTATATTCCGGGATATCATCCGTTCGCTCGTTGAACTCCGACTGGAATCCTGCATCCGACTGGAATCCTGCAAATCTTGCATCCGACTGGAATCCTGCAGACGTTTCGCCAAAATCTCACTTGGCATCTTCGAAGTGTTTTCGGAACGCGAGCATTGAAGATGCCAAGTGAGATTTTGGCGAAACGTCTGCAGGATTCCAGTCGGATGCAAGATTTGCAGGATTCCAGTCGGATGCAGGATTCCAGTCGGAGTTCAACGAGCGAACGGATGATATCCCGGAATATAGTGTCATCACATTTTTCCATCCGTGAATCAATACGTGAGAATATATATATATATATATATATATATATATATATATATATATATATATATATATATATATATATATATATATATATATATATATATATATATATATATATATATGATGACACTATATTCCGGGATATCATCGAACGGATGATATCCCGGAATATAGTGTCATCACATTTTTCCATCCGTGAATCAATACGTGAGAATATATATATATATATATATATATATATATATATATATATATATATATATATATATATATATATATATATATATATATATATATATATATATATCCCTCTGTTGGCATTTATTAATATTTAGTTTCATTCCATTCAAATCGCTCCATAGCGATAGGTGGTCCAAATCGGACTGGAGTTTAATGCACAATAATTTTAAGTCGTCAGCAAATAATAGGAAACATGCGTGATGAATCATGAGGCAGTATCATTTACAAAGACATTGAAGGCCAGGGTCCCTGGTGCGATCCTTGTGGAACATCAGAAGGCATTCTAATTTCGGTGTGTGTGTGTATGTGTGTGTGTGTCTGTGACCGCGTTTCGACCCGGTCAGTGGCGTAGAAACGGGGTGCTTGTTAGTGGGGACCTTTGTTCCAGGAGGTGCGGTTCAAAGTCCACGATCCAAAGGCGCACAGCAAGGGAGGTACGCTCGAGAGTACGGTGAACGGGGGCCGGGGAGGCAGGGAAGGCGGTCCGGACGAGGAGGCGGCCGCGCCGATCCCACAGCACATCATGCACCCCAACAAAGACATCAACAAGCTATACGGCATCACCCCGTCAGACATCGACAAGTACTCGCGAATAGTGTTCCCCGTGTGTTTCGTTTGCTTCAACCTGATGTACTGGATCATTTATTTGCACATTTCCGACGTGGTCGCGGACGACCTGGTGCTCCTCGAGGTGGACAAGTAAGCGAGGCGGCGGCGCCTTCCGGAGATCCGGCAACCTCGCATCATCGAACGCGCACGAACTCGAAACTAGTTCGGGCCAATCGACCGAGAGTTAAACGATTGGTTTCGCGACAGAATTTGTAGTCCGCGTAAGGTGCAATCCGTGTTACTTTTTTTTTGTAAAATTCACCTTCAAACCAAGCAGTTTTAGCATTTTCCGACGTATAAAATGAAAAGTATTGAAGCGGCCAAAATCGAGAAGGTCTGCTTTTTTGGTTTTTCTAAAATCGATAGAGAAGTTTGAGTCTTGAAACATGCTCAGAATTAAATTTAAATTTCTCTAGAGAGTTTTTAGAACAAACTTCTTGTCAATTAATAAAACATCCATATTAATTTGTAATTAAAAAGGGGCAGAATCAAAATGTAGCCTCGAAACGCACAAAAAGCGCACAATATTTCGCACATTTGGATTTTAAACACAAGCATTTTATCAAATACTTACGCACACGATCAAGAAGCGTCAAGCTCTTTTTAGTATGAAAAATACGGAAAATTTACAATTATTTGCAACCATGTCAAAAATATTTTCGCTGATTATCGCAGACCTGATTCCTTAGTAAAAGAAAGCGTTATTACTACTGTGCGTATAAGTCGTAATAAGTAATACATCATTCAGAAAGTTGAAAATCTCTCCAACAGAGGTCTCCCGAGGTTCGCAGCGCGGTTGCTTCGATACCTTTAATTTTATATGCACCAAAACTGAAAAGTTAGTTAAAATTATTAATAAATTATTAAGTCGCAAACTGCGAGTGAGATTTATAAAAAAAAAAGTCGCCACGCGACGTTGCCAGCGATCGGCCATGACCTTCGCGCTTACGTCGTGTCACGTTCCTGTAAATATTCCGTTATCGTTATGGCAGACGCAATTCTATAATTATGTTGAAGATTTTTTACTGTGTTGTTCTGGGTGCGCAGGCGCGAAGGTCACCGACCGAACGAAAACGGAAAAAACTCGAAAAACTTTTCCTCTCCCCTTTTCCACCTAGCGGGACGTAGTTTATAGGAGACTGAGTTTTAACGTTATTATTATTATCAATATTATACGTAACGAGCAGAGAGTTTATTTGAAAGCCCGTGTACATAGAACGTTCCTGTTTTTATACTCCTCGCGCACACCTTATACACGCCCAAAAAATAAAAAAAAAAACTGCAATTATTCCTAGGATTTAATAATAGCACCTAAAAGAGGAAAACACCGCGGAAGGCGAACGCGCGTCAGGCGATGAGGTCGCGGGTCGCGTTTCCGTGGTTCGTGGCGCGACGCGCGGTCGCTCGTCGACACTTTGGCACGGAACACAGCCGCGCGCGCAGAACAAAAAACGGTCGATTTCAAAACACACACAAATACACACACGCAAAAAGAAAAACACAAAGAAATACCGCGTAGTAACGAAATTCTAAAAAAATGTAAAATATTATATGATGTAATTAAATTATAAATATATATATATACACAAACATGAATAGGTAGGTTAAAACAAAACGCGCTCGTAGACAAAGTTTAATATAGCGAAACACTAAACAAAAATGTATATATATACTTAGAGCCACCAGAAAAATAAACAGAGATTAAAATGTAAGATGATTTTTATAGGACGGGGCGGAGGGGGCGAAGCCCCGTTTCGCCCTCTGCCTCCCGCCTACACCGTTTAAAAACAAAAAAAAACAACCCTAGTTACTATACTGTCACTACACCGTGTTAACAAAAATGGCGAAGACCCATTGAAAATGTACCGCGCTGCTCGGGTCAGCGGGTGGACGGGTGGGGGGTAACCGCTGCCGGGCGCCGTCCCAACCCGAAACGAGACGAAATCTAAGGCGGTCGGGGTCGTAGATATAAGGGGCGTTCCTGACACTCAGAGGGCTCACGTCTAGGAACCTCCTCCCGCGGTTATCGCCCACCCACGAGACGGGCGGCGACTATATTGCTCACTATTACAAATATTCTAAATAATAAGAGAAGAGTTGTATGTACTATATTTGAAGACATTAATTGCGATTATTTAAATTATTACCAATGACCGAGGACAGGAGGTAAAAACTACGTATTGCGTAGCTACTATACAGTTTGGCGTTTTTATTTCATTAAAAAAGTGAAACCGAAGCGAATAATTTGTTTTAGTTATTGCCCCTTCAAGAAATTCCAAATTCCCTTACAGAAATGTTAATAAAGGCACGTGACACGCCATCTAGCAGCTACAGGCGAAAGCAAGAGACTGCCGTGCGCACTTTCTAGGTATCGCCCCGCGCTCTTAGTCTGGCTACCGCCTCGGTCTGTAAAGAAGACTATTGTACTAACCTCAAATCAAACCTCCCCTGAGCCATACCATTTCGCATTCTGCGTTTGAGAAAACAAAGGGGTAAATTAAGATATTTTTGTTAAAAAATGTGATTATTGCCCGCGGCAATGTTTGCCAATTACGAAACGGTCGAAAGGCGGTGAAATGGTCAAGGGCGGCTCCAAGAATTCGTACTTGCGGCGTTACAAAGCGTGTTTCCTAATAGGTTTGACGATATTATCTTTTCAAATATTACTCGTGGCGAATTTTCTGACCCAGAACCGAAGCGACGAGCCGCAGAAGCAGTGGGAGCCGTCCGACTCGAATTCTCACGATGCCGAATTTTACTCGGCAGCGTCTGCAGCTAGAAACTTGAGCCATTTGAAACTAGACGATTTGGAGTTTGACGTGCCCTGCACGGTGACCGGAAAGGAAGCGCTGTCCGCCATAAGCAGGGCCAAGAGTCAAAAATGCAAGCAGGAGATAGTGAATGTCACATGTCTCGCGCTAGAAGGCAAGCTGTACCCGTCAGAATTGAAGTCCAAGTGTCCGAAAGGTAATTTTGAAGGAGGAAAGGACCTGGGATGTTACAAGGACGACAAGGCTTTCCGGCTGCTTACAGGATACTTCGGCAGAAATAAAGTCGAAAATTCTCCACAATATTGCATTAAATTGTGCCTGCAGTCGGGTTTCCCTTATGCTGGGGTTCAGTACTCAATCGAGTGCTTCTGCGGGGCCGACGAGCCGCCGTCGTCCGCCAAAGTGCCAGATTCCTCTTGCAACATGAAATGCCCCGGCAATCAGCACGCCACTTGCGGTGGATATTACACCATAAACATTTATCAAACGGGAATCAAAAGTAAGGCTTCCTTTATAAACTAATAAAAAAAAAACTTAGAATTAAAACTCTAAACCTCATCATAAAATGTTTTAATATTTATTTGGTGTTATTTAAAAAACCATATAGCTGTTAGATAATGTGGCCCTACCACCCTAAACATTGTTGCTCCCCAGGTCACTATTATTTTACCCATTAACCTGCACTTTGCGCCTTTTGTTGGTTGTTGAATGACGCAAGGTCATTGGCAGAAAACAAGATTCTAAAATTCTAAAACATTTTTCATAGTATCATATTTACCTAGAAAGGCGAATTTTCATTAATAATTGCCATAAAAGGCTAGGGTTTTCACTGTTATTCTTAACTTGATTTCTTGAGATGCCTTAAGAGGCCATATTGATTTACATTTCACGGTTGCAGAATTTATAGCTCAAATCGCCAACGATAAAGTTATGGAAGCGAAACCGGTAAAAATCGTCTTTTTGTTGACCCTAAACGGGCGAGCTTTGAGACAAGTACGCAGGCTCATAAAGCTGCTGTACCACAGGGACCACTACTACTACATTCACGTGGATATCGTAAGTAGTTACCAGAAAACCGAATGGCCGTAATTCTAAGCGTGACTTCCAGAGGCAGGACTATCTGTTCAGGGAGCTTTTACCGCTGGAGAGCTTGCCGAACGTGCGGCTGACACGCAAGAGGTTCGCGACCATATGGGGCGGGGCGTCCCTGCTGGAAATGCTCCGTTCCTGCATGAACGAGCTGTTAAACCACCACAGGTGGAGCTGGGATTTCGTTTTAAACCTCAGCGAGTCGGACTACCCGGTTAAGACAGTCCAGAAATTGACCTCCTTCCTGAGCAAGAACAAGATGCGCAATTTCGTGAAATCGCATGGACGCGAGGTGAGCCGATGAAATGATATGAACAAACTTTTGCGAACGTGACGCCTACGGGTTTATAGAACAGGTCTACAAAATTAAACTTTTTGACAGATGTTTTTATTTTGAAAACTGATTTTATATATATAATTTTGGTAGGCTGATTTCAAAAATTATATGTATCACATAAGGTTTTTTTGCAAATATTAAAGTTAAAGAAAAAAACGATGTTTCGGAAATAATTTATTTTTTTATTCAGTAAAAAAGTGGAATCCTAGTTAAAAGAAAGTGAAAAAAAAACATTACTCAGACTTCTTTTAAATATGACGAATGGGCAACGGGAACCGAGGCCAGTTCGTTACCATTGTGCACTAAAACGCCTTTTAAACAATGCTTACTTGAGTCAATAAACAGACGCCATTCTTCTTTTATATACGGCACATTTCCTAATATTGACACCACATCAGGAATATTGTTGCAAAACACTAGCCGTCCCTCCTGAGTAAAATATTGACATAACTCTTTTTCGCGATTCCGGTAAAAGCTTGGTGTGACGCCAGGTGCCAGTAAATGCTTGTCACGAAGTCTGAAAAGTGCCAAGCTCTAATTAAATCATTTAATTCGCTCTGGTTAAACACTTCGGGCTCTCTGAAATTTGGTGTGAAATCTGAACCATCTGGGTCAGAATTAGATTCCTCTGATTGTGAATGTGACGTTTTCTAGGTCTTTTGGGGCGGTAGGTATAACCACATCGGGTCTACGAAATCTGTTCTAATAATCAAGATGGGGATAGACAATTTGTTTCTTATTTTTTTTGTTGAACCATTGAACATTACACTAACAAAAATAACTTAAACATTTCTTCCTACCTTTTTGCTTAATCCTTCAACGCAAACGGAACACACAGTATACACCAAAATAAGGTGTATACCTTTTTCACAAAATAATTTATAGTTTGCTTTTGCTTTACTACATTACCGCAGATATAATAAAACTTGTGTCTTCGTTCCAAATTTATACGTTCTAGAATACTAGGACAACGCAACAATGAAGACAACAACCGCGAACCCAGTAGCAAGACGACCAACTGCGCATAAGAAAGGTTACAACGCTGTATTGACACTTTTGCGCCAACTCTGTAGCTTTGCAGAGAAAGCTAATATTATCCATCACTTTTAATTTCATAAAAAATAGTTCATTTAAAAATCGTGCCTAACATATATGTTTTGTAGGGCCCCCAAAAATATACACATAGGCAAACAGCTTTTAAAAATCAAAATCACAGTACTCTTTATTCCTCACGCAGAGTGAATAGTATTAGTGCCTTGCTGTTTTGTGATATCTTGATTTTAGAAATATTGTTGTTTCTTCAGTGCTGAATACAATATTTTATTTAAGAAAGTGACACTAGCGCTGCTGCACGCGTTGACTTCTGCAAAAAAAAAGTATCAAATACCATTCGGACTTGTTAAATTTTTGCATTCCATGAAGTTAATTATAAAAATGTTCTGCAAGCATTATTCCTTTCTTCCTCGTCTCTACACCATGGGACCTGCACGGCATATCAACTTTTACTTGCGTTACCAAAGTTGGCCGACACAGCGTTGCAGGCATATTTTCTTTTAATCAAAATATTTAGTTTTTTTATGCTTGATTTTATAGATATTTATTATCAACTCAATTTTATTTGCTCGTTTGTTAGTCATAATAAAAAAACAAAAATATCTGAATATATGGAGAATATTTTCATTTAAAGAAGCTATTAAAAAAATATATTTTCACTGCAAAGTCGGCAAGCATAAAATTTTAAGCTTAACATAGCACAAACTAATGCTCGTAAATACAACTAAACCCTCTAAACACAATCGATTTAGCAACTTTTTTTTTTTAAGTAGCATTACCACCTGAATCGCGAGCGGGAAATTTAAATACCAATTAAGTCAGTCCGGCGCCGAATATTTCCATGGTTGACGATAATTGCTTTAAAAATCGCGTCATCGATAACGTGATTAAAGCCAAAACCATTTGTGCGAGCCTATACTTGCGTAATTCCGGTCGGTCTATTGCGAAAGTCTCAGAGTAAGCACTATACAGATGCGACAAAAAGCCGCAAAAATCATTCCGCCCGATATATCGACTATTTTTGAATTTGTTGGTGCAGGTGCAGCGCTTCATCCAAAAACAAGGTCTCGACAAGACATTCGTCGAGTGCGAGACAAGGATGTGGCGGGTCGGTAACCGGAAATTGCCGGCCGGAGTGCAAATAGACGGCGGTAGCGATTGGGTCGCCCTCTCGCGTCGTTTCGTCGAGTACGTCGCCGGCCCGACCTCCGACGACCTCGTCTCCGGCCTGTTGACGGTATTTCGACGCACGCTGCTTCCGGCCGAGTCGTTTTTCCACACGGCGCTACGCAATTCGGAGTTTTGCGACACGTACGTCGACAACAACCTCCACGTGACCAACTGGAAGCGGAAGCTCGGCTGCAAGTGCCAGTACCGGCACGTCGTTGATTGGTGCGGCTGCAGTCCGAACGATTTCCGGCCGGAAGATTGGCCGAAGGTGCTCAACACTTCGCCCAGACCGATCTACTTCGCGCGCAAGTTCGAACCGGTCGTCAATCAGGCGGTGATCCTGCGCCTGGAGCTGTGGCTCTTCGGGCTGCAGCAACCGTCGAGACAGGTGAGTCCCGCCCCCTCCGAAAATATTCGTTTTTTTATGTAAAATATATATATCATACAAGCGGCAACGTTGCGAAGCTGAAAAAACTTTAAACCGATATAGCGTGGCACACCCTGTATATTGTAGTATATTAGCTGCCGAGAATGGTCTCTGGTCCTGGACTTTTCCGACAATAACTTTTGAACGGTTTGAGCTAGTCGGTTAAAATTTTGCTCCTTTTCAACATGGGATGCACGAGATATCTAAAAATGGCCGCGATCAAACCTCGGCGGCCATCTTTTTTTGGACATCGTTTTGAAACACGATAATTCCGAAATTGGAATCTAACGAATTGAAATTTCGCGTACGTATACGGAACCTATTGAAATTGGGTGCTGGGGGATCGGCAAGAATTTTTTCAAAATTTAAAATCGCGTTTGCAGGGGTCCAGGAAAAAAATCAATCATCGAAAACCGCATATGCGACCGAAAAAAATTGTGAACAAGAGGATGCACGAGAGCAAATTCTATAAATCTGTATTCTTCATAATATTTCAAAATATACAGGGTGTGGCTGGTATTCGCAAAAAATTGAAAATTGGGATCCCCTTACAATGGTAATTGACGATAACTAGAAGGCTGTGCTTCAGGCAGAGGCAGAAATCTACACCCACATTAAACGGTTGAAACTGGGCGCCATCAGGTATCGCGAAGTTTTTTTTTAACTTTTGAAAATCTTTCTTGGATTATTTTGGTTTTCAGAAAAAATATATTTTCTCGAACACTATTAATCCGAACGTCAAAATTCTTGAACCAGGAACTGTGAAACATCCGGTACTATAACTTTTATTTAAACAATATTTTCGATTATATATACAGGGTTTTTCAATTATATACAAAAATCTAAAAGATACTGAAAATTTGTAGGAAATATGGCCAAGAGGTTCAATATGGGCTGCCTCAAGAGCTACAATTTTTGTATTTTCAAAAAATGCATATGAAAATCACTATTCATCGGAAACTATGACGTACTGTATAGTTTCAGAAAAAAAATATTTTCTCGAAAACTTTGGAAAAATTCTTGGGTCAGGAAACGTGGTAGATTCAGGGCTGTAAGCTCTATTCCCGGCATTGTTTCAATTACGTATAGAGTGTGTCGATTATGGGCAAAAAATTAAAAAGATACTGAAAATTGCTGTTTTCGTGGGTAAAAACATGGGATGATTTGGTTTAAACTGTATCGAGAGAGTTTCAGGCTTCATCTATCAAACAGAGTACGCAATATGCTTGGAAAAATATCATTGACATCACTATTACTTGTACATATTTTTTAATTTACCAAATATGTCGTGACTTTGATACAGAGGGCATGCATGCATTACATCGATTTTGCGAAAGTGGTGGTGGTCCGCAGGAGCACTATAGGAAAACAATGCGCACCCACAATTTTTCGAAATCAATCTTGTTTTTTCTGCATAATTTCCATAATGATGACGATTTATCAACGAAAATTGACACCTGTGAGTTTTTTGACATCAGACATTTGAATTTATTCCGCAATTTAGCTTTTACTTGTAGAGACTCGCAAAGACTCATGACGCACGACCCTGTGTTGTATGTTTGATAAAAAAAAAACATTATTTTTACGTAAAAAAAGCGAATATTAAATAAAAACTAGGCTAGGGGCTGTGCTGTGTTTTACGTTAAAAAGACGAACAGTGAACATAAACGGGGTAGAAACCAGGTCAAGATCACCATAAATGTTGAAAATGTCCACCTCAAAAAAAAATTGACACCCTGTACGTCGAAAACGAAGCATTTTAGGTAACTTTGTACCTTAAAATTACTTGAGGAATCACACCCCCGTATAAAGCAATTTTCCTTTTTCTCTTCTTAGACATCTAAAACGTAATTTTCAAGTCATTTAAAAAAAATCATAGAAAATCCCGTGTACAGAATAGTTTTCCTCAGAGGCATACTTGTTAGAATTAATTTTTTATAAATATACAGTGAAGTCCGGATATAGTGAACTCGAAAGTTGCATCAAAATTGGTTCGCTGTATCGGCAACAAAATAAACTTTTGTACACACCAGACGTTTACCTGATGAATGGAGGTTACTACATAATGTATATTATATATGTTGGTTTTGTAAAAAACTGCCACGATATATTAGCATTTTTCTAGATAGGTATATGTATTACGTGATGTTGGAAAAGTGAAAATTAAATATTTTGTACAAAACAAGTAACAAGTGAACAAGAGCAAGTAAACAATATCTCGCAAAAATAAACTAAAAAAATACATGTATCCAACTACTCTAGGATAAACAAGTCGGATATTTTGGTTTGTACGAGTCTGTTAGAAAAGTTAATATTACTTATATAGCTTTCAAGTTTACAAAAAGAATTCCAAACTTTCTTAGGAACGTCGCGTGATCTCAAAAGCGTGCGAATCTCATCTTCACTCAATTTTGCATTTGTTTCTAAAAAAAATAACGTAAATCAGTCATTATTTTAATGTTACATTTCATGTTATAGATACATGTGGACGCTAACTGGATAATTTCGTCTTCTGTCCAACATTCGGTTGGACTAACTTGATCGTCCATTGAAACGTAACTTTCGATGTCGAAATGTTCAATCCTGCCAAGCACTGTGAATAAAATTTACAACATCCAATAAGCTCACTGAAAACTCTTGTCCATCATCAATTGCTTCTATCATCATCTTCCTATAGTAACACTGCAGGGAATGGATTCATGTCTTGCTGGCATAAAATGTGCTGGACAATTATCTACAAGAATTCCATTGGAGCAGCTCTTCGGTAAATAAGTCAGATGTCATCCACGCTTTGATGTTTGATCTGTACTTCACTGGGGTGGTCTTGTTTTTAAAACATCTTGGGTTTACTGATTTGCCGATAACATACAGCTTTCTCTTTTCTGTCCCAAACATGTTTGGAATAACCAGAACTGTTATTCGAACCTTGGAGAGTTTTCCACCTGCACACCTTTCTCCTTGGAATTTCTATGTCTTATCAGGGGTTAGTTTGTAAAAAAGGCCGGTCTCATCGGCGTTAAAAATATTGTCACTGTCATAATTTTTGCAAGGGTCAGGCCAAACCGTTGTAAGCCAGTTATTAACAACATTCATATCAACAGAGATACAATTTCTCTTCTTAAAACGTTCAAACCAACGCCTGGAACACACAAAATCTCTTCCTTCTATTCCACTTGCTTTTTGCTGAAGAACTGGACCACGTATGGGAACATTTTCTTTTATTTTTTGGGTAAACCACTGTAAATTGACGCCTTCATGAGCTGATTTTCTGAGCCTTTTACAACTTGCAACCGTCTCTAGGTTTCTTTAAGCAAATTCATTTCACGACAAATATTACTTTGTATTTTTAATTTTTTATATAACATCGTATTTTTCTTTCGAAGTTAATGCTTTTCGTTTTTCCTTCCCCATTGGAAGGTCTGTCATCAATATTCTCCACAAAATCTAAATCACAACTGAGATCGATACAATAACAAAACAAATGTGCTATGTATTTTAAACTTAAGGGGGAACACCCGCAAAAGTTCATTAAAAACAGAAAATGTACCTTAATCTTCACGAAAGTTAGTTCACTGTATCCGAAAGTTCACTATATCCCGATTCACCATAAACAGTAAAAATTTACACACAATATATATATATATATATATATATATATATATATATATATATATATATATATATATATATATATATATATATATATATATATATATATATATATATATATATATATATATATATATATATATATATATATATATATATATATATATATACATCGGGAAGTGGGAGAGGGAATTACGCACTGTTCACGCAACCAATCAGCGCATATAATGGGCTAAATGGGATTGGACCTCTGTCCTTGTTCAGTTCTCTTAACAACTTCTAAGCTTTCGTAGGCATCTAATTTTCTACTATTATTTACTTGTTTAACTAATTTTAAATTACTTATACCTACCTTATGATTATGGTTGAACATATGTTCGGCTACACTTGATTTTTCTAATCTACCAAATTTTAAATGAGCTAAGTGTTCCTTAAATCTAACATTAATTGATGTTTTGGTTTGCCTTGACTTGTCACAATCATTACAACATATTTCATAAATTCCCGACTTTTCAAGCGTATCTAGTTTATCCTTGGGATTACCCAACAGATTTTTTAATTTTGATCCGGACTGATAGACACTTCGAAGACCTGCGGTCCTGAAGACTACTTTTAAATTTTCCTTATCAGCTTGAAAAGCCGTTGATTTTTGAAGTTTGTTCTTAATTTTATAATTAACTTATCAATAAAACTATCTTCATAGCCATTGATTCTAGCCACCTTTTTTATAAGACTTCTTTCCACCTCAAACCTTTCTTGATTTAAAGGAAATGTGACAAGTCTATGGACTAGAAAATTAAAACTTGCCATTTTATGTTGAAAAGCATGATTAGAATCATTGGTTATGTATCTTAAAATACTAGTGTCTTTCCTATAAATGTCAAAAACTATATGATTTTCACTGTATTTGATAACGAGAACGTCCAAAAAAGGCAACTGTATGTTTACTTTCTATTTCATATGTGAATTTAATAGATGGGAAGTAATTATTCAAGTTTGAAATAAAGTCATTTAAATTCATGCAAATATCGTCGACGTATCTATACCATATCCTAGGAAAGTACCCGAATTTTTCTTTAGCATTCTGTTCAAAATGATGCATGAAAAGTTCAGCCAGAAAAGGAGATAAACGATTTCCCATGGCCGTGCCATTTTGTTGTTCATAATAGTTGTTATTATATAGAAAAATATTTTGACTCATGCAAAGCTTTGTCGGAGTGATTAGCTCTTCATAAGGTAGATATAAGTAATTTAAAATTAGTTAAACATGTAAATAATAGTAGAAAATTAAATGCCTACGAAAGCTTAGAAATTGTTAAGAGAGGGAATAGCGCACTGAACAAGGACAAAGGACCAATCCCATTTAGGCCATTATACGCGCTGATTGGTTGCGTGAACAGTACGTAATTCCCTCTCCCACTTCCCGATGAATATATATATATATATATATATATATATATATATATATATATATATATATATATATATATATATATATATATATATATATATAGAGAGAGAGAGAGAGAGAGAGAGAGAGAGAGAGAGAGAGAGAGAGAGAGAGAGAGAGAGAGAGAGAGAGAGAGAGAGAGAGAGAGAGAGAGAGAGAGAGCATTTGTTCTATTAAGTTTAGTTTTAATCTTCTCCTGAAGATGCCAACTCGGTTGGCGAAACGCGCGTCGAGTACGCAAAATTGAGTTTCGGTTTGTGGTAAAACGCGTTATTGTGTGTTAGTGCAGTGCCGAAGGTTCCAGTCAAGAGTTCAGTAAAAATTTACATTTGTCTTATGAGACTTTTAAGCGTATTTCGAAAGGTGTTCATTATAACCGAGTGTTCACTCCACTCCACTGTACTATCAAATTCGACCTATTTGTTATTTTTTTATAATAAACACCTTGCTCTCAACACTTCAACAAAATTGTTATAACTCAGAAACATTTTGGTCTTTATATTGCCGCTATTATATTAAAAGTGTTATCGTTGATTATGGATTCATGGAGGACTTTGTTTTGCTTCTGTAAAACCGAATATAAAGCAAACTGCCTCCGTTTATTAAAATGTTTGGACATGAAGCATTTATCGACTGTTACAGTTTTGTTTTTTTCGGAAAATACCATTTTTTATCTCCCCTTCAGGTTCCCAACCTCGACTCGTACTGGCAGAGCGTCTATCACCACCTGGACCTTGGCGCCTCTACTGACGCGGGCCTGATCGCTCTGGCGAGCAGCGTGGGACGGCTCGCCGCCAAAACTTTTGCACCTTGCGGTCTGTCGCCAGGTCGATTGCTCGAAATTTACAGTTTCCACCGTCGCGACGCTTACGAGTACTCGCTGTTTAGTTTTGACAGCGATCGCGGCGCGGTAGAGGTCGCCGTGAGGCCGGTGGGCGAAGGGCGGCGCTTCCCATTTCTCGACCGCGTCGCCACCTTCACCGTGAGCACCGACTACGACCAGAAGGAACAGATTTCTCGCAACTTTCCGCGCGTCATCTCGCCCCTCGGCGAACCAGTGCTCGCGTACCGATTCGAACCGACAGATGGCGCCAAAACGTACAATTTGACGTGTCTGTGGGTGGATCCGGCGGGCGTGCTTCGCGACGCCACCGCATTCACCGTCGACGACGCTCCGTCAGGCTACGTCCGTCCTAACCTCAAACCGCCCCACACGCCGGGGGCGTGGCTCGTCAAAATCGTCCACGGGCGCGTCCTCGCGGTCGAAATCCAGTTCCCAGTCATACCGACGGGGTATTTCGACGTCGCGGCGTCGGACGACGGCCCGGACGCGACGCCCTATGCGCACTTTTTGCCCGGACAGTCGGAGAGGGCTGCGCTCGCGAGGAAGGCGGAGGAAAACTCGCGGAGGCGGGGCGAAGGCTTCGTCGAGTGGACGGACTCGTTGGTGAACGCGTTCTACGCGGTGGAGAAGGCGTGCACCACCTCGCGGTTGGATTGCGAGGTCGAAGCGTGCACCGAGACGTGGTGGAGCAGCAGAGCGCCGGACCCGAAAAGTGCCATAGACGGGACGGTGAATGAGACCACGGGGACGTTCGACGTGTGGTGAACGCGCCCCCTCGCGGCCAAAGATAAATGTGATAAAAACGGTGCTCGAAGCGTGGTGTTTTTTTTTTCCTTCTCCCCAGTGACGGTGCGCCGATATACGTTATTTTTTTACGTCGTTCCCTTCCCTGTGGCAGGGAAAACAAGAACTACGCGAAAATAAGGACGACGTTTGGTTAATAATAACGTTGAACCAAAAATAAAGTAAACCGCACGGAAATGTTGGTTTTGGTTACTCCATTGAAACTCCCTTCTTCGCGCATTACTGCGAGACGAGAGCTGGGAATATATGAACTATCGGGAGACATGTAAACCAAAATTGTGCCCAAAATTATTTTAATTAGCGCTTTAGAAACACGACATTGACGGTAGTCTCATTGTTGGAAATAAAGACTGGCCATATAGTATCCCCGTCCTCGTCTTGCTTTGTTACCGTTAATCCAGTGTAACGTCGAATGGTCATAGGAACTACCGCGACTTGTGTGCAAAAAACAGGGGAAAAAAATTGCGAGAGTGAGGGTGGTCACTGAAAAGCGAAACTTGGATTATAAAAAACTAACTTTCGAAAAATTCTCGTTCTGAACACTGGACTTTAGGAATTAAAAGGTGCACATTCGTCAGCGTTAATTTCTTTTAAACCATTGTTGCTCAGAAAAGACATTTTAACTACTAATTTAAACCTGAAAAACGATACGGACATGACGGGACGAAGCATGTCAAAATCGTCCTTTTTTGTGTGGAAATAAATACAGCGAAAGCTCATTAAAAAAAATTCTATAATCTTCATTTTTTATACAAACGTCTTTTACACCATAAGAGACGAGGAATATTGACCCTTCACTGTAAAAATTGGGAAGAGAAGAATTTTTTTTTCTAGTAATAACATAGAATAATGTTCCAAAATTTTTATTCTATAAACGTTTTGGTATTATATCTTCATCTTTATATATATTTACAAAGTAGTCCCGGTTACACACTCATTGACGTTATGCGTTATTCAAAACTTTGTTACATTGATTAGCTTCTAAAAAAAATTTTTTTTTAACGAGAATTCGAAAGCGTCGCGCCGCTGGCGGCAGCGGCGCACTATTGCACCCTCGCGATCTAACACTAAATCGTACATTAAACGCCCGATAGTCCGAGCCGTCCGGATAATCGGGCCCTCGCTGTAAATGAACGACGCCGAATGTCGAAATGGCTAATCTACAACGTTGCCGCGTCTTCGCGCGAGCACGCACTTTAGATTCTAATTATTATTACTGATATTTTTTACGAAACGGCAAGTTGACAGATCGACAAAATTCGCGTTATAACGGTCCCCGTCGTCAACACGAAGTCGATCGGAACGGCAAAAAAAAAAGAATTCCACCTCCAAGAAGACGCAGATATGCGCTGAAGAAATATTTGTTTGATCGACTAGAAGCGGGCCTCTTTCCGCTTTCGTGGTATCGCATTTTAAATTTGTCAATTCTATTTCTTCCTTTCTTTACGCGTTCCGACCGATCCTGTCGACACTTCACGATCAATTAAAATGTTTAAATGCAAAATATACAATAATATTAAAATTTAAAAAAGCACAACTATCTCGAGAAAAAAAATTCATCAAAAAAAAAATATTTGTATAATTATAATAATAATAATTGTATGAGCGTCAATTTATGACGAAATCACATTTATGCACATTTTGGCCTATATCCCCCAGGGGGCCCTAGCCGTCCCCAGCGGAAAAACACCTATAACCTAACTTTTTTCAACGATAACAAAAGTGAAAGGCGATTACTCTATAGGAAACGCCACGGTTTGACGGCGGGGCCCCCGAGTCGCCGATTAAACTGACAAACTTACCCTAAGGATTGTGCTTTCCGCCCCCCCCAAAAACCGCAAACAAACCCTCCCGTGAACTGGCTCGAATCGTTTTATGTATAAGTACTAGCAACTTGGCGGCCATCTTTCAGAAGGGAGACTTCGTGCGCGGCCCGGATCGGCAACGCAACAACCTCGAAACAATCATTATTTTACGTAACACTGATTTTTTGCCCCCCCTCCGCCTAAAATTACAAAATTACACATTTACGCTTGGGTTTGACGGGCATTACAGGACAGAGCACCGCCCTGATCGCTTCGTCGAACACGGTTTTGAGCCCCTTTTGCGTTAACGCTGAGCACTCGAGGTATTTCACCGCGCTGATCTCCTTTGCCATCGCTAAACCCTGATTGCCACAAAAAAAAATCCCATGAAACCACCACTAGTGTCACTGAAACCGCTATGCTTACCTGGGGATAAGTAATGGGTGCCAGTTTTTTGTCTTTCAACTTTTCTATGGTCGTCCGGTCATCTCTTAGGTCCAGTTTGGTGCCGACCAAGATTATGGGCGTGTTTGGACAGTGGTGTCTCACCTCGGGGTACCACTGCAATGAAACCGCCGTTAACAAAGCGACACGCCACAATATTTAATTAGAATTAACACTTGCTTAAATTACCACCAGTACAAACTACTAGAACGGCGTTTACCTTGGCCCTGACATTTTCAAACGACGCGGGATTCACCAGCGAGAAGCAGATAAGAAACACGTCAGTCTGCGGGTAGGACAGGGGCCGCAATCGGTCGTAGTCTTCTTGGCCGGCCGTATCCCAGAGTCCCAGGTTTATGGGTTTTCCGTCGACCATCACGTTCGCTGAATAGTTGTCGAACACGGTAGGTATATACTCTCCTGGAAACGCGTTCGTCGTGTAGCTTATCAGCAGGCATGTTTTACCGACAGCTCTACGATAAAAATTTTTTATCAATATTATAAAGAAATTGGTGGTTCTTTTACTGACCCGTCCCCGACGACCACGCACTTGATGGCCTGCATTTTCACTCGATACCCGCGACCGAATTATCTCTAAACACGGTTATTAAAAAACACAACTTTTTAACAATCTTGGGTGTGTGTGTGTGGATGTGTCAGACGCAAGGCCGAACTAGACCCGGGACCTTGGACTGTTTCGCACGCGTAAACCGCTAACAAACGCACCAATCTTCTATTTCGAGATCGTTTTATTCCCAATCGACAAATCGCACGAGCCGAACCTACCCGTTATTACGGCTTTAAATAGGTTTTCGCGACCACCCGCAACACTGAATAAATACGGAGATGACAGGGCGATTGACAGACGACGGAACGCCACTTGTTGCCAACATAATCGCGCGGAATTACGCTGGTTGTCGTAATCGCCCGACCGATTCGCTTAGGTTACACACCACGGCGTTACGTCACCGAAAAAACAACTCTAATAAAAAAATTATTTATTTTCAAGAGAATACGGTTAGGCTTTAGTTAGGTAGTAGCGCCGACGATGGGTTTGGGCCGCGTTTTGAATATGATTTTCTTCCGAACGATGCATTTGATGACGTATTCAATTCCCGCGTCGTTCTTTTTCTTTTCCAGCAGCGCCAGCGGTTTTTCCATTCTCGTCTCTTTGCCGTAGAGCAGGTGGTGGCCTATTATGAGCAGGGGTGTGCCACTTTTCGTAAAATGCAAGTCGCCGACAAATTGTCCCTCGAACGAGGACTCGGAATGCGATTTCAAGTCGCCTTGTAGCTCGATTATAGCCCATTCAGTCGCGTTCTCTCCCGCGGGGCTGAAACAATTTTACGTTTTCCATTATTTCTGCAATTGCTTTAGGCAGAGGGGCCGTTTTTTCTTCAATGGCAGTTTTTGTGTAAGATTTTTAATGTTTATGCACAAAATATATTTCTTTGTCCTATTTTGCAATGCAAATTATATTTGTAATGGCACTATGACTTGTACAAAGGTTTTGTGTATTTTAAAATGTTAACAAGTAAAAAAGATTGTCTTCTCGATAAATGTTTTCAATATTTTGCAATACCGATTATATTTCTGTAATGGCATTACTAAAAAATACAAGATTTTTTTGCAATGACGGATACAAATTTTGTGCTTATTTTTTTTTTATTTAAAATTTAATTGATTTTAAAAATTGACGGATTTAAAATTACGCGGATTTTTGTTGTTATTCCATGCAGCTTTTTCAGCAACGACGCGTTTTTGAAAGCAAACGCGGATATGAGTGAATTCATTTATTTCCAAAAAAAAAAACGTAACAATCAGTAACGGAATTTCTTAAACAGTGGATGTTTGTTGACGTTCGAAGACCTTTTGAACTCGTAGTAGACCGCGTCGTCGCCTCCGGACATGGACCCGAGCCCGCCCACTTTCCTGCCAACGGCTCCGCCCCCTCGAGGGCCCCCTTCACCAGGCACTTTTTCGTCCTCACAGTCGATGTCACTGGCCGCGAGCACCTGTTGCAGCAGCTGGCCCTGCTCCTCCCTTGTTTTGTACATCAGGTCTGCCTCCTGGTCCATGCCGGCCAGCTTGGTGATCACCTTGTAGCTGTAACCCTGGTTCACGAGGAACCTCTGACGTTTCCTCGAGTAGGCCATCTCCATCGTGTCTTGCGACACCAGCGTGTAAAAGAACGCATTATATTCCTCGGCTATGGCCCCTTTTTTCGCTCGCAGAATACGCCCCAAACGCTGAGCTTCCTGCCGTCTCGAGCCGCCGTGTGACGATATCTGTATGAGCACGTTGGCCTCGGGCAGGTCGAATGATGTATCCGCCACTTTGCTCACGAATATCGTGTTCACTTTAGGGTTAAACTTGAAATTCTGCAGGATCTGGATCCGTTCGCCTTGCGACGTCGGCCCGTAGATGTACGGCTTGTTCATCTTGATAGCGTAGTGCTTCAAGGCAAACACGTTGTCGGAAAACACTATAGTCTTATCACCGCGACGCTCGTGGTACCGGATCAGGTACTGCGTCGCCCGGAATTTGTTCGGGTTCATCACGTAGAGCAGCAGTTTCTTGCTCGTCTTGCACAGCAAGTACTCCCTGTAGAATTCCGGCACCATCGGGCACCAAACCTCTGCGCACTGCACCCTGAAACAGGTCGGGAAATTTTCGGGTCCACCGCTTTTTTTGCAATGTCAACTCCGTTTTTGCAATGCAAATGCCTACCTTACGATTTATAATCGTACTGCCGTGCCGGCAAAGCAATAAGAATATCTTGAAATGTGGGAGAATTTTTTGCAATGAAATAAATTGATCTATTTTTGTTTTGCAATATCCACGTTTTAATATACATCGCCGAAGGTTTTTCGAAATGGAGTAAAAATTCTCCTGGAATGCGTCACTTTTTTGGAATTCTCGCCAATGACTTTTTACGCAATAAACAACACCGGGCGATATATGATTTTTTCGCTTTACTGGATGTGTTTTGCAGTGCCGGCGTTTTTTTTTGCTAAGCAATAAAAATATACACGGAAGAATTTTTTGCTATGATCTATTTTTTTGCAATACCTATGTTTTAATATACAAAGTCGAAGGTTTTTTGAAATGCATCAAAATTCTCACCAAAAAGGTTTTGCGACGCAATAAACAACACCTGGCGATATAATATTTTTTCGCTTTACTGGATGTGTTTTGCAATGCCGGCGATTTTTTTGCAAAGCAATCAAAATATCAAGCGATTCACCCTTTATCTTTGCAATGCTGCCTCTTTCTCCAATGAAAGAATTTTTTGTGATGCAATAAATTGATTGCTCTTTTTCAATAAAAATATCGGATGTTTTTTGCAATGCGATAAAAGTACCTAGCGATATATCCCTTTTTTTGTAATTCCAGCCAGTTGGCTTCGTAGAGCTTGGGCCCAATCAGAAAGTTGAGGTCGGCGATCTTGTCGTCTTCACGCAGCAAAGTGGCGGTCAGTCCGAGCTTGCAATGGGACTGAACGATGGTCAGAACCCTGCGGAACATTTTCGCAGGGATCGTATGGACCTCGTCGAGGACCATGATGCCCCACTCTTGGTCCTGCAGCCACTTCATCGTCTGCTCGGCCTCCCACGAGCGTTTCTGGGTGTGCGTTATCATCGAGTATGTGGTTACCAGGATGCTGCATCCCTAGAAACGCCCTTCCTCTTATTCGGGACTGCCACGGAACCCGCGTTTTATCTACCATCGGTTTGTCTTTGGCCTCGGAGGTGAACCGACATATCATGCTGTCGTCTGATGTGGACCACATCTTAAACTGCTGCTTCCATTGTTCTACGGACACGCCTGAGTTGCAGAGCACCAACGCCCGCTTGCGGACCGTGCAGCAAGCGGTCACGCCCACCAACGACTTCCCCGCCCCGCAGGGTAATACGATGACGCCCGACCTGGCTCGACCATTGCCGAACATTTTTCGGAGGCTCTTTTCCTGGTAGGGTCTCAACACTGCTGACGGTTTCAAGTCGATGTTGATGTCCGGATTAACGGTGTCATTTCTGAAAGACGCCGGAGGCGGTGGGGACTTCGGATTCGACTAGCGACCAGTCGCAAGTTACCTAAAATCGTATTCGGCGAGCAGCGGGTACTCCAATTCAATGCACCTCTTTTGGATCACCTCGATTTTCTCTTGGTTGACCTCGAACGAAACGGTTTCGAGCGCGTTCTCCTCCTCGTCCTCCTCGTTGTCGATTTTCTCGTAGAAATTTGTGATGTCGTCGGGCACGGCCGACTCTGACGGACCGGTGTCAGCCGACGGACCCGCTTTGGTTCCAAAATTGGGCACGTTTTTTTTGTCTTGAACCTAAAAGCGATCCCGGTCCAATCCAAAACCACCACGCTCCCCACTCTTTTAGAGATAGAATGTGTTTTACGTTCAAGGAGAGGAAAAAAGTAACCAAAGTAAATTTTACATTGGGCAATGGCGTTCGCACAGAGATTAAATATAAGCCTTTCGATGCGGTATTTTTCAAAATATGCCCAGACGCCATAACATTTTTATAGAAAAAATGAGTTAAGCATGTGAACATCGCTGTTTAAGAGAAAAAATGGCAAAAAAGCATGGGGCAGTGGGTGAAATTCATGCCCATGCCCAAAAGATCAGAAGTAACAATTTTACTATAGTTAAGAACAGCTAAATTCAATTTATCTGTTGAAAGTTATTCTTATGGTTGTTCATTTTAATTCTAATCAGTAAAACTGTTAAATCTCAATAAATAACAATTTTGTTTATATTTCATTTTAATCAATTTTGTACCAAGTAGGAATCCCTTAAACCAGTTGGCAGGGGCGTAACTTGCCTGCGTTATAAGTCCCTCCGAGTCACTTTCGACGTTCCTACGTAACCTACACTCTTGTATAACAGGATCTTTGAGTAATTTCTGGAGTACCTCCGGATAGGGGCTTTCTACAAAGTACTTGTTGTGTTTTAGCACTAATTTTACTTTACCGTAAGATAACGTGCACAATTTAATGAAATCCACTATGCCGTCAGGTACGCTAGTCTTGCTGAGTCGTTTTAAGTACTCTATAATATCGTTGGTTTGCAATCCGACGCTCACGGCGGCGTACAATGAATAGGCCGTCAGTTTGTATTCGTGTATGTGCTCGGGGCGGCACACCGGCTCCGAGATCGCTATCAGAAAGTCGTGAGCGTGTTTGTAAACGGGAGAAAAGGACTCTAGAAAAATGTGGCCGTTGGGGGCTACCCACAGAGGTCTAGACGCGTTGTCCGGCTTTAGCACCATCTGCGGACGATAGTCCTTGGCTCCGAACTCGTCCTCCTGCACTTTTTCGTCGTTTTTTTCGGCGTCTTTCGCAGCCGCGCCCGGCACTGCCGCCTCATCGCCTTCCAATATATCCTCATCGTCCGGGATCCACGCGTCTTCCTCTTCCTTTTTACGCCTCTTCGACTGTTTATCTAGGCGCGAACTCGGGCGCTTCGGTGGCCCCATAACTATCGCGCAATATTAGACGACACTCGCATGACAACTAAGCGGTTTGAGGTTAGGTTCAACAATGACAACAAACTAACATCAACTCGACGTGGCGCCGCAAAAAAACCCGATGTGATATTCGTTAATGTGCTGTTGTAAGCGCAAAATGAAAGCGATACGAAAAATCCGCTAAGAAGCGGATAAACTGCGACTTAATAGCGGTACGAAATGACGCGAATCGAAAGGAAACAATTTCTTGCTAGGCGAATTCAAAATCAACACTCACCTTTTAATAAGGATTACCATCGCCGGCTTTACTGAGTTTCGCGTGGTAATTTTGCAGAAAATTCGCGAAAATGTAAAAATTCTATTCAAGACGCAAAGCCGACTTGAAAAAGACGCGACATCTAGCGACCGAAATCTTAAGGTTGTAAAAATCCAATGGCAAACTTTATTTTCTCAGCACGGATACATCCAACTTCAAATAATACGCAATGAGGCTCAGTGGTCTAGGGGTATGATTCTCGCTTTGGGTGCGAGAGGTCCCGGGTTCAAATCCCGGCTGAGCCCGACTTTTTTTTTGCGTTAGCTAATTTATTGTTCCCACAAAAAAAAAATAAAAGCAGAAAACGCAGGAGAACCAATTTTTTGAAAATATAAAATTCATTTTTCGCAAATGGAGATGACCCGGATATATTTCAGTCACGGTTCAACGTACGGGATACTAAATTAGAAGCGGGCTCGTTACACAACAAGGCGAAAACCTTAAACTTTATTGCCAGATGTTCTAAATTTATTTATTTGCGCTGGTAAAAATTTAAATTTCAATAAACAATGAGCGTCGATACATCAAAAGCCCGCGATGACGACGGCTCTCGGACTTTTTTCAGCCGGGACTCCCGTCTAAAGTCTGCAGAATATGCCGGCTTGGCGTCGACGCTAGTCGTTCTTCGGATGCGACCAAACTCGTAGGGTTTTTATGTGGTACCTGTCGCGCACCATGAGGTTTCTGTTAGCGGTTCTTGTGCTCAGTTACGACTTTTGCTTCGCATCGGTAAGCAAGACAATAGCTATCGATTTTCATTATTTATAAAGTTATAATTATTATAAACACGAAAATAATCGTAGCGCGCCAAGGTAACGCGGTAGTGAAAAAATATTTATCGATCCATTTGAATTATCGACAATTACCGGCGGCCATATTCCATTGTCCGCGGTAAAAATAATCTTGCAATAATCGAAACAATAACCGTGACATCACTTTGCATTTTTTGCGAAGGCCACGCCCATATATAGATAAACCATCGAATCGTCGAAAGGTCGCGTGTTCAATTTCTAAGGCTCGTCCGTTTGGCGAAAAAAATACATTTTTACTCCATCGATTATCTAACGCGTTCCGCATCGCAGAACAAAAGACGTTCTAGATTGCTTTTTACCGTGGTCTGTGAAGACCGCCCGTTAATCACGTCGCAGAGAGATAAATTAATCAGAGGTCTGCGGCGGCGAACGACCAATAGCTTCGTCCGCTAAGAAAAAAGTTGGAGATTTGATTGTAAATATTCGGCAAGCAATCTGCTTACATTACTTTCATTAAAAAAAATGGTCCTTACAAATCCAATTAAATTCTGTCACTAAAACGGTAAAAACAATGTTTTATCCTTTCTTTCTGATGGTCGAAGCAAATCTCTAACTTTTTTCATTTTATTGTGAGATCGTGCTTCGTGATTGACGCACGACATTTGTGTGTCTTAAAACTGCGGAGATCAAAAGCTGGCTGTTTTTTTTATTTTTCGAAAAAAGGCTGTAAAAAATATAAGTTATGCAATCTTACTTTCCAATTTTCTACGTTAAAAAAATTGTAAGAAGAACCGTTCAAATTCAAAATATTAGTTTAAAAATGCATATTTACAATCAGAAATTCATTTCATGTTGAGACCAAACTAACCAAATAGTAGAATTTCTTACGAATAGGCGGATAATTTTGATGTTTTTGGGAACGGTTTATACGTCATACATGCGACGACAAATTACAAAGGTAACTAGGAGTTTGTACACGAAACTTTGCTTAAAAGAGAAAGATCGAAACATTTTAATTTTGGGCCACAATGGAAAGATTTTCCTGTACAAGTACATACTTTACTATACTATTATTTTATTATTTTTATTATGTCGATGAAAATGATTGTAGCTTTATAGAAAACGTTTTGAAATTCTTTTGTCGAAACAGTTACAGATATATTTTTACTAAATGACGTCGTACGTTTATATTATGTTGTTTTTACAGCCTTTTTACGTCAATCAAACATACGTAAATAAATCATAAATTAAAATTAAAACTTAATAGTTAACACGTTAGCATCTACTCTGTCATGGGCGCATGATCTTAATTTCAGTCGTTGTATACTCTAAGATCTTAGTACCCTTGCCAAACAGAAGTATTTTTCTCTGTTCTGTGTTCGAACGTCATTATTGGTTGTAGGCGTTGACCACACCAACCCCGACGAGAGAGTCTTGTGACGTCAGCGGCCTAGATGGCCGGCTGGCAAAATTAGAAGCGTTGATTGCCGAAAAATCCGACATTGCGCGTGCGCAGATCGATAACGCTAACAGGCGACTGCAGCACATAGAGCGGCAAACGTATCTGATGCAAAACGCATTCGACGAGTGCCGAAACCAAGCGAGACGATCCGCAGGTGAGTGAGGCCCCCGAAGTTAGGCAACCGGATTTGCTTCGGCGCGTTTTAGACGGCACACAGACGACCCTGAGGCACGCCTACCGCGACAAGCAGGAAGCGAAGGTGGAGACGAGGCTGGAGGGCATCGCCAAGAGCGAGCAGCTTTCGCTCGTCGCTTTGAGAATGATAAGCGCCGACCTGGAGGACGTCGGCAAAAACGTTTCCGGTCTTTCCGCAGTGGTGGGGTAATTTCGAGCGAGTCCTAAGCTGCCACTGGGCATTTCTGAAATCAATTTTCAGTGAAATCCTTTCGAACCTCGCCCCAAAACAAGGTTCCCCCCAAAAACCGACCTCTCCGCCTCGGAACTGCCGCGAGATCCAGAACGGAAAGAGCGGCGTGCACCTGGTGTACCCGGTGGACGCGGAGCCGTTGATGGTATTCTGCGACATGGAGTCCACGGGCGGGGGATGGTTGGTGATTCACAACCGCCACGAAGGCTCCCAGGATTTCTACCTCGGCTGGGAGGAGTACAAGAACGGGTTCGGCAACCTCGCCGGGGAATTCTGGCTGGGGTTGGAGAACGTTTACCGGTTGACCGGTAGGGGTCGCGCCTGCGCGCGTTGACAGAAAGCAAAGGGATGATTTTTCCGCGTTCCAGGGCGTACCGTGCACGAGCTCCTCGTGGAACTGGTAGACGTGAACAAAATAAAAACTAGCGCTCACTACGCGGTCTTCGGAATCGGGTCCGAAGCGGAAGGCTACTCGCTGAAACTCCTCGGTGGTTACCAGGGGGACGCGGGGGATTCTCTAGCGTACCACGCGGGGAGCAGGTTCACCACCAAGGACAAGGACCAAGACGGATGGTTCGAGGGTAACTGCGCCATGTCCCACAGTACGCTACTTCGTATGGGTAGGATTCGGAATAACCGGGGGTTGTTTCAGGGGGCGCGTGGTGGTATCGCGCCTGTGACACCAGTAACCTCAACGGAGCGTACGCTCCCGGCGATCTGCCGGACGCGAACACCTACCAGGGGATGTACTGGAGGGATTTCAGGGGTCCCCAGTACGGTCTGCTCCAGGCCAGGATGATGATCAGGCCTAGGGACGGAGGCGGCCCCACCGTGACGCTCGGCGGTACAGCCAATCTGTGAGCGGCGATGACGTCGCCTTTCGATATACTGCCATAGCGATTTTACGCGGCCAAAAACTATTTCGTAAACATTAATTTCATTGCCAGCCTGTAGTTGTTAGTTTGCCATCGAAATTCGTTATTAAAATATTTAAAAGTGATTTTTAATTTTATTTTTTTCTATCTCGCCCATTATTTACGAAACCTAAAGAAAAAATTCCCGCAAAAACTACACACATTTTCTCACCCCACCCTGCATCTCAACCAGAATAGTCACTGAAATGCCTTTTCGGCGATTTTAAGCCGGTAAGAAACAATGAGTTATATAGAAGAGGGTGGGACAAGGCAGCCCCATGGGGCAAGGAGGCACACCTCAAAAATTAACCAAGATTTTTTTTCTAATTAATTATAAATTTTGGTTATTTGTACAGTTTTAGCCCTTTGCGTACCGAATTATAACCGAATCACAATTAATTTATTCAAAGTGTTATTTTTTTGATAAGAGCTTCCGAAAATCTTATAAATACCGATAAGAAATTTTTTAATCGATAGAACAATAGTTAGTAATCGGTAACGTTGTTTTTTATTAAATAATTTTATTTATTATACCGGGTACCACAAGAAAGTGGGAACACTCTATAACTTTTAAATGGCGTGAGATAGCGATTTAAAATTTGGAAAGGTTAATATAGGCTGCACTTCCGGTTTGAGCAGAAACAACAGAAACTTGGATTCAGTGGATCAGTCTAAGTAGGATAGGACGGTTTTTTCTTTTTTTTTATAATTTTTATTTAATTTTTGGAAATTGTGTCTAGCAGGTTGTGACCATCATAAATACTATTTACCGGGTTACCTGATCATTAAATAACCAAAATTTTCAAAATCCGGTAAAAAAGAAGCTCACAGGAAGGAAAAAACCAGATAAGTAATAGTATATTATGCAACAAGTGCGGTAAACGACTCACGAATTTATTTGACATTAGCGGAGTGCAGCGGAGCGAGTCTTTAATAAACGAGTGACGTAAAAAGTTTACCGAACGTGTATACTTTTTCTACGAGCGTTAGTTTTTGGGTACATTTTCGCAAAACAACACTAACACATTCACTGACAAAATTCAAACCGTACGGTTAAATCTCCGAAAACATCCGAACGGTAAACTCCGCGGAAATGTCCGAAGTGGCTCGGATTCGTAGGAAACGAAACTGACGTGGTAAAGTAACGCTTCCCGCAAGCTAGTTCATTGGGTAATTAGGCATTTTACAGACGAAATAGAAAGAAAATTTTGTTTATTATGCAACAAATGCGGTAAACGACCTTTGAGTGACGAGTGTATTTGGCACGAGCGGAGCGAGTGTTTAATAAACGAGTGAGTCAAAAAGTTTACCGAACGTGTTGCATAGTACACTTTTTCTAGCAACGTTAGTTTTTGGTACATTATTGCAAAACAATACGAATACATTCGTATGACCGTCAGAATTCAAGCTGTGCGATAAAATCTCCTAAAACATCCGATTGCTCCCAAACCCGTGCGGTAATATCCGAAAATGTCCGAAGGGGCTCGGATCCGTGGGAAACGAAACTGACATGGCAAAATGACGCATACTAGATCGATGTATAATTAAGTATTTAACAGAAGGGAGTAGAAAAAAACTTGTTTTATTGCAAAAAGCGCTCTTAATTATTCCAGCATCTGTATCGACTAATGCAAATAAAATTTTATTTCGCTTTCTGCTTCAATAAATGTTTTTAAAAACGTTCTCCCGAATTCGGAACATTTAAGTCGCGTTTCGAAGGAGGAAAAAAAAACGCCACGCCACTTAAACTCGACGGGTTTAATTTAAAAATAGCCGGCATCACTTTTCTCGCGACAACCGCTCTATGTAGTTGATCCGATTGATTTTTTCGCGCAGTGCTGCCACCTGGAACAAAAGGCTTGTCTGTTAAAACCTTACCTATCCCTTACCGCCCCTCACCTTCTCGGAGTGCGCTTTCCTGGCGTCCGCGCTCGCCTTCGCCGCGTAACCGTCTCCCGACATCATTTTGTCCATCTTGACCAACTCCTTGGCGAGCTTGCCCCGCGTCTTCCTTAACCTAAGGACGTCCGCTCGCAGCGCCTCCCTCAATTCCGGCGGTACTTTCAGAAACACCCTCGTACCCGACGCCGAATCCTCGATGTAATCGGCGACGTCGTGGGGCGGGGCCGTCGCGACGGCCAAGCCGCGTAAACCCGTGAGATCCCTCATGGTCGGCGCGAAAAGCGGCAACGCCGCGTCCGTCGTGACGACGACGGCCTGCGCGTCGTGCTTTGCGCTCACGTTAAAGGTTTTTTTTAATCTGCGCAAGGCCACCACAACGTCCCTCGCCCTCTCGACGTCCTTCTCCAACGTTTCGTCGTCCCAGTCCAATTCCTGAGGCAGCGTAATAGTTTTTAGTGAGCGGCCCTCGTATATCGAACGTCACCTGCGGAAATCCCCGATCTTGACCGACGTTCCAACGACGAGGCAAGCGTTCATGCAAATGTTGACTGAGTGACGGCATGAAGGGGGCGAGGCATCGAAGTGCCACGTCGAGACATTGCAGGAGGGTGAGACAAGCACGTTTAGCAACTTCGACGTTTCCAGCGTCTCGCAATGGCGTTTTGGCGCATTCCTGGGGCATTTGAAAAGGGAAATGTGACTCCTACCGGCTTCGAAGCGAGTTTAGAGAAGCCAAAAAATCAACAAATAATTTCAAAAATATATAAAAATTTTAAATTAAAGTTTAAAAGTTTTCCATGTTTTTTTTTGTAATCTGGGAGTTCAAAAAAATAACAATTAAGCAACTAAAAAGGTCTTCACTTGAGTTTTATCCATTTCTCGGAATTACGATTATTATCATAATATTTAGCTAACCAAAACAGTTACTTTGATTGTCAGAAAAATCAAATAATGGAAAAAGATTCATCTGGATTATTATTTTAAAAATTTCATTTATTTTTTCAGGTTCCAAAAATTTCTTGCTCTTTTCTAATCTGGGCGTTCTAAAATTAGAATCTTAAACTATTACTTTTTAGTATTCGCTTATTGACATTTTTTTTTAACAATTACTTATATTATGGGGCTTGTTTCCAATACCGTTTTCCAATAACTATTTCGATTAAAAAAAAAAGAATTCCGAGGAAAAGCAAAAATTCGTAAATTACTACAATTATAAAAATTTAATATAAATTAAAATTCAAAAATAAAAAATATAAATAATTTTTAGCAATTTTTATTGCAAAAAATGAAAAAATTAATTGGCTACATTTTGGATAAAACAGAACTAGCGACGTATTTTAGTTTTTAGAAGAAGCAAAAATGAACAAAGGTTCGATAAATTATTTAAAATTAAGGCTAAATACAGAAATCATTACATTATCATTATAATTTGAATTAAAGTTTAAAAGTTTTTCTTATTTGTGAGAATGAGTGGCCCAAAAAACTATTTTTAAATTTAAGAATTCAAAAATGTTAAAAAAAAATAGTATGTGGTTATTAAAAAAATAAACAAAAAAAAAGGCCCCGACTTTACTTTCTCAAATTTTTATGAGAATTAAATTTCCCAAAAAAAAAATCACAACTTTTTTCACCTATTTTCGATTCGCTCACTTTTTTAGAGGAAAAAAATGAAAAAAAAATGTCCCCGCCGTGACAATGCTCGCACATTGCCGTGACCAGGATTCGAACCTGGGTTACTACGGCCACAACGTAGGGTCCTAACCACTAGACGATCACGGCTACCGAGGAACTGTGTGTAATTCGGCTCAAGTCGAACTCACTACAACGGTGACCTTTTCGAATAGTAATTACATAAATGAAACACGTCGTTTTTGTTGAAATTCACCCGATATCGAAGTGAGACCGCAAATCATCGCGCGAATAAAACAAGCGACGATCTGAACCCGCAATTTTCGCGAGATAGAAAAAGTTCAGGACCGTACTGAGCCCGCGCTTACCAAATAAATGTCGCAAAATTCGTAGTACAAAAACTGCTTGATGGCGGTGGTGGCGACGTAGAAGTCGCGACTTTCGAAGGCCGCGTGAACCGCTCTAACCATCGCGCTGAGCCTGCTGAGAATCCACCGGTCCATGAGCGACGCCTCCGCTAGATCGCGCAACGCCGCGCGATCTTCCACTTGCCGGCACCAAAACAGGGTAAACTTCGTCGCCTGCCATATTTTGTTGCAAAACAGGCGATTCGCGTGGCACTCGGACACGTCAAAACCCACGAAGTGACCTAGAAATCGGACTTAAAAGGGAAAAGCGAGGTTGCCGCGCGCTTACTCTTGACGTTGTGCGTGAGGAGAGTGAAACGAAGGGCGTCCGCGCCGCACTGGGGTATGCCGGCCGAGAACGCCTCCCGCTGGGTTTTGATCGCGCGCACGAACTCCTCCTCGGTAAAAAGACCGGCCTCGTAGCTGTCCGCTATCGATTTCTCCAGATCCGGCAACGTGGCGCCGCGGATGACATCGTCGGGCGCGACAACATTGCCCAAACTCTTGGACATTTTGCGTCCGCGCGCGTCGCACACGATCCCGTGCAGTATCGCCTCGCGAAAAGGCAACACGCCCGTGATCTGAGTACACAGCATCACCATCCTCGCCACCCAAAAGAACAATATATCGTGTCCGGTCTCCATCATGCTGAGCGGATAGTACCTCTCTAGGTCCCCCTTCTACGGAACGACAATAAGAGCCTCGCGGGCGCCTAACCTCAAAATCCGACCTGATCGAACACGGAGAACGGTTGCAGCGCCGACGAGAACCACGTGTCGAGGACGTCCTCGTCTTGCGCGGCGACGACGTCGTCCTCCGCACAGTCGAGTACCGCCCGGGCCTTGCGTCGCGCCTCGGTAGCGCTTTCGGCCGCCACCCACGCGCGTCCGCCTCCCCCCGAGCAAGAATATGCCGGCACCCTGTGCCCCCACCACAGTTGCCTCGATATACACCAATCGCTGCGTGAAACGACGTCGTATTTTACGCAAACCTCAAGCGGCAACGCTTACCGCGTATCCCGCAGCCAGTCGGACCATTGCTTTTCAAAATGGCGCGGTTCGAGGCTCAGCCGGAAGTCCTCGACGCAATTGAGCGCCGTCTCCGCCATGTTGGCGCAGGCGAGGAACCACTGCGCGCGCACCAGAAACTCGACGACGTCGCCGGACCTGCTGCACCGCGGCACGACCGTCTGGTGGTCCGCGATGCTGCGCAGAAGTCGCAGGTCGGCGAGGCGGTCGAGCACGGTGCGTCGCGCGTCGAAACGCTTCGCGCCCTCCAGGTCGCCGCAGAACGAGGTCAGGCGTCCCTCTTCGTTGATGATTTGGGGGGCGGGGAGGTCGTGACGTTTGGCCGCCTCGAAGTCGGCCGGGTCGTGCGCCGGCGTCAACTTGACGGCTCCTGCGCAGAAAGAATAGTCACGTCGCGACAGCGACACCCGGGGACCGGCTCGTACCCGTTCCGAAGTCGGGGTCGACGAAATCGTCGGCCACGACCGGGATGACATCGTCCCTGAATGGGTGACGCAAGCGTTTGCCTACCAGGTGGCTGTAGCGCGAGTCGTTGGGGTGGACGGCAACGGCGACGTCGCCGAGCATCGTCTCGGGTCTCGTCGTCGCCACCACTATCTCCTCTGCAACCAGAGGTTCCGCCAAAGAGTCAGAAAATCGTGTCACATACTAACCCCTCGACCCCACGACCGTGTAGGCGAAGTTGGCGAGGACGCCGAACCTAACCGGGCGGTCGTAACCGGGTACAGTCAAATCAGTGGCGCCGTCTAGGGCGACGTGGTCGACCTCGATGTCGGAGATGGTCGACTGGAGCACGCACGACCAATTCACCAGCCGATCGGCCCTGTATATGAGCCCGAGGTCGAACAATTTGACGAAGGCGCGGGTGACCGTCGCCGACCGCGCCTCGTCCATCGTAAACACCTCCCTGTCCCAGTCTAATGCCACGTTAAGTCTCCTCAGCTGCTCCCCTAATAAATAAGATTGCTTTTGAAAAATCGTCGGTGGGCGGGGCAATTTCGTAGAGCGTAGAGCGAAGCAGCATTGTATTTCAAAAAGGAGCCGCTTCGCGGTTTCTTGTCAAAAGAGGGACGCATTGTTATTCCATCGTGCTCCTGCGGACCACTATGGAACTTTCGCAGAATCGATGTAATAAAATGTCCTTCAAGTATCGCCGAACTTCAAAGTCACGACAAACTTTGGTAAAGATAAAAAATTGTACAAGTAATAACAATTTTCAATGATATTTTTCCACGTATCTCGCGCACCCTGTATATACGAAAGCTGCAACTCTATCTCGACACAATTTACGGTACCGCTTAAACCAAATTATACAATGTTTTGTAGTTTTTCATTTATGGCTAATAATTTACCCACAAAAACGGCAATTTTCGGAGACTTTTTGGTCGATTGGCCATTTCTTATAGGCTTAATCATCTCGTGGACGGTTAAAAATTAGATACATCTAAATTTCGTAGACCAATTGGTTACAAACTTATTCCGGCAAAACCAAAATACGGGAACGGAGAACAGACAAAAAAAAATATTTTCGATGCTGATCATTTCTGAACCAACGACGTCCCTTAGCGACGTAGCGTCCCTACGAGCGTAGATACTTTCGAAAAATTCGATTTCATCCGCGCGTCTTACTTATTGTGGACGATTTTTGCTTTTTCCATTTCCACACTTCCTCGGCAAACCTCTCGCGACCGATATCCTGTCTGCGCAGGCCTTTTTCCTTCCACAACCTTTTTTCTACGACGACTTGCGTCGCGATACCGGCGTGGTCCAAGCCGGGCACCCACACCGTCTCCCGACCGCGCATCTTCTGCCTGAAACGGCAACGTGACGTCACACATTCGATATCTTTCGCACCTAATTACCATCTAATCAAGACGTCTTGTATGGTGGCCGTAAGGGCGTGGCCCAGATGCAATGTACCGGTAATATTCGGCGGGGGCAGTACCAAACTAAAGGGTCTCTCGTTGGATTTGATTTTTGGCACGAAGTAGTCTCCGTTTGCACTTTTCTCCACCTCGTCCGGTTGATACGCATTTGCCAATTCTGCAAAGAGCCAGTGACAAAGGAAATCGTCTCACGACGGTCCTGTCCGCGGCGAATAACTCGCCGTGACTGACCTCTGTCGGTTCTGTGGTATTTATGGTGAATAATTGGAGTTACCTACCTTTGCTTTCGAACGTAAACGTTTGCGAGCACCGCCTAATGAACTTTTTGTCGCACAACGCGCACTGTGTCCGTATTCTGTTCATTTTAATTTATTTGAAGGTAACGAGCCACCGTTTTGTAGGTTAAATCATGTGGTATTACCGCTGATTCGTAGTTCACCCGCGAGAGGTCCCAGCGCGCACCGAATTTAACCTACGTTTGACATCTTCCAAAATAATGAATTTTTTAACGAAAAACGGCCGAAATTTGGGGCGTGTTTTGATTTCAAATGCACCGGCGCCAACTCACACGACTGTCCGTCTCGCCAGTACTAACCGTCCCGCCAAGTTGAAAGGTTTATTTAAGTTAGGTTTGGCCGGAGTTACCGTCGGGGCTCTGGTAGGTACCGGTTACTCAATTCACCAAATGAACCAACCACGGGGGCATATTATAAACGAGCACACGTTCATAGAGCCGCTAAAAGAGATACCGCAAATAGAGCCAAGTAGAAAGGTTTGGTTAGGGTTATGTTTTAATAGGCCTGTCGAATTTTACATTTGGGTATTGTAGGTGCACGTTCCTGGCGATCAGAGCGGTTTAAAATTGACACTTTACCAATACCAAACGTGCCCGTTTTGTTGTAAAGTACGGGCGTTTTTGGATTATTACGGGATTTCTTATAACGTGATTGAAGTTGACCCCGTCTTGAGGCAATCTATTAAGTGGTCCGAATACAAAAAAGTGCCGATACTCGTTGCGAACGTGGAAGGAGGCTTTCAAGTGAGTATTATGTATTAATTCTGTCAATTTTCAAGCGCTACTCGTGGTTTCAGCCCTTAAATGATAGCAGCATGATTATATCTGCTTTGGCCACATATTTAAAAGACGCCGATAAATCACTGACCGATATCGTGAAATGTTTTCCTTTCATATCGTTCTATGACGACTCGGGCGTCAAGAAAAACCAAATCATGAACGGTTATTTCTTGATGTTCAGCGACCAGGCCCGTCAGAAACAAGATGAAAAGAAATTAGGAGAGGAACGCAAGTGGAGGCAGTGGGTGGACAACGTACTTGTCCACACGCTGTCGCCTAATGTGTACCGGACAAAAGACGAGGCGTTTCAAGCTTTCAATTGGTTCTCGGAGGTCGGAGAGTGGGACAGAAACTTCCCCCCATGGGAGAGGTACCTGATCGTGTATGTCGGCGCCTCGGCTATGTACTTGATCGGCAAACGGTTAAAGAAAAAATATCATTTGAAAGAAGACGTCAGGCAATCCTTATATGACGAGTGCTCAAAGTGGGTGAGGGAGGTTAACAGCAAAGGCACCCCGTTTCTGGGGGGCAATCAACCTAATTTGGCGGATCTCGCGGTGTATGGCGTGCTGAACAGTATCGAGGGATGCGATGCCTTTAAAGACTTGCTGGACCACACGAAGATAGGCAAATGGTACTTTGCAACAAAGGAAGCCGTCACGGGACACCAAGGCGCCAGTTTCGTGTGACTCGATTTATTTGTACTATTTTATTGTTATATCGTTAAATTATTTACTAAATATAAAAGTTAAACGACGCTTGCGTATAACTATGCCCTGCTAAAAGCAATTTCTTAATATCAAGGAGACATAAGTTTGCTTTCTGTTTAACTGCATAATTACTTTAATTGGCCAGAACTGCTTCACGATTTACGCTTAAAAGGAACTTTATTGCAAAATTTTTGGGGGATGCTTTAAAGAAATGATCTGAAATAACCTCTAGTTTTCGCAAACACTATTGTGTCTTAAAATCAACAATCTCTAACCAACCAATTCACAATCACGAAAGCTTCAACACTTTTATATACTACTAAAAATACTTAATATGGGGATACAGTGCCGTATTTCGTGCTACAGTTCCGGCCTAAACCCTTATTTTCCCATCAATAAATGCTTCAAATGATAAAAGAAACTACCACAAATAAAAAACTTTTTTTGCTTCAAGTCTCTACCCGAATCTGAGGTTTCTGCGTTCCACAAAGGAATCACAGAATGCAATCGTCACAGAAGACAAACCGCCGAAACCGGTCCTGGAAATCGATAAAAGCTACAACAATTAAAACGTTTAATAGGGTAACAGTACGGTAAAAAATGCAGCTTATAGCCTAACCGTACTCGTGAGTGTCGTTCACGCGAATCCATCATCTGCGTCGATTATTATTAACTTTTTTATTTCGACCTCCTCGACGAGTTCGAGTGAATTTTCACGCGTAGCAATTCGCGAGGCGCGGATTGTTCTAATTGATAAATTTTCTCATTAGCGTTCGATTTCGGGTCAGCGCGCTCGAACGCCACACCGTCGCGATGAGCGAACCCACGATAATATTAATAAAATTTCTACGGCCAAGTGTTCCAGTTTTTGCATGAAAACCCCCGCACATATTTTATTCAAATTACCCGCGATTTGCAATTAGCATTAATAAAAGCCCGTCACTGTGAGAAAATCCGACGAATAGCGCGCGATGTTCTAATTGTTTTTATCAGGAGCGTGTTACTCACTCTCTCGGTCGCGTATTGGGTGTACGAGGGCGTCTCTGTTATTACCAAGTGCATTAGTCTAAACGAGCTGTTAATATTTATATTTACGCTGTAGTCATATTTAATATTATTTTCACATGTTCCGTGACCCTACCGAGTGTTGTGGTCTGTGATTACGCGTTGGAGTTTTTTTACATTTCGCAGCCTCAGTTTTAATTGTCAGCCTGCGATTTTCCGATACGCGAATCGAATTGCTTTTAAATTATTAAAAAGGCAGTTATTTAAACTGCGACGATGATTTTACGCTGTTCAGTGCACGAAATAAACTCTTAAGCTCATCGCGGATACAAAAACACGATTTGTTCCCCGTGTTAAATGTTTTTGTTTACGCCGCCTGAACGTTTCCACGCATTTTATCCATATTATTATAAAACGCCTACGTATCGACTGACCCCTATAAATGGGTCGCATTAGCGCGGAGATCGACTCGAATCATAATCGCGCATATCTGGCCGAGAACCGATTTAAACTAGGTGAGCGTTGCATCGAATCGCGTTATTTACATAGCGAATTAACGCGATTGATAAATTATGCGGCTGCTGCCCGCGAGAAATTGTCGTTTTTGTTCGTTTCGAACCGCTTATTTGTATAAAAAGCGGCCCCTTAACTGGCACAATCGGCGCGCCATCTGAACGTCCATTATTACTAGCGTCCGCATAATTAGGTCTGCGACGATTGCGATGCGTCAATTGCGCGTTATGTAGTCCGCGGTTCGGCCGACGTCATAGGACAGGTTCTAATTTGGCCACAGACTGGTTCATTTTTCTTCCTGTTTGGATTTTTTGAGGAAAAATGGCTTTCAATCGTTCATCTTTGAACTAGGTGTTTGTGATACATACCATTTATTTTTTTTCCCTTTTAAAGTTATTTTGATACATAACTTTTTGACATAATTAATTACAAAATTTTTCAAATTAATTTTAGACGTTAGGAATTCTTAAATACCTTTGAATTTCTAAGAATATCAATTTGTATGCGCTTTTTCGTGGGATTTCTAAGAAGTTAGATAATTGTAAATTTTATATCATTTGATACAAATATTTAAAGACAATTATTTGACAGAAAAATCATGTGCGTAGCGAGAACGCCCAATTCTCCGATCAATATACATGATCAACAGAAAGCCAACAATAACTACCTGTACTTTTCTTTATTACACTGTTGCCATTCCAGTTTTGATCAAGTTATAAACTGTTTAAAATATAATTTTGCAATTTTTAAAAAAATACCGTACATAGGGGTATCGGCAGTCTAGAGGTTCAGGATTATTGCTTTGGAAGAATAAGACATGTCACAAAAGTAGATTGCAAGTATGGTGGACAAAAGTAGAGTGCAAGTACAGTGGGGGTTACACAAGGAGTTGTTTCAAAAATCTATTCAAGCTTTCTTACGGGAAGTCGTGAAATAGTAACTACGAATACAACGGAGGTACTGTAGTGCGTTGGGGTGGAATTTTAATTGGTGTAAGAACTTCTTTAATTCCTATTAGAAAAACCCTAACAGGGCATTGGATAAACTCTAACAGGTCAATAGTATATTGATTTAGTTTTGCAACCCGTAGTCAGGATTTGGCGAGGTCGTTTTGGATTTTTTTTATTTATGTAAGAACACAGAGTCGCAAAATTTTATTGTTCTTGAAGATCGAAGGAAGGTGGTGCAGTTTTTAGTGACCTTCTTGTTCACCGGATCTTAATGCTAGGGAGTGATAATGGGATAAGATCAAAAGAAAGATTAGAGCTGCTCGAAGTAACTCTGGTAACATAAAGCAACATATACAAGTTGCTTTAGAGACTTGGGCAAAAAATTAACAAGGTGACACAAAGCATGTCTCGGCGAATTGGTACTAGAGGTGTAAATGCTGAATAATAAAATAATTTTTCTACTCCAGTTAGTAAAATATCTAATTACACACCGATCTAACATGCGGGAAGCGTCACTTTACCACGTCAGTTTTGTTTCCCACGAATCGGAGCCACTTCGGACATTTCCGGGATTTTACCGCACGGATTTGGGAGCAGTCGGATGTTGTCGGATATATTTCCCACGCCTTGAATTTTGACGTTTGTCAATTCTAACGGTCAGGTTAGTGAATGTATTTGTGTTGTTTTGCGAAAATGTACCCAAAAACTAACGGTCGTAGAAAAAGTATAGTATGCGACACGTTCGGTAAAATTTTTAAGTCACTCGGGAGTCAAATAAATGCCGCTTACTATTAAGTAGCATTACCTCTTGCGAAAAAAATATTTTTATAGAAATCTACACTTTTTCATAATTATTCTATTATCAAAAAAAAATTTCAATAATTTGTATTTCTTTTTGTGATTAACTTGGTTCTGAAATGCTGCTGTTCATTACTCGATAATTTTTTACAAATTAAATTCTATTTCTTGAAATTACCGATGATCCTATATAAGATGCGAAACATGTCATTTAAAGTCACTCCAATCGATATAATTTCCCTTTGCTTTCGCAATTTTCTCCTTTTAAATTCGCAGAGACGAAGTAAAGCAGGTCTTCTAATTTGATGGTAACGGCAATTCGCAAATTTCTATAATTAACAGAAACCTATAAGTCGCTCGTTGTCCATTAATAGGAAATAGTTCGACCTCGATAGGAAACTCGAAACTATCTACGCGCACTCGACCCAAATGTTTCGTTACTGCTACTTAAAAAGTGCTTCCGGGGACGAGGTAACCCCCGAAAAACCGTGACGGTACAACCCGAAGGAAGCCGTCGAAAACCATCGCCGTTCCGCGGTGACGGTAGCACGGGCGCGTGGTACCCGTAACAGTACCCCGCTAGGCGACAAGCGGGGCGTGACCGGGTACCATCATCGTCTGCCGGCCCCCTCAGCCAGATCGAAAAACGCGGAAATCCACGTAAAAGTACCGTCGTGACGGCGCTCGAGCTTTTCAGTCATCCAGTTCCGCGGTTAAGCTGCTAGCGGTGGTAACACCTTTTGCCAAGGTTGCGCGCGGATGTTTAGTGACGTTCGCGACGAAGTACTTTGCGACGAAAAGTGTTTGGAGACATGGCCGCGATTCGGAGGTTCCTGTTGGTGGTTTTCTACGCGGTAAGTACCGGCGATACTTCGGCGGGATTATTTCGTTGAGATCCCGTTCGGACAGCTCGCCGACTTTGAGTCGGTTAAGGAAAAATGTTTACGGCCGGTCGTAAACGACATGGTACCGGCGGCGGTACCGCGGTCACTCGGAATATCTAAATTAAGGAGAAAAACGGCTTTACAGTAAAAGTACAACCGCGAAAACCGGAATGTCGCGCCCGCGGGCTGTTTTTTTTAGGCAGCGCCCTGAGTATCACTTGTCGGTACTTTCGATTGTGGTAGTTCAAGATTTCGCGGTGTGTGCGGTACCCGAAAATCGTGGCCAAGTGTGGTACGAAATCGAGTTTTCCCGACCAGTGATACGGTATAGTGGTACTATCCTCGTAACCTTTATCATTGTTGGTATGGCACATAAATGAAAACTCAAATAAAAGTAATAGTGACTAAAGGTTAATGCAATATAAAATGTTTTCTTCCCATTGATTTGTAATTTAGAGGTTAGCGTTACCTTTATAAACCATAAATTAGTTTTATAACTGCAAAGAATACATTTACTGCTATATAAATATATTATAAAAGCCATTATAAACGTCGCGAGCTAAAGTTTTTATAAACACTAAACGAACAACCCACTTTTTCGGTTCATCTTTTTCTATATCATTTCACTCTAAATTTGGATTTTTAGTTTGACATTGACAAAAGCCTTCAAATTTTTCAACTACTCCTTAATTAAATTTGGCACGAAAAATTGATCGCAGAAAATTAAAATAGACTTTGGATACTTTTCAATCCTAACCATTTAAGTGTCTTATGGCAATTAAACTTAAAGTGTTTTTGGAAGTACTTATAGATTTAATTTTTCAAAGAAACTTCCTCAGGCTCCTGTAATACTTTTTATAAAGCTTCTGGATTCTTCTTGCGTCGGTTTGTGCTGAGTCGAACTTGCTGACGTTTCGCCAATCATCCTGTTGGCTTCTTCAGAGCTTGACTGAAACTGGCTCAAACAATATAAAAGCAGGTACAGAGTAAAATACGAGCCAGTTTTAATCAAGCTCTGAAGAAGTCAACAGGATGATTGGCGAAAAGTTAGCTAGTTCGAGTCAACAAAAACCGTCGCAGGAGGAATCCAGAAGTTTTATAAAAAGTACTTATAGATTTATAAGCTACCAAAAAATGTTTTTATAATAAGCTTCATAACCAGTACAAAAAAAACTAACCACTTTTCAGTTAGTATTTAGTAGAAGGGGGAATTTTTACTGTGGTCGCCGAATGACATCCAGCCGCACAGTGTTGCCAAACTGCTATATTTATTATATTTTAGCATGAAATTATACAAAATTGAAAAAAAAGGGATATATAAAACTGCCCGTTTAAGTTATCATGAATAACCTCATCTCCAATCGTGATAATTTCAAAAATGCATTAATAAATTCACATCCTTTCAGTTTTCTATTTCACTTTTCAACAAAAATGAAATCAAATTTTCCAAAGATATTGTAAATGATATATTTTTCCCAAGCACAAGTTTAAGGGATAAAAAAAGGCCACTTTTTTGTAGTACTGTAACAACGCAACAGCAATAGCAATTTTATATTACTTTAGGTAAATCAGTTGTTCACGCTTCAAATTTATCATAAAAACAGTATCACTTATGGCCGTAGTATAAAAAGTATGGCAGACTATCGGCAGAAATTCCACTGCGACAGATAAACGGAGACCAAATCCTTGAAGGTAATGCAAAAATTATTACAATTAACAACAGAATAAAATTACAATTAAATGGAAAATAAAATTAGTAAATTCTCCACCCAAAAATTAGAATCGGTATATTCTCGATACAAAAAAGTAAAATTTATCAGTTCTCAAAATGATATAAAACAAATTTTCATTCTAAGAATCAAAAATAAAATTTAACTGAAGGAATTTAAAGCAAAGAAAGTGACACATCCACTGGCTGCAGTACTACAATATGATACTACCCTACATTGAATATGTGGATGCAGCGACCACGAAGAAACTGGGTGCAAAAAACGGGCGCTTCGTGTGTCGCAGCGCAATTGACGTAAGCGCAAGGTGGCGAATCGCAATGGAGCGATAAAACTCGAGAAATATGCTAATGGGGAGAGAGAGAAATACGACCAGCATCAACGAGGTACCGTACCGCGACCCACTCAGGTACGCGTTCGCCTTCTCCGCCGAGCAAAAACCATCCGCGAGCCTAATCTGATGCCCCCGCGTTTCTAGGTTACGTTTTTTGACAGTTGTGGGTCGGTACTGTCTCGTAAACATATAGGGCCGGTCCGCGGATATACAGCCTCTCTTACTTTTCAGTGGTAGACCGAGATCAGGGTTTGTGGACTTATATATAGAGAGAAAGGTGGTGCTTCTGACCACATTTGAATTTGCCGCTTAATGTTGTCAGTATACAAAGCAGATGTATCGATAATAAGGTGTGATAATACCCTGTACTTGTACTCGTACGTGTACTATCTAAACCAGGACACAAAAAAAGATGCGATGTGAATCTTTTGTTCTAAATTATTACCGACAGTGTACAGAATGTTTCCTAACTTCTTTCACAAAGTGAAGCAGGATAATTCTCACTTAATTTTAAGACGACAATGTGGTATTAAGTTTTTTGGAATATCACTTAGTTTTCGAAATACAGGGTGGTTAAGAAATAACATTTGGTGCGTATCCTTTTTATTAGTCGTGGGAAACGATATTAAAGTGATATTTTGTACACATAACAAGGGGTTGTAGTCCTTTTCTTTGTGTGCATTTTTTAACCTTTTCATTTAGTTCAATGACTGAGATTCTCAGAATCTCTCAGTCATGATAATTATTATCGCCGTACTCATCTTTAAAGCGATTAAAGCAATTAAAATGATAACTTACTCGAAAATCGTAAGAGCGAACTAAATGAAAAGTTTAAAATGGGCATTCTGCATATGGAGAGGGTATATATTTCATAAACCAAGGTTCTAAATTGACTTAGTATGGCTCCAAGTAACATTAAAGTTTAATACTGGATTAAAAAATATCCTTAATATTCCCAAACGGTGAATGAAACGTTTTGAACGATATTTTTTGTACTGCGTTGTCTCGTATTTGAATATATTTAATGTTATCTACTTTTATTCATCCTGGTACACATTCGGACATAAGCTGAAGGCACGTCTGTTTCATTATCATAAATAGTAACTTCTTAGTATTAAATCAGCCTTTAGAATTGCTTCGACATCATCTTAAAAGTTTTTTTCTACTCCCTTCTGTAAAATACCCAAACTTACACCGATCTGGCGTGCGAAGAGTGTCAGTTTACAACATCAATTTCGTTTCCCATGGATCTGAGCCACTTCAGACATTTCTGAGATATCACAGCACAGATTTGGAAGCAATCGGATGTTTCTCAATTCTGACGGTCATGTCAGTGAATAAACACATTGGATTTCAACTGTTGCATTATTAAGTGTCTGTTTAAAAAGGCTGCATACCACATCGTTACTCCTAAGAATTTTTTTTTAATAAAATTCGAAGGGATTAAAATGGAAATTTGAAATATTAGTTTAATCTCGGCCAAAAATTTTCTTCCCTAGCTCAGCATAAACTTTTGGGTATAAAATTTTTCGTTGATGTGAGGCAGTGCCCTTACCACTCACGCGTCGCGTTCTGATTGGTTCGCGAAGAACCGTCGTGCGAGTTCGTTCGTTTCCGGTTGTTATTGGTGGCGGCCATGCCCCGCAAGGTCGGCGCGGTTTTTAAATCATTTCAATCAAAGGCAATCGGCTCGCGTACGTGCGGAATTTTTAGACCCAACGGGACCTCTGCTCGAGCGTCTTAAATAATTGCGGAAAAATGAGGAAGAACGCCGTCTCGGCAGATGGCCTCCAAAGGCCGACCTGTGCCCGCAGGCTTCAATCCGACGTCAGTATAAGGATATTCATTGAGTAGTTATAATCAACCCAGAATTACAACAGAGTAATAAAATATTGACAATTTAATTTTGGCAGACCAATTAAACTCATAGAGATGCTTAGCACAGAGTAGGACTAAGGTTATTTCCAAATTTCAGTAAAACATCTTCGAAAGAATGCATCAGTTGTTGTGAAGATGTCCAATTATGAGCGGGGAAAATTTGGAATATTAGAGTCGCCCTGTTGAATACTGGGATTTATTGTAAAGATATTTTTATATTGCAAGTGAGGAAGGGCGAAACACTTTTTATGGAAGGGCCAATATTAAAAAAAGAAACGGGACAAAACAATAATCAAATGTTTTTTTCTTTGATAGGAAAGTAGAAGTTTCAGTAAGTAGGGCCCAGGTATATAACGGAAACCCAATACCATGGGGAATTCTGGTACATTTCGTCGCAGACCTGTGGCGCCCAATAACCCACCCCTACTCTCCGATTAACTTAATTTACTTTGGTTATCGTCGAGCTGGGGCATAAATTTGCACACACCTAGTATCTTTTTGTCTATACTTTGACAACAGAAAAAAATACTTCCAGGCATTATCGGGAATTAAATAATAACAACAAGGGTACGACAAAAGTTACGTAAAGTGACTGGAATATCAAAGCCCCAGCAAAATTCTATAATCAGAATGTCAAAAGCGAGTCTAACTAACATTAATATTGTTAATATTGTCGAGCGAAAATCAAATTAGAACAATGCATTTCCATCTTTTTGTATAGAAACCAGTGCTGTATTCTGATTATCTGTAAAAGATTTTAAGTTACAAGTTATGTTTTTTTCAATAAAACATCCTGTATATTTTAATTTTTTTGATGATATTTTCAATAAACATACGTTTTATGTAGTTTTACTAGTAAATATATTATTCTTGTTAGTATTATTATTAATCTTATTACTATCAGAAAAAAATCTACATAATACAAAAAGTAGTAAACGATAATATTGAGTATGTCTTTGATCAAAAAGCGGCTGCCGCTCCGTATGAACTACGACAATATATTTTCGAAGTGCAAATGGCGTGCCAAAACTTACATTTTATTTTAAAAATATCTGAGTACGCCACTGAATTCTGCATTCTATGCAATTACCCTGGTAAATGCCCAAAGAAAAATAGAAAAATTATGCGAAATATATCAATCAGCTGATAGAAATCACTTCAAGCAGTTCACAATTTTTTTTATTCTACTTGTATTTGTATTGTATCTTATCTTACTAGTACTTAATAATCTTAATAATTTTATCTCCTTCAAAACATCTGAGCACACTTTATTCTACGTAAAAAGATCTATAAGATTCCGTTTTCATTTATTTACTACGATACAGGGTGTGTAAAATACAAATGGTAACTATCGCGTTTTCTGTTCTATCTCAAATAATAATTGAGATAAATGATCTCGCATTCTGTTGAATAGTTTCTAATTAGAAATCACACTGGAACTGAGACATCGTGGTGGGGTTTGATGGAAATCATAACACGTCGCACTATACATTCGTGTTTAATCAAATTCATTTCGGAAAACAAAATGAAAAGTTACATGGAGAACGGATGATCACCTATCTGACAACTGACAGTTGCCAAAAAGGTTCGCGTCACCACTATCTATGGTCCATGACCGTTGCAACATTCATATGAACCGAATGGCAAATCGTATTGGCGACGATGGCAAAAAAACGCAAATTCGAGTTTAGTTTTAGCATAATTAATCTTTCGGAGCGTCAGCGACGTAAGATTTCATGCGATAATTTCAATAAGACCCGTTACATTCCTCCGCGAAGCCTCACTCGTTTGCCGAAAAACCCGCGACGGAACAAAAGGACGGACGTCCCATTGGCCCACAAAATCGCCCTGCGTGACAAAAAAAAAGGAATTAGCGTAGACGTCCGCCGTTCACGCGTGTACCCGAGCCATTGTACATTACAGATCCATTACGGCCATCTTACAGTTAGGTCCTTTTGTGCGGCAATTTACGACGAGACGGCGCGATATAATTTCCACCATTGTTAATCGATTTTTTTTTCTTCGCGTTCGAATTAATGGGTCCGTCGCCGCTCTAACGGTCGTCGCTTTCAGGCGACGGTGACGGTCGCGCAAGACTACGAGGTCACCGAGATCCAATGCACATTCGCTTCCAATACTCACGCCGCCATCAAAGACACGATCGTCGCCCGGCTGAGGAAACCGGAAGGTTTCAAGGGCCATCCGTTGTTCGCGGACGACAGGGCCGTCGATCCCGACTCCGATCCGGTCTGTCAAATTAGACAGGACGTCGCGGATCCGAGCGGGCACAGGTACAACCTCAAGGTCACGGATTTCGGCCGCTGCGGCGTCCTCAAACGGAACGTAAGTCTTTTCTTGTCCCGTCGAATGTTCACTAACCATTGATCGGTAATCACCAACATCTGTTTTTAGCAGGCGTACCAAAACCTAAAGTAACCAACACAGACCGGACGCTAGTGAAAATTACCGATGGGCATAATCGATATATTTTTATAATCGAAATAATCAAATTAATCGATTTCAATAATCGAATGATCATCCAAATAAACGATTATGAATGATAAGATAAATAAAAGTTAGCATCAATAATTCAACTTATTCTAGATTATGAATCATAAAATTATTTTGATTTACAGCGAGGAAATAAATGATATTTTACTAATTTTATAAATTTATTAAATGATTTGATGCAAATTTTTTGGTGAAAGTCTGTTTCTTCTGGAATTAGTTGTGATGCTAGTTTTCGGAAACATTCTTTTAGAAGGAACCAGTAGATTTTTGTTCTGATCAAAAAACAAATGGGCTTAAATAAAATGGTATATTCGGCGTTGACATTGAACGGCTTTTGCTGTAGGCGAAGAACGTATTACATTCGTGCAATCCGAGACTTTTTGGTCAAAATATTCCCATAGCATGTCACCGGCTGAAGTTTCATGGTCGACCTCAGCTTTTGAACAGTCTCAGGTTCAACTGAAGTCTTGGCAAAAAGATTTCCATGTTGTTTAAGTACCAATTTCTCAGCATTCTCTGCATTACCTTATACCCCAGTGGCTCGTACTTTTGCAGATATTTTCTCTCGTTCATAACTACCGAGCCGTCTTAAAATAATTGCGATTAAATTAGCGTTCAGCTTTTTATCAATTTTGTTTGAAGTTTATTTATTTAGAGCATATTGGAGTCCTCACACAAGTGAAATTATCATAGACAAGGTGATATTTTTCTCCAGATAAGGTTGTTGTAATCAAACGGCTTTAGAATTCGAACGCAATCCTCTAGTGCCAGCCATTCACATGCGTTGAGTATCTCAGGGGCCTTTGGTAAACTGGACATCACAGCAGTTATTGAAACCTTAATGCTATCAAGCATTATATATGTCGAGTTCCAACGCGTTGTTGCATCTTGCTTTACTTTTAATTGAGAAGTATTCCTTTGTTGCGCATCTTTGAAAGTTCCCTACAGCAGTGTTTGAAATGTCCTACGTTATTTATGCATTCTTTCAACTCACTATTTTGTACAAGTTCGTCTTTAACTGATAAATTTGATCAATGATAATGATGTTTACGTGAATGAACGGCTATAAACGATTTTATATTTGCACCGTTTTCTGAAACCAGCGATCTTCTGAGCAATATGCCACTGATTAAAAATGTCCATTAACTCTGATGCTAAATGTGAAATTGAGTTCCTTGTACTTCATTGGTTTGCAAGGCACTAGCATGTAACTGTGCATTGCATAAAAAGAATAGTTACTGTCATATAGTGGAGAGTGTTATCATTTTCATCATCACTTCAGTTTGATACAGTTCAGAAATGAGTTGCAAAGTTAATATTTTTCAAGACGGGACTGAATACAACCTTTTATCTTCAACAATTCCCAGGAGTTGATAATCCCATACCATCATTTTAATCAGCGCCAGATTAAAATTTGTAATTTGTGATTCGGAGATCCAATACTCATAACTTTCCTATGGGTCTCTTTGGTGATAAAGTTAATAGCGATGATCCTTTTCTACTATTCCACTAGTAGAAGCAACACTCCGAGTAGAAGTAGAAGCGGTTGGCAATTTATTACAAGTTTCTGGAGCAGGAAGCGTTTTTTCGGAAGTTGATGGAGCTGACAATTCATCTTCGTCATTACTTTCCTGAGTTTTATTAGGTACTGACAGTTAGGATCCGCTCTTTTTAAATGTTCTTTAAGATTGGTGGTATTCTTTAAAAAAAAATGGATTCTTTTTTGCACTCTGTCCATACAACAAATTTATTTTCTCTGGCAATATTGAAAAATGTTCACACCATTGATCATTTTCCTTTGGAACTCATTTTATTTCTTAGCTATCACACTTTTACGTTATTTAATACAAATCATTAATTATTATTATATTTTAATTAACAAAGATACAGTGAAAACGGCAACAGAACTGAAGGTTAAAAACCAAAATAAACTAAATTTCTATAGATAGAGTGCGGGGAAATTACCATTTACCAGTAATTTTTCAACTGGTGAATCCCCCAGAAGCATCAAATAAATGATACCATACCGCTTTTGTAAATGCAATGTGTAATGTATTGTTGGTTGCGTCAAATGACTTCCAACTTTCAATAATCAAATTATCAATCAATTTTATATTGCATTCGACGGCATTGTTATTTTGATGTCATAATTGTTTGTTTCGATTTCCATGATCTCTCAGCCGCAATAATCCAATGATCGATTATTTGGCCATAATCGAAATATCTCGTTTATATCATTCATAATCGCCCATCGTTAGTGAAAATGTTCACACTGTTGCGGACATAGTAATAGTAAAATTGACAGTTGACAGATTTTTTTATTTGTATTCTAAAACCTTAAGAATTTAACTTATCAGACGTTAATAAAATATCTTTCTAATATTTCATTAGATGTTACTAATAACGTTTTTTTTTTATTTTTTTTTTAAGATTTAAATATTTAGAACATTAGAAAACGAATGGGGTTTTGCGATAACACTACAATAAGCTTTCCGATACAATCCCTAAGGAGTTATTTATAAATAGTATATTATTATCTAAATTAAATGAGGTCTGTTCCGAAAATATCTAGCAAAATGCCTCTTCTCATATGCCAAGTGCTCTTCTATGTCCTTTGTTTTTTTTTTAACTATAGTTAACCTAACCTAACATGGCGCCAACAAAACGGAGCGACGGAGCGTTAAAAAAATAAAATTACTATGTACAATAAAACAAAAGATCACAAAAATTAACAAAAACTCTTATTATTATAAAAACTGTTATTATTGTTACACCAAGGACTAATATTTGGTTACCCACTCGCAGGGCTTCGTGCACGTCAGGGTGTGGTTCCCGCAATTCCCGGGGGTGGTTATGCAGTCCGATCAAGAACTGATCATCATGTGCAAGCCACCCGAACCGACCGTCATCGAAAACAAAGCCGCCGGTTTCGCGGGAAGTTTGTAAGGAAGCAACCCCCACCCTTATCCGTTTTGACAGCGTCGTTTTTGCAGCCCCCACGGCGCAAGGGTGTCCGGGGTGGTCGAGGAAACGCCCGGGCGTCTCGAGTATGAGGTGGCTCTGTACAAAGAAGCCCCAGCTCGGATCAGCAATGTGACGGGGAGCAGCAGCGAGCTACCGGTAGACCAAGCGGTGCCCATTGGTACCAAGCTGCAGTTGAGGGCGAGAATCAGCCCCGACTCGGCGTGGAAGTACGTGAAGCTGATGGAGGTGACCGTTTCCCCAGACCCAGATGACCCCCATATGCACGGCAGTGTCGCTTTGGTAAAAGACGGGTGAGTTATCTTTAACGAGAGATACGACTACATGGTGCGGGCGATTTCACTTATTTGTTAAATATGGTTTTATAAATACGAACGTTGCATTGGAACCGGTTCTTAACAGACAATGTTAACAAACCTATGTGCAGAGACCATAACCCGTCCTGTAGACGAACCAAGTTTATTATACGTTATGACGTCAATTGTTGATTTTGATTTAGTGCGATTGAGCGGGTTGACCTGGGAAGATTCCTCTTTTGAATAGTGAACATTGCAACCACCTGCCTATCTACGTCACAACGTAAACAGTTTTAAATAATGTATGACGTAAATTGTAATTAATTCTATGGAACAAATACATTAATGCATTAAATGAAAACGGATATATATTTGCAATAATAGGGTGTTAAAAAAGTACGCTGTCAAACTTTAAGAAACGAGTCCTTACGTGATTTTAGGTCCAATAATGCATCTTTTTCATAATACAGGGTGTTAAAATTTTCTAAAAAAATTGTGTTTTCTTTTATAACTTTTATATCATTTTCGATATTATTATCAAATTTGGTGAACATCTTTTAATTATTGAAAGGCGGCTTTTGACACAAAATCTTTTTTTTATTTTCACCAGTGGCGTCCGTAGGGGGTTTGAACTGAATGTTTGACTACATTTTTGGCCACCCAGGTCACCTGATTTAAATCCAATAAATTTCTTTCTCTGGGGACACTTAAAAACATTAGTACTGTACAACACCAGTCCAAAGTGACGAAGATGTAAGAAATCGGATAGAATACCCTTATACAGTTATTAGGGAACACCCCTGGTATTTTAGAAAGAGTTCGCCAGTAAGGCGTACAAACGCATGTATCAAAGTCGGAGTAGGTCAGTTGCTCTAATTAATTTTTTTCTGGAAGAATATTGTTTGCAAAGATAGTATCTTTTGTTTACAGTTATTTAATATTATTTAATAATAAACGTCTTCCTGTTAGTAGTTAATTTTTTGTATTTATTTATTTTTTAGGCGAAAACCGTGCGTCATACGACAGCAAGTTCATGCACCAAATTTGCTCCAAATTGAATGGGGATTTTAAAAATCAATTTTGTTTTCAGAGAAAGCAGTGGCGTGCCATTTTTTTCTTTAAAAATATTCAGTCTAGACGCCATACGGACGTCACTGGTAAAAACAAAAATAAAATTTTGTGTCAAAAAGCACTTCTTAATAATTAAACGAAGTACACCATATTTGATTAAAATATCGAAAGTGATCTAAAAGCTATAAAAGGAAAAACTATTTTTTAGAAAATTTTAACAACCTGTATCTTGAAAAATATGCATTTTTGGGCCTATGCTTATATGAAATTTTTGTCTTAAAGTCACGCAAGGAATCGTTTCTTAACGTTTGGCGGCGTACTTTTTAACACCCTCTATACAACCAGCAAGATCCTGAAAAATCTACCTACCTGTTTATTTCCCACTTAGCAGATAATATTAGAGAATGTACTTTTTCCACTAAAATGAAACCATTTGATATTGCTACAAAAAAATGGACCACAAACGCACTTTTAAAATCGATTAATATTAAAAATAAATTATACCATGAAACTTGAAAAAAACAATGATCATGAGTTAAAAACCCGTTATACAGCATATAAAAACAAACTGCCTAAACTCGTTAATAAAGCAAAAAATTATTTTTTTTTTAAATGCAAATAAGAGCGTTAGAAATAATAATACTAGTTTGTGGAAAAGTGTACCAGACAAAGATGGAAGGAAGGAAGGAAGTAGCATCGGTCAAGAACTTGCAAATGAAATAAAAGGAAAAGCAAAAGAATACCCGCCGAACTCTTTATACCTCCATGAGACCGATGACAGCGAAATCGGACGCATAGTACCAAAAAATCTCCTGGAATTGGCGGCATATGGGCGGAAACACTCAAAAAGATAGTAGATTTTATTGCGAAACCTCTAACTCTTATTCTAAATAACTGTATGAATAAAGGGATATTTCGAAAAATTGTCAGAAGCTATAGTTCAACCACTGTATAAATCTGGCGACACAACAAACCCTACAAGTTATAGGCCAATCTCCTTGCTCTCAAACTTGGCAAAAATTTTTGAAAAAATATTAAAAACAGGATTGCTGGATATCTTGAAAAATTTAAAATCGTACACCACCATCACTTTGACTGACAGAAAAAATCTATAAATCAATAGATGGAAATCTTAAATCATTGCGTATTTATTTAGATATTAAGAAAGCATTCGATAGCGTAAAGAAATTCATTGATGTTTTGGGGGGTATACGATTTAGGGGAGTAAAATTAATGTGAAGTTATCTCAGGGACCGAACCCAATGTGTCATCTAGGATGATGTGCTTAGTTGTGAAAGAAAGGTTGAATATGGAGTTCGACAGGGAACTGTATTGGGTTCGATTTTCTTTGTTTTGTGCATTAACGATATGTTTCGAGTAAACTCAAATGGGAATATTTAGAGTTTTGCAGATGATACCGCTATTTTCCATGCTGATATATTATGGACTGCGCTCAAATACAAAGTTGAAAATGATTTAAAATTATTGTACAATTACTTTTCTTATAAAGAGGTAACTTTAAACTTTTCAAAAACGGTTTTCCTTCCATTCTCTTGTAATTCTCGTACCTTGCCAAATTTCACAAATCTTCAAATCGAGACTAATCTGAATGAGTTTATCCCGATTCCCCCGATTATGTTAAATACCTCGGTATCTACATGGAGAAGTACATGACTTGGAAATATAACACCGGTAAACTTATTAAAAAAAATGAGAATGCCAGGGAATTTTGTGATATAAAACTGTTGTATAATGCATTAGTTGAACCCTACGGTCTCTAAAAGGCAAAAACCGGGAGTAGCAAGGCGAGAAAAGACTACAAGTCAGAGATCCTTTCGTTACTTAGTAACAAAAATTATTGCCGTGGTACCTGAAGTGATTTAAAATTATAGACTCTACAATGAATATAAAAAGAAAATAAAAGAATGGGTTATTTAGCAGCCCAGACTCATGTAACAAAAGCTCGGAATCGTAATATTTTCCGAGTTATAACTGGGTTGAATTATCAATGAAATAAACTGATATTTTACACGCAAACCTGATTTAGTAAAAGTTGTGGTTAAAAATAAAAGTGTTTGAGAAACCTGTCACTAGAGGGCACTTTACCTAGAACATTCGTTTTACTTTCCCTGTATTTTATTTATTTAGACTGATATTGCAAAATAAAACAGATTGCCTTAAGCAGAATCACAAATCTTCAAAAATTGTTACTCCTTGTTTTAAGTCGATAAGTGCTATCGTGTAGCCACAAATCGACTTATTTATTTTCGGTCCGAATGGTTCGCACTTTTAATTTACAGAAAGGTGCCAATATGCAACATTATTAACCTACAGGCAACGTGCACTAAATTTTTCAAAACAGTATGCCACAAATTAAAAAAGTGAAAAAATAGAATGTCAATTCAATAACATGTCTAATTTAAATGCGATGAATACATTTAACGTTTTGGAAAATAAAATTATTAATAATAATCGGGAATTAAACAGTAGACAACGCATTTTGAAAATGCCCACCGTTCATTTCTATACAGTTTAAAAAAATGTTGTCGAACACGAAAAAATACCTATTTCTAATGATTTGGCAAACCGTTTACTATTTTTTGTCTTGTATGCGTTGTAGCTGTCTCGTACACTAAAGAATTTAAGTGTCACCAAAAAAAGAAGTCCGTCGGATTAAGGTCTGCTGAGCGAAGCGGCCAAGCCAGAGGTCCGCCTCGACCTATCCATCCATGTTCAAATGCCTGATTGTATGTAAAATGGGGTGGAGCGCCATCTTGCATTAACCACATATTTTGTCTCCACTAGAAGGGTACCTCTTCTAGCAAAGGTCCTCTTGGAGAAATCGCAAATACATTTCCCCATTAAGCGATTGAGGTCCTATAATCCCCGTCCATAAATGATGTTCTCCTTGAATTTTTGCATGTGGATTTTCAATGTTCCACATACGCATATTTCGAAAATTTACAATGCCATCACGACTGAATTCCGCCTCGTCAACAAAAGGATATTTAAGAATTGCTGGTAGTTTTGAATTTTTCCCAAAATTTGATTGAGTAAAATTACTCTCAATTGCTCATCACTCTTATATAGTGCCTGAACCCTTTGAACATGATAGGGCCGAGGAATATTTTCATTCAAAACTGCCCAAACTGCGTAGCTAAACGATAACACTTATCGACTTGAAACAAGAGTAACAATTTTTGAGGAATTAAAAAAAAAATTGACAAGCCATAACTCGGAAAATACAACGATTTCGAATTTTTGTTACATGACTTACTGCCATTATTTTACCACGTTTACCAAGTTTCCGAACACCCTGTGTATTCCGAGAGAGAACACGGTAGCTTGCGACGCTCCAAGATCGGTCACGGATGACGTCTAAACGTCGTAATTGGGTCGCGCGCATCACGGTCGGCCGCGGGCGCGTGCGTGTCCGATTCTTACAAGGAACCGTTTTGCTTTTAATGCTTCACAACACCAAAAAATTGAATCCCGCCTCTTATTATTATATCGGATACGTAATAATAAGTGTTACGAACGCCGTAATAATCGACGGGAGTCGAATCGGGTTCGCGGACCGGCCCTCGGGACCCGTTTGACCGGTCGCCATAAAAAAACACTTTCGGTCACGTTCGCATGTTCTTCCGGACGTGTTATTAAGTTATTCACTCCGCAAATGAATGTAAAAGTACCGACCCTGATGCAACGGCAGTCATAAATTCCCATCCCATTAAATCCAAACTAGCGTGGCCGTACCGGCGATGACGTAGGCACTGACAATCACAGACCACAAAACGCCGGTCGTTTTTCAGGTGCAGGAACCGCGATTTCGCGTCAATAATCCCGCACCAACCCGCGCGGTACAGAGATCGCCACAACGAGGTGTTCCTAGACTTCGAGGCGTTCCTGCTGAGCACCATGAAGGAACGGTCCACCCTATGGATCCACTCGCAGATCAAAGCGTGTATGGAGGCCGTCGACTGTCAACCAGACTTTTGTCTGGACCTATACGAGCCTGCCGGTCACGGCAGGAGGCGGAGACGAGACGTGATGAACGCGGAGATCGTGGAGGTGACCGCCGCTCAGAATATGTCCAGCACTCAGTTCAAAAAAATCGAAGGTAACCTGGAGTACACGGTGCTGATGCCCGGAGAGTTTCTGGAACGCACCGCGGCCTTGGAAAGCAGTTGCGGCACATTCTTGGTTAGTCTCCGACCTCTGCGGACGTGTTCCAGTGAGGGAACTGCATGTTGCAGGTGATCGCCGCCATTTTGGGCTGTCTGCTGTTTATGTCCGCGTTCATCATGTGCTGGCTGGCTAGCAAACTGCACTCGGCCATCGTCGGGACGGCCGAGTCCCACAAGAACATCGAGGATCTGGTGCGGGAAGGCAGGCACTACGGCGACGCCTGTTATACGGGCAGACCTACGACCCAGTAACGTCGTCTGATTATTTATTTATTTTTATTTATTGATAGGTCTATGTTGTACATATTATTTAGGTAACGCGGTGGGACGGAAATCGGGAAGAAATTCTACAAAAATGGCGCACGGTCGGGTTTTGTAACATTTCTTCTTTCGCCTTTAGGCGTTGATTCCGAATTCGGGGGTTTTTAGTTGTTTTTTTTTTCATTATTTTTATTTCTGGCGTCTATTTATTTCCTGTACATAAAGCAATTTATTTCCACGAGTGTTTTATTGAACCGCACCCTCCCCTGCAGAAATATAGCTGCTACCGCTGTTTTAGCGGGCGAATGCTGAAACGGGACCGTCTATGACGTAACCGACTAGTGCTGCGACCTGTGTGTGCCGATGAATATCAAAGATCACAGAATGTCGTTTTGGTGACGTAACTGACGTTTATTAGAAATCAAAGCATAAATCCGCTGAAACTCTTTTCGAGCGTTTGGATTTTTAGTCACCGACTATGTAAAATGTTATTCGTTCACGGACAACATAACGTTGGGGTTCGAGTGCATAAGTCACCGTCAACATCGAAATGCAGAAAACCAACCAACAGGATTTTTGCTGGCCCGAGGCTGCCCAAGAATTCCAAGACAACAGGCGTGAAATTGAGGAATACTTAAGGCGAAAGCGAGAAGGCGACGGAGTCACAATAAGCTCGCGTAAAAATTACATTTAATCCGTTTTTGACAGACGGTTTGAAAGTGGATGTTTGTCTATTTTAAACGCACGTTTTGGCGGATGCGCTAGGGCTTGCGTGTACGTAACTGACGTTTAATTCTGTTATTAGATCCGGAGGTGGCATACTTGAACAACACCGTGTTTCCTGTCCTGAACCAAGGACTGATAGAGTTGCTGGTCAGAGTGACCAACGAGGGCAGTTGTTACGTAAGACGTACGCGGTACTTGGTAGCGAATTTTATCACAACTGTATCGTAGCGTCCGAAGAGTACCTTCAACGGTCTGGACTTCTTAGCCGAGTACCTCTACAACCTGAACCCTCGGCATCCAAATCGGCGGCATGCGTGGACTTACATTTTCGACATAGATTGGGTCAAACGACATTTGGAAAAATGGTGGGTGAAGAACTAAGCGCACCTTTCTAATTAATCTCTTCGGGAAGTTTCTTTAAAAAAAACGTAAATTTGGCATCGCCGTACAAGTTTGTGTTTACCAACAACACCATCTCTTATTTCATTCGCCGTAAACATTTCTCTTGCGATCCTGTGGTAAAATTCGTACGTGTTAAGCCGCTTTCACACCCACAGCAGATGCATTTAAAGATACGGTTGAAAAACAAAAAGCTTGGAGGGAAGTGTTTACTTTTTTGGAAGAAGATTATTTAGAGAAGGATAAGAAAGATCAACAGAAAATAGGTAAGATAAGTATTTATTATTGTAGTATTTGTTATATTTTATATAAAGTAGTATGCAAAATTGTCCCTCATCGTCGGTCGTTTACATTTAGTTATAGGCAAAATTGGTAATATTTTTTCGTATCCTTTATTCGTACTAAATTGTGTACTTTAACGATTTGTATAGCAAGTTTTTTTGATACGTTTAACGCCCTAGTAAGAATTCTCCACTGCATCTTGCACGCTTCAATCGGTAATTAAATACTTTCTTTTTGTCTTTTAAATTATGTCCTGAATAAAGCCGCATTACAAGATCTGATAGCACAAAGGGAAAATTTGTAGGTCTAGTCAAGTTTAAGGAACGGGGTGGTGGAATGTGTAATTGATTTTTCGCCATCAAATTAAAAACGTAGTATGTTGAAAAACAGACGAATCACAGTCTTTACCATAATCCGTATCTGCCATTACCATTAGAACAATAGAAAATTATCCTTTGCAATAGAGGTTCATTGAGGCAGTATGAGAAAATTTGTTAACACGTGTATGCTTCCCATCGACTGCACCTAAACAGTTGGGAAATTGAACGTTAGCTCCGAATTCATCTGATATTTTTTGCCATTTTTCTTCTGTTGGTTGTGGAACAAATTCATGTTTCAGTAGATGCCATAAATGTTTGCACACCATATTCCCAGTCGATAATAATAATGAAGGTCTTTAAAGGTGGCTCCAGAAGCTAGATACCTAGAACAAAATAAGAAATATTTACTGCCGATTTTCTATTAATAATTTTCTAAAAATTGTTTTGTGTCGGGGCAGCAATCTTTTTTTTTTTTTTTCACTTTAGATGAAATTATCACGGGAAAATGGCAAAATATACGTGATTTCTTTATAAAATCTTTAAAGCAAAGAAGTGGTGAAGCGAGAAAAGAGAAATACCTTTATCATGGTAACTTAACATTCTTGCTGACAGTAGTACAACCAGATGAGACGTATTCTAATTTAGATGATTCTCAAAATGTTCAGCAATCACAGGTTAACGAAAATTAATTAGAAGAAGCAGTCACAGATCAAGTACAAGTGTAGTCCCATGTCGGGAAATTGCATTTCCGTGCCAACGACACAGCAAGAGGCAGAGAAATACAGAAGGCCCCTAAAAGGGGTCGTTCACAAGAAGACATTAATACACGCCTCTTACAAGCCCTAGAAAATCCATCAGACTGACAGATGAGGAGAAACTGGAGTTTCGGATGAGTGTGTTGCAATTAATGCAAAATATCGACACACGAAACGTTGTGAACCATTTATTACATGTTACCAGGTTCCTCATCATCTTCTTGTCCTTCGACAACTTTTTCACACCATTCCTTCTTACATAATGATAGTAAGAGTGTTGATACCCAGCATTCAAGTTTATATCAATGTAATCAACAAGACAATTCAGGCAAGTCAAGCTCTGAAGAAGCCAACAGGATGATAGGCGAAACGTCAGCAAGTTCGACTCAGCAAAAACCAACGCAGGAGGAATCCAGAAGTTTTATAAAAAGTAAGGCAATTCACAATAATTCCTTTGACTATAATCGAGACTATGTATGAGTTTATGTACTAATAAACATTTAATAAGAACTATCTTTATTTACTTACCTTATTGTGACTTAAAAATATATCGTCTGTTGAAAACGTACATCGTTCTTTTAGGACATAAAAATATCAACTAAAATTGTGTGAAATCATCAAACTTATCGGCACGGTGCCGGAGCCGGTGCGTGTGAAAGCGGCCTTCGAAAATGCGAAAGGCCGACGGGGATGTCGCGTAATCCGCTGCAAGTTACCGCGGTGTTGTCAGATGTTGTTTATTATCCACGAGTACAAATAATCGATTTTATTGACAGATAGCTTAGATTTTCGTACACCGATATTTCTACTGACAAACACTTGGACGTTTTTGCGATTTAAAGACATCTCCATGATCATTTGATGAATTCTTTCATTGTTATAGTTGATGTGTCTTTGTTTAGTCCGGTCCTGGAGCCTGAAGGAACTTAACCTTTGCTGAAAGAAAGTAACTACGACTACCGCATTTAATTTACTAACTCTTATCCATTTATCAAAGCAAAATAGACAGTGAATCTTTGCATATTAGACATAGACGCTACTGAAGTTGAGAGCTTCGCCTCGTAATTTCAGTCCGAGACCCTACTACCCCCCTCACCTCGTCTGGGATACCAGTAAGGCTGCGTTAAAAATCCAAGCTTACATGAGGGGCTACTGGGTGAGACGTAGACCGGAAGTGCTCGAGTTGAGGACATTTTGGAAGGTAAAAAAGTTTACTTAACCTATTAGAAGTATAAAAACATACTCCACAAGTTCGCCAGATGCAGCAATGCAGCAATGCTAGCCAGAGCATTTGAGCATTTAATGATTCATAAGTAATATAAATACCCTTTTATTTTTGAAGTTTTTAAAATTTGCTGAAATTATGCCCCACCACTTTTTTTTCCAACGTAATCAAAATATTTCGTCGTTGGCGAACTGACTAGCGCTATCTTTTTCTTTTCCGTAATTAACCTCTTGTGTTTTAGCAAATCAAGCTAAATGATCGATCGGACTAGGGACGTTTTTCCGCGTCAGTAAGTTCGCCATTGGGACGTTTCATTTGTAACGTAACTATTACATTATCCATATACTGTGACTAATGGCGTAGCGGACGTAGAGGTGGGACGGGTTCGAATTTGGACCACTTTCACCCGGATCCGGAGCCGAGACAATGAACTTTGGATGCGCTCTCGTCCGTAGCAATCATGCTTCTTTTGTCCCCCCCGGATTAGTCCAGTTCGTGCATAATAATAAAGGTTTTTTACTTAAATGTATTTCTTTAATTACGGTTCCAATTACAAGGCAGAAAAGGATACAAATATCTTGGTCCTTGAACTGCGTAAAACTTGCTGTGCACTTTATTCAATAATTAAAACTATTGGAATGTAGTGGACGTTCAAAAAAACGCGAATATGTTTCGGAGTGATTCTAGCGAGACGAGGAGCTCTGATTTTTCTTACTTACTTCTTACTTAGCCTTACTGATTTGAGCTGTTTTTGTATGATTTGTTCTTTGAATGACTCTTCCTAAAATTTAAACAACAAAAATCAAGAAAATGTTATTTGATGAAATAATAACATGTAGACAATTTAACTTTAAAGTACCTAATTAAACGACGAGAATGCCCTTTTCTCCCAATTATATAAATGAGCAAGCGAAGGACGAGAACAAGAAATGTTTGACATCGCTCGGAATGTGACGTACAACCTTCTTTCCCTTATTTATTTATTTATTTATTAACGGGCCAACCGCCCAATATAGAATAAGATTCACGTGAAGAAACTAGTAACAAAAATAAAACATAATGAAATAGATAGATGAAGACCTTATCCCAATATGACAAACATCGGTTTTCCAAAATATTAATATTAATATAGTTAGTCGACACGAGAGTAAGAACACATATAACAGTAGCGAGACAACGGAACAGTTGTACTGACAGTCTTTAAGTTCTTTCTTAAATATTCTTGAACTCTGTCCATAGTTAGTACGATGGAACTCTACCTTCTTCTGGTCTGGTGGGGATGAACGCGAAGCACAATCTTACATAATAGCTCAGGTCCATGAGAATTTGAGTGCAGCGATGAAAACATGAGGCAATATCATTCACATAGACATTAAAGAGTAGGGTCCCAGGTGTGATCCTTGGAACACCAGAAGGCACTTTAATTTCGGTGGATTGCAAGCTCTGAATGCGTACAATCTGTACCTTTTCAGTAAGGTACGATGTTAACCATTCCAAAAATTTTCCCTGGATTCCAATGTTTCTCAATTTTTTTTATTAAGATTTGGTGATTTACTCGTTCAAATACCGTTGAAAAATATGTGTAAATGGCATGAACGTCAGTTTATGCCATTTACAAGTTTACAAGTTTAGCTCAGCGGAGCGATGGGGGAGAAACCAAAATTGTTGGTCGATAAAGCAACTTTTCAGGTCGCAGACTAGACTATACCTTCGATCACTTTAGGAAATCAACTCAGAATACTGATAGGCCTATAATTGTTGACTTGCGAGTTATGACCGGATTTTAGGATAGTGGCAATGAAGCTCGATTTCCAGTAAGTTGGAAAAGTTGCCGTTTTTAAAGATGGGTTAATGTAAGATGGGTTAATATAAAATATGGTGGGAGCCCACGGGACCGGAACCTTTATTTTTATCTAGAATCGACAGTTTCTCGTAAATAGATGAAATCGAAATGTTCAAGTGTGAGAGGCTGACATCTTCAGAAGGCAGTGCATCTTCAGAGACCAGTCCCCGTCACTATTTATGTTCTAAAAATAGTCTGCAAATAAATTGCCAATATCCTCACCCACAGAACAGGTCATGTCGCCAAAGTGCACAACCGATGGAATAAGGTTTCTTTCCTTTTTACTGTTGACGAACTTCCAAGAATTCTTAACGTTTTCTCTCAAGGGCGATTCAGTCAGAAATATATATTCCTGGTAACACTGCACTTTTAAAAATTTACGTTTAGCTCTACCTCTGTATGTAATTTCTTCTTCTCAATTATTGTATCTTTAAGCTCTGCGGAAAACCAAACTGGAAAATTCTTAGCCGAAAACTTCTTTAAGGGAACGTAAATATCGATAGCTAAATAAACTATATCGTAGAACACGGTCACCATATCCTCAAAGGTTTTGTTAGTAAATAACTTGTCCCATTCCAACTGCGACAAAAACTCAGTCACTGACCAGAACTGTTGAAAGGTACTGAATCACATTGCAAGGTAAAGGACACTGGTGGGTGGGGTCCAGAAGGTTGTCGTTAACATTCCTGACTGTGTTTATCTAGAAGAGGTTGCGGTAGGAGCATAGGTAAGATAGTAGATTAGTGGATTAGACCTGGCTCTGCGTGCTTCCCGCCAGAGGCAGTGCAATTGGTCTTTGGGCAGGTTGAAATCGCCTAGGGCTTACAACTCATGACTGGGGTATTCTTCAACCAGTCTTTCCAGGTTCTCTCCGAATTCTGCATATTTCTCAAAGGAACACTTCGGTGGGAAGTAGGCTGTAGCCAGTACAAATTTGTTGCTATTGAAGTTGATTTCAATAAATAAATGTTCAATGCTTTTCGAAGCTGGTAAAACTTTACTTGAAAAGTCTTACAGACCGCTATTAGAACTCCACCTCCCCTCGCAAAGGTACTAGTTTCTGCAGATCTATCATTACGGTATATATTGTAGTTAAACATCTGTAGTTCTGCACTGTCAACATCATTAGTAAGCCATGTTTCATTGAGGACTTAAATGTCATATTGGGAGTAACACACATTCTCAAAGAGAAGCTGAAGCTTGGTGCGCAGTCCTCTAACGTTTTGGAAGTAGATAAGTGAGGAAGGGGGGTTCCGTCAATCTGGGAAGAGAAGGCCTGTCTAGTTTTTCTAATGAGTTTAGGAACTCCGTTTAAATATTTTAGAAAAGAATTAGCGTCCTTGTGCGTACAATTTGAAGACCAAAGCGATATCACGTTAGCTGTTGGCGATCCGCCATGTTAGTCGACCGTGGAATAAAAAGCCCGCGGCCGCCTTCGATTCGTATGCAAGTCGGTTATCGTGCTGTTGGCATAACAGTGATCGATTAGGGAATCCCGAGTTGCGTGGCGTCTATGTTACGGGCTGTTACGTAAGTTTGTTATTTGTTTCCGAAGGCGGTCGCCGCACTCGCACTCGACCACAGATAAGCAGAGTTTGGTCGGTTGGCGGAGTGCAACGCGGACGCGAAATTTTGCAACGGAAAAACCCAAGCAGGTTAAAGACACAGTCGAAACGCCTTTGACCCACATACGCATAATAGTTCGCAGAAGAAACGGCGTCTGGCTTTAAAGGAACTTTTCTCCCTTGAACTTTTATCGCGTTCTCCGGAAAAATTACAAAAGCGTGATTTTTTTTTGTATATTTTTGAAACGAAAATTTTATTATTTCGGCTTATTTGCAAACTATACAAATTTTTATATTAAATTTTGCCGTCTACGTCTTTTTGATTAGTAGTTATTGTATTTTGTAATTGTATTTCTTCACTCGTGCAGTTGAAGATGTTTTGAAAATTGGTAGTTATACCAGGTGGAAAGGAAAACTATTCATCTCGGGCTAATTTGGTTTCCTCTTTCAGCTTTTGAGATGCCTTTTCAAAATATTCTATTTTATGGGAACCCCTATATCGTCTCTATTTTTTTTTATCAAAAAGCTAATAACTGTTTCCATATAATTTTTTGAGTAGAATTCAGTGCCGGATCTTAGAGTAATAAGAATACGGGGCCAGATCAATAAATTATTAGATTGGATTGGATTAGATCTTACTTTTTTTTAATTTAAATTAAAATTTATATAATAATAATAATAATAATATATTCTTCATTTGTCAAAAAAAGATTATAATTTAATGAATTACACCACAAATCAAATTTTGATAAAAAGGGCCTACTCTCGATTATAATAACTGTTCACCAACACCTTTCTAAAAGAAAAATGTCAGCGAGAAGGCCCTTGGTCGATCCTCCCTTAGATTTTATCGTAAACTTAAAAAAAAATATTTCCTCTCAAAAAAAATTTTTTTTGTCAGTTTCATCATTTTGAAAGCATTAAATAGAAACACGAGTACTCTCTATTTCAGTTAGCTCACAATATTAATAATATGTCCTTTATTTGTAAAAAAAAAACATAATTTCATGAATTGCACCACAATTTAAATTTTGACAAAAAGGACATTCTCGATTGTAATAACCGTTCACCAACAGTTTTCTAAAAGAGAAATGTTAGCAAGAAGGCCCTAGAGTCTACAATAGCATTGAACCTAGAAGCGCTCTAATATAATATATATTAATTATAGAAGAAAAGAAATTAGAAAAGAAAAGGATGTGGTGAGTATATTGCCACTAACACTCAACTGCTGGAGAAAAAAGAGACCCAAACCCAAATCGACGATGAAGTTGTCGTAGGAGTTTAAATATAATACTAAAGATAAATAAAAATAGCTATTAAATATTTGAATTAATTTTTCTAAAAGTAGATTTCGTTCTGTAAATAATTAAGGTTTTATTAATTTTGTGTTCGCGGATAGACCTAGTTCTGTCATCTGACTGGTTCCGAAGTTCAGAATCGCTGGCAAACTTAGAATGACTTACACTCTGAATTGGTCAAATTGCTGACTCTTGTGGAACACCTTGCTTAATCAACTTAAATTCGGAAGTTTGCACCAAAGAGTTCGTTGGTGTACTTTTTGTAATTACAATTCGACTGTGTGGAATTGTTTGACAACCCAGAATACTTCAATTTTGCAAGTAACAGATTACGACTCAAAGTGTCAAGCGCTTTACTCAAATCAAGCATAGTACCATTTCCATGTTCCTCATTATACCTGACATATATAAGAGTATTGTTATCTAAAAACTCAGTAATTTTATATATGTTTTTCCAATATTTTTCCAAATCTCTCAGTTCTTTAGGGTCTGCCACCTTGGCAATAGACTTAATGATTGCTTCATTCCAGATAGATGCGTCCAAAATGCAAGAATATAAATTATATTTATTAATCCATCAGAACAAAAACGCAAGCAGATTGATGCCTGTGATTCTTTTTTCAAGATCGGTTTAATTAGTTAGATGAAAGTATAATACTTTATCTGTCACCGTATTACTGTTGTAAAAATTTAATAAATCGGGGGATGTGGTATCAGCTAAATTCTGCCGATTTCTTGAACTTTTTTTTATGAAAATGTATTAAAATAAGTTATTTTTCCCTAGATATTGCATGTTTTGTATAATTCCTTATGTATGCAATTTTTATAGGCCTTGTCTCTTAACTTCATTAAAATTTTAACATTTTTAGTAATCCATAAACTAAAGGGTTTACCAGTCAATGTTTTGATCAGCATAGATACACAGATATTTGTTTAATATTTCCATTATAATGTTGTTAGACATTCCTTCATTGCTATTTAGGTTCGATATATAAATACATAAATTCTTCCCCAATGCAATGAAAATCCTTCCTTTAAAAACTCATCTGAATTTAAATTTTTATAGTCCGTGTATATGACACGTTTTTTAAATTTTGGGATGCTCAGTTGTCAGAAAACAGTATAAACTAGGTTAGGATCAGTAATAGATTAAGAAGTAGGGATAGAATCTTATTTAACAGGAGTAAGACATAACAAGATCAATTAAACTATGCTGATCGGATAGAAAATTTATTCTAGGAATATTGAAAGAATTGCTCGAAATATTTTTATTTAACCACGTTTCATTTAAGGACAATACTGTGCCTTTATTTGCTATAAAATCCGTACTAATATCTGCTAACGTCTTAGTAGCTACATTAATTTTTATTATTTTGTGTTCTGTCCAAACAGATATTATTATCTATTAACTAATATCTAGTGTCCAATAGAAGATTAATCTAATTTTAAAATTCAATGCAGACCCTGAAAAAGATAAACAAAAATCTATATTAATTAATACATTCATCTGATGAAGATGATATGAAGCAAAACTACTCAGCGAATCTGCAAAACCAAAAAAAAAAAGGTTATAAACTTTATACGCTACAACCGCACATTATACAGGATAATGCGTTAGTAATCGGTAATATATAATCCGCAGAATCCTGAGCTTACAATATATAATATTTAAGACAAATCTTTTAGACAAAATGCTGCCCCAGACCGACTTACAGAGTGTTTTAATTAAACATTTAAAAGATATTTTTGCCCAATAGTTTAAAATCGAAGAAATAATAACCTTTCTATTGGGAAATATGAAGGAAATATATGGAAATTGAAAAAAAAATTATTGTTTTTATTTGAAGCCCGCAAATTTCCAACCTTTCCCGGGCACTCCGTGTATAAAGTAAAACAAATTGCCCATACTCGAAGAGACCTAGTCTCCCAAAATTAGATTCCAATTTGTGTCTGTGATCACCGTGACAGCGAATGTAACATTTCGAGAATAAGTATTTATTTATTGAATTATAATTTATAACCCCGTATATAAGACATAAGTTTCACACCCCGGGGGTAACATAAAGGGATGCATCGTGTATCTACACCTACGTTCGATGACGTAAACTCAATTTCATTGAGAAAAACCCTCTTGACTTCGATTAGGTAACGAGGTCCGTTTCTTCACGCGCCAATTCCCGAAAGTGGCCAGTCCAACCCCCCTATTGACCGGACCCAAGTCCATCGGAGCCGCGTCGCGCGTTTTAACATATAAAGCGCTCGACGGGCCCGAGTTTATCGTCAGTTTCTTGTCCTTTCCATCCGAAGAAAGCGAATCTTGAAGATAACGTGTGGGGGTACGGTATAATAGTCCGGATAGAAAGTGAAAATTTAACAGTGTCGAGGCGATTAAGGTGACCGCGACATCTTGTTTTTGGAAGAAGAAGACGATTATTTTTCGCACCACCGGTGAGTCATCGTGCCATGGGGATTGGTCTCGAAGGGGCGGGGCATTCGCGAAAAAGCTACGGGATTGTCTAATAACAAAGTTGGAGGCTAATTAAAAAGGGTCTCTTTTTGTTATCTACATTTCTTCGCTACTTTCACTCCATTACTTCTATCTCCAATTTGAATACAATAGAAATCAGATGCGGGGCGGCGAGCGAAACGATTTTAGTAATTATTCGTTTTCTTTAGTTTCGTCTGCGCTGGGAATTCAAATAATTGTTATTTAGGCGTTCCAAGCCTTAAAATTCGTATCTCCCGGGAAGCGTAACTGATTTTTCAAGATTTCCAAGTTGTTTTAACCGAAATAATGCTTAAAACATAGAAAACCGCGTTGTTATAATTTTTACAATAATAGATTTTTGTTTTTCCTATTTCAATAAATTTATGATTTTTTGCTGTTGTAGGACTATTCTTAAAACTTTTCGACCATTTGTACCGGTCCTAGAGCCAGTAGGCAATCATTCGAAATAAATACCAAAAATCCTCTTTTTCGTAATAAGTCTCACTTTCAGATTTTTTTTCATTTGAATTATAATTTATACATTTTTAGATTCTATAGGACTTCAAAAAAACATATATTGATATTTTTTTGGTTAGTTTAGTTTCAGAAATTGTGGGCGACAATTTTTCGAAAAAAAAACTAAAATTTCCATTTTCCTCATGTTATTAACAACATTTCTAAAATTGTTTTTGAACTTCATATACTTTAAATTTTCTCTGCCTTTTGAATTAATTCATACTTACTTATTATTATACTTAAATTTATACAAATTTTTTGGATTCTAGAAACTCCCCTTTTCATATGAATTAACATTTTATAGGAATATGTATACAATTTTTTGGTTAGTTTTGGTCAGTTCCAGAAATTCTGGGACACAATTTTTCGAGATGCATATCAGAGAAGAATCGAAAAATTCCCTTTTTCTCATGTTATTAAAAATACCTCGAAAATTATTTCGTTGGAAACCTGATTTCCGAACTTCATATGTTTTTATATATTTTTTTTAATTTTAATTATTTTATCTTTTTGTTAGCTTCAAGGGGACATTTTGTCAAAGAAATTTATACCATTTTTCGGGTCCTAGAAACCCTCCTTTCAACGTGAATCACATTTTCCAACAACTATCTTTTTAAAGAGCAACCTAAAAACAAACTAAAAATTCCCATTTCGTCATTTTATTAGAGAGTTTTTGAAAATAATTTCGTAAAGCTTCCTTTTGTTATAAAGTTTTTTAAAATTTGGGTTTGCTAATTTTTCCTGTTTCCAGGTATTTTCTCATTTTTAAAATTTGGAAACGTCATCTACATTAAAAACTAATATTCGGGCTTTTTGCTGTACTCGGGTTAACTGTGATCACACAGCTCCAACTCTGGACCCCATATCAGCTGCGTACTGTTTGTGTGGAATTCGCATTCCTGTTGCTTGCTGTTGTCGCTCTTGGAAGATAAGAAAAGGTCTTCTTTGACCAAGTGCATCGATATTCATGAAAATTTGTTTATTAAAAAACAATCAATTTCCTTGCAAAACGAATTTGTTTGTGCATGGCAACAAATATTGGCAACAAATATTATTCCAGGACTACCCAAAAAGTAATTAAAATTGGTGTTTTTAAAAGTGGTCCTTATTTCGTTTTAAATAGTTTTATTCATTTACTATTTAATTTATTATAATCCTTAGAATTTCCGATTTACTTTTAGTTCATAATTAGTTTGATAATTTACATATTTTTATTTGATTTAAGCCATTTACGGTGAACATGTCGTTAGTTTTGGTTAATTTTCGCTTCTCCATAACAGGAGAAAACGTAGGAATTCGGCAAAACCGCGTAGGAGCTCGCGCACAAAGTAGGCCACTTTTACTTTCATCCGCTTTCGTTGTTGCCAATTTCTTCGGCCTATGATGTCACCGAACAATAATAAACCAAAGAATTAGCATATGCGTTCTTGCGTAATCTCGTTTAATCCGGACCGCAGGAGCATGGCGCGCATTTTCGCCTACTGGGCGGTACTCGTCGCGACGACGGTCGTCGCCGAAGACTCCGCGTGGTCCTGGAACCCCCAAACCCCCGAAGACGACCTCCAGGTCTCCGCTAGCGACTACGCCCCGACCTCGATCAACTCCACCGACTCCGACGCCTTGATACAAGAAATCTTAACTTCCACGCGACAAGGTCGCGCTTTGGACGGCTACGACGAAGTTTACAGCGACCCGAGTGTCCAGGAAGTTCTCCAAAAAGGAGACGACGTCGAAGCCAGGAGCGTTATCCGCGAGCGCCTTTGCTTCCTCAACCTGATGAGGGTGAGTGATTGCGTAAGTCTCGAAATGTTATGGATCTTACGCACGACTTTTTCCAGTGTGACGAGGAAATCCAAGGCAAACGCCCATACATCGCGCCCGAAGAGCTCATCTACGCACAGCCGGTGGCCATCAACCCCGTCGGGCAACCCATACCCACGATTCCGGTGAAAGGAGTGAGAGGTATGGGAGGATACGGACCGCCCCGTCCGATCCCCTACCCCGGCGGTAACAAATTCGGACCTCCCACGCTGGGCGGCAAATATCCACCCCCTCCTTACGCCCCCAACAAGCCGCCGAGGAGGGGATACGGCCCTCTCCCGGGCAAACCTTTCTACGGACCTCCAGTTAACAAACCATTTTTGTCAGGTAACACAACCCATTGGCGACGCTACTGTCTTAATACTCACGTTGCAAATACTTCCAGGTGGTGAAATTTTAGCCGAAGGGGAGTTCCTTGACAGACCCCCTAGCTCCGAATACTTCAACAAACTTCCGGCAGCCGCGAACCCGTACCAGTTCGAACTAGGTGCCTCCGAGAACGCCCATCACAAGGACAAACGCGTGGAGATCACCGTCACCGCTCAAGGAGGTGCGGCGAGCGTTACTGGAGCTCCCAACAAAGGCCTAGTCGAGCACGTGCACCACCATTATCACCATAACGCTGACGGCGTCTCCAAGCAACCGACGGTGATCGTTAATCCTGTACCGGTGGCGGCCGCGGCGGTGACTAGCTCGTTAGACGCGGTGTCCAGTTCCAACGCGTTCACCTCCTCTCACAACTCCAACGGTTTCGTCCCCACCAATGGTCTGTCTTTGGGTGGCTTCGGAGGAGTGTCCGGAGTTACCTACGGGGGTCAGACCTTGGCCAATTACGGCTCCTCCTCGTCCACTTTCGGTACGCAGGGGTTGTCGAACTACGGTTCCGGTTTCGGAGGCGTCAAACCCATCACAGAGAACTACGGACCTCAAACCTTCGGGTCGAACTCGGTCGGAGCTACCGCAGGGTACTACGGTTCGTCGGGTCTCTACAAGAAGGAGCTGAACGTCGACTCGCTCAATGGGAACTACCTGCAGGGCGGCTACGCGGATAAGTACCAAGGTGCGGAGTCGGCTAGAGCAGAGAATTACGACTGCGTCTGCGTCCCGTACGACCAATGCCCCACCCACGACGTCATAGGGAGGAAAGATGACCTGTATCTGGCGATTGACCCCAGAAACTTGAAGAGCGACATCGAGGCGGTCGCCGACAACGACACCCTCGTGTTAACGGACGGGAACGGTACCATGACGGTGGTGAAGTTATCCCAAGGTAACGAAACCCGAGGAGATCGCGCGAAACGGGAGGCGCCGTCGGAACCCCAAAGCGACGAACAAGATCACAAGGTCGAAGGGGTAAGCTTATTAATTTGACTAACGGGGAGGAACCCAACTGAGTATCCACCGCCTCTGCCTGACAAAATTAACATCGCGAGAAGCGCCCCAATTCCCCCATACTACTCAAAATTATTACTAAAACGCGTTAAAAACGGCCTGAATAATTGTTACAGCGCCAGTACGGGGGCCAGTACGACAATATCATGAAGAAAATCAAACCCACTTTCGGCATTTCCTTTGGTTTACCGTATCAGGGAGGCGGTGGTTATCCCTTCAACCCGCACCACGTGTATCCGCATCACGGTACCGTCGACGGTACCGGCGTTAATCTCGGTCTGGTGTCCGTCAATCCCCTGCTCTCTATCCAAGTCACCAAAGACGATTACGGCAACAAAGTCATCAAGCCATTCGTCAATCTTCACGTCACCCCCAACAGTTACCTGGTTAACAAGTTTGAGGATTTGGTCGCCTACAAAAAAGGCGTCATCCTCAACAAGCACAAGCACTTTCACGTGCACAAACCCGGGTTTTATCCCCATCCGCCCCACCACCCGGTCTACGACGGTCCCTACAGGGAAGAGCACGACTTTCATCACCATCCTCACGAACCGGAAATCCTTTATGGTCCGCCAGCTCACCATTATCATCAGTACGGCCCTGAATCGCCCCAATTCGAGCCGGACTACCCGCAAAAACCCCCATTCGGGTACTTCGACGATCCCTACTCCCACTATGGTGGCGGCCATTACGAACATCCCGACTCCCTTATCGCTCGGTCGTACCGCAATCACACGTTCGACGCGGGCAATAGCCTCGTCGAGCAGTACCGCGAGCAATTCGACCACGACCGGCACCTTGTTTACGGTGACCGGTCGGGCGTGCAGTACCAGCACCGACCGGGTACCCGTGGTGGCAAAAGTCTCGACCTCCAAGCCTCCCTGAGTCACGTAAAATTCCCTAGCAGTAGAAAAAGACGCGACCTTACTGACTTTGACGCAGGTATCGCTAAAAGCACAACGGACAAGGTACAAAGACGTTCCCGGCGGCTTTGGGCGGTACCCCAGGTCTAATTCGGAGGTTGTTTCAGCGTCAGGCATACTACGGTAGGCCGCAGACGTGCGGGCCGAGACACGTGTGCTGCAGGAGGCCGTACAGGCCGAGCGTGCCCCAGGTGAACCACAAGCAGTGTGGTACCAGACATTCGCAAGGCATAAACGGCAGAATAAAGAACCCGGTGTACGTGGACGGCGACAGCGAGTTCGGAGAGTACCCGTGGCAGGTCGCCATCCTGAAAAAGGATCCTAAGGAGAGCGTCTACGTCTGTGGTGGTACGCTGATTGATCCTCTGCACATACTGACCGCTGCCCACTGCGTGAAACAGTAAGACAACGACGTCGACTTTGACATGCTCTAGTACAACCAGAAACTGTTTCAGGTACACCAACTTTGACCTGAGGGTACGACTCGGCGAATGGGACGTCAACCATGACGTGGAGTTCTATCCATACATCGAACGCGACGTTGCCGCCCTTACGGTTCATCCAGAGTTTTACGCTGGCACCTTGTACAACGATTTGGCAGTACTGAGAATGGACAAGCCCGTGGATTGGTCGAAACACCCGCACATATCGCCCGCGTGCTTACCGCACCCGCAGGACGACTACACCGGAGCTCGATGCTGGACGACTGGGTGGGGGAAGGACGCTTTCGGCGACTTCGGCAAGTACCAGAATATCCTGAAGGAGGTGGACGTGCCGATAGTCGGGTTCGGCCAGTGCCAGCGACAGCTGCAGGGTACCCGGCTAGGGTACGAGTTCAAACTGCACCCCGGATTCGTCTGCGCAGGCGGCGAAGAGGGCAAAGACGCGTGCAAAGGCGATGGAGGTGGTCCGATGGTGTGTGAGAGAGGTGGTACCTGGCAGGTGGTGGGCGTGGTGAGCTGGGGAATCGGGTGCGGTCAGAGGGGCGTGCCCGGAGTTTACGTCCGGGTCGCCCACTATTTGGATTGGATCAGGCAGATCACCCAGCGTTATTAGGCTTTACTGGGTTATTTATTTATTTAAGGATTATTTATTTAGGTGTATATAAAGTTTAATGGATTTTTGTGATAAGTTATTTATGAGTTTTTATATAATAAATTCGACTTTTTTAATAATTGTTTCAGTTTCAATCGCTCCCACTTTGCAATTGTTGTGTTATATACCGCGTGCGCAAATTGGCTTGCCTGGCAATAGAAACTGGAAGGAAAATGTACAAAAAGTCATCCGATATCGATATCGGAACCAATGACTAATATGTTGCATCGGTAAACAAAAAAAAATCGTTGTTTACGCAGAGTGTTCAACCTTCAAAGTTGTTAGAGGGTAAAATGATTAATTGGTTATACCAAATTCGTTAATAATATGTGATAATCATTGTTGTTTTTGCTTTCTACTTGCGTCGCAATCTTAGAGAGAACCAGCGTTAATTATATCAAAATAAACGATCACATTTCACCGTTAGTAACGAGGTGTCCAATCTGTTATGATTTTTTTAGCGGGATTAGTTATATAAAAATAATAAATTATATTTTACCAAATTATGGGAGTCCTTTTTATAGTGTAATTAAATAATAATAAATAAAATTGATAGTTAATAACGAAATAAATTAATTTAAACAATCCGATTGAAAGGTTAGAGGTCGAGAAGGTTTCAATTAGTGAATTATACAGGTGGTTTCGAGATACAGCAAAATACATTTTGAGATGCGATATTTTTTTAAAACTTTCAATATTAATTGAAATTTAAGTTTCTTAGCCTTCAACGTTTTTATCGTAACTTTGAGAGACCAAATTTGTCTGAAATTGAATGAGGATTTCAAAAACAATTTTTATTTTAGAAAAAAGCGGCGGCCCACCATTTTTTCTTAAAAAGCAATCTAGTAAATTTGTTAAAAAATATTTCGCATCAAAAATGCCTTTTGCTACCTGAAAGTAGTTTGAGAATTATGAAAAAATTGTTTGTTAGCAAATCGCATATTCGTCGAGCAATATGGTGAGCTTTTTGTAAACGTGCATTAATTAGCGGTCCGGGACGAAAATTGACGAAAAATTTAAAAAAAAACGCAACACGTGACGTCACTTTATTTTACGACATTTTCAAAAGTTCATTCAACACTCTGATCGGGGCCAGACTTCCAACCATATACCGTTTCTCGCCCTCAGAGTGACCCTGTAGCCAAGCTGAAGCCGCTCGCGGCCCGGCATCAGCCCTATCCGGTAGTTCTTCAGCACCGCCGCGATTATCGTCTTCATTTCCAAAATGGCGAACTTTGACCCTGAAAACAACGACGATTTTGAGTGTCCCGCCCCCGACCCCCGGATACGTACCGATGCAGTTCCGGGGACCCGCGCTGAACGGCAGGAACGCGTAGGGGTGCATTTTCCCGGAGTTTTCCGGTGAAAACCGATCCGGATCGAACTTGAGCGGGTCCGGGTAGTATTGGGGTAGCCTGTGGGTAATGAAAGGAGACACGAAGACGTTGGCGCCTCGCGGAATGGTGTACCCCTCTGAAATACGATACGGGATTCTGATGCGGTGCTTGAAAGTCATTTTTGTTGCCCTTCTTTGGAAGCCAGTGCAGCTTAGAAAATAAATAGCAACTTTCTTGTCAAAATGTTGCGATTTTGTTGACCCGGCTACGCCGTTAAAATGGTTGTCCGAAACATATCAAAATTCGATGGGACACGAATATACCCTCAAATATTTTTCCAAACTTTTCCGCCATTTGGACGGAATGGTCCGGTAATTTCAGACCCGATTATCTTGCCCTTTTTGAGAAGTCGCCCACATCGATCGCAAATAGCAATTTCTTGTTACGAAGTTTTTTTTTGGAACATCAGGTACTTTAACTTATTTATTGTACAAAATTTAAATAAGCAAAATAAATAAAATGATTTGATTTTTTTTGTTTCGACTCTCCACTGCAGGTGTTATAAACTGCGACAGAGCATCGCAAACATAAGAATAAAATAATAGCAAATAATTGTGCGAAATGTTATTTGCAATAATTATTTAAAATAATAATGTTTATAGAATATATGAGAATAAATATTTTAAATTAAATATTTATTACATATCGTTTTTTGGAATCAAATATTTAGCCAAGATATAAATATTTACACAATATTTGTGCTGTCAGGGAAATATCCGTAACACCCTATATCTCTTCATTGGATTGAATAGAAGATATGCTAAACTTCCTTCCATGCAAAATGTTTAACAGTCTCTACTACTGTTAATAACTATATAAGTTGAAATTGAGCGGAAGGCAAAGTTTATTCGATTAAATTCACGGTTAAGTTGGCGAGTATGACGTAATTAGGGTCAAAAAGGCCACTGGATAAGCTCACCCAGGTGGACGTCGCGTTTCAAAACGCGCGACACTATAGGAACGCTGGGAGCCAGCCTTAGCGACTCCTTGACGCACTGCTCCAGGTAGTGCATCTCATTGAGCTGCGCCATCTTAAATGTTGGCGTGGAGTCTGCGCCGAAAATGTCGTCGATTTCTGCGCGCGCCCTGCTCTGTTCATGCTCGTTTGCAGCGAGGAAATGCAAACAGAATGCCACCGCGGCCCCCACCGAGTCCTGACCCTGCGCAATGCGCGTGACGTCAGAGCGTGGCCGCGTGAAATTTCATACTTACCGTCAGCATGAAAGTGACGGCCTCGTTGACGACGTCGTTTTCGTCGAAATTGGCGCGGCCGCGAGCTAAATCCGCGAGCATGTCGAGGAGACAGACGCCGCCACCGCCTCCCGTCCTCGCTCGCAGGATCTGCAAACCAAAACCCCAAAAATATCAATTCGTTACCTCTGTGAACACTTACTTCTTTCGTATAGGCGTGGAGGTCGCTCTTTTGTCTCGATTCTGTCGTCGACAGCTGCGAGCGTCTGAAAATCAAGTCTACAAGCAACCACGGCCTCAGCAAACGCTTGATCAGCAGCAACTCGCCCCTAAAAGCAACAAATGGAATAAATGCTCACTGACCATCGACAGCAGGTCACTATCCAATCGAGTATGGTCTGCGCCGCTGCTTGACAGTTACCTTCGGAACGGGGTCGAGTTTCGGTCCAAACCCAAAGTCACTCCCAAAACGGTCTCTGTAAAATCGAATTTAACGTGTCGTCGCTGTCGCCAAGCTCAACTTACTGTGCAGAACTCGCAGCACGCAGTCGTTGACGACGCGCGTGATTTCGACGTATTTTTTGCCAGCCAACGCTTTGACCATGCCGTCCGAATACTCGGCGAACGTGTCGACGTAGTTTTCTAACACGTTGACGTGGAAATACGGCTGGATGAGACGCCGATGCATTCTCCATTTCGCGCCTGTAACAAGACGAACTAAATTTTTCCGCCACGGACCACAGTGAACCGCCTACCGGTGCTCGTGACGAGACCGTCCCCTAAAAATGTGTGCATCACGGAATACGGAAAATTTTTCTCGCTCAACTTCGAGTGGCTGAACAGTATTTTCAGATGTTCCGGCTCGTAGACGAAAAAAGCAGGCACAAAGAAGAGCCAACATCGGAATATCGGCCCGTAGTTTTGGTATGCTGTAGTGCCCACGTCTTCCAGCCCTAATAAAATCGGTATACGTCATTCGTACTCGTCCCGCTAATGACGTCACGAGTTATACTTACCCCGGTCGTCTTTAATTAATAAAATATTACCAAAAAGGGGCGTAACCTTCGGGCCCGGCATTCTAAACGCAAGAGCCGCCACGCGGGCGTAATTTCGAAGCCCGCGACGCGCCCACGCCGCCAACACGGCAGCGAAAGCCGCCCCCCAAATGATTGTCCAGTAAGTCATTCGCGACTTTGCACGCGACGCGAGAAAAAATAACTAGGAAATAAACTCGACATCAATGTCCAAACGATGCGCTGCGATCTGCGAAACGTGAGTTTTTTTTTAAGCGACATGTTTATTCTCCCGCCGATTTGCATAAACGTTTGTGATTTTTAGACGACGACCGCTGAATGCCAATAAACAAATATAATTACTTTCGACCTTAGGTACGACGCGAGCGTATAAATATAACACCTTTATATTAGGCCTTGCGCAAATATTTGCCGCAGCCGTAAAACTGTCGTTTTTATTCCTATTGATGCGCGCATAAAAAACGTTCTTTATTTTGCGGTGGCGTTTATCGACGACACTGACGTCATCGCACTGCCTTTCCTGTACGGTCTCGGAGATAACGGACCGAGATGAGTGGAAGGAACCAGAGCAAAAGGAAGAAACACCGATCTAACCTCAATCTTTTTTTTGGCGAAATTCGAATACTTCCGTTTAAAAAAAATCGTCCAAGCGTCCGTAACGAAGTGTCGAAATGCCTCAAGGACGCAGGAAGGTGCCGTTTAGCGGAAAAGCGAAGAAAGAGCAGCTCAAGGCGAAGAAGCAAAGTTCGTATGCGTTGGAGGATGTCCGGTCCGTTCGCAAAGTAATTCGCCGGTTTCAGGCAAAAAAATGCCTTTGTACCATCGCCCGGACGGCGACAGCGAAGGCGAGAGCGGCCCCGTGATTCAGAAAATCAACTACCAGTCGTCGAAAGCGGGCAAATCGAGACCTAACCGATACGCACTTCAATTCTTCCGAGAGACAAATGAGGAGATTAAAGCGAAGAAGGAAGAGGCGAGGCAGACGGTGGTCAAGGTCAAGGAGACCGATTTGGAGATCCACTGCGAACAGTTTTTCGATCCGGCGCTCGGATTCCCCAAACGGCCCCCGTGGAATTTTGATCTGTCCAAAGAGCAGCTCGACATGCAAGAAAATAAGTACTTTACGGAGTACTTGAAGAACGTCGAGATGCGTTACGACTTAAAGCAGCTGAGTTACTTTGAGCTGAACTTGGAGACCTGGAGACAACTGTGGCGGGTGTTGGAAATGTCCGACATTATTTTGTTTATAGTTGACATTCGCTACCCCGTAAGTGAAAGGGAAAGGTAACCTCTCTTGGTCTACAGGTAAGATTTTCTAGGCCGCCATGTTCCCCACGTCTCTTTATGACTACGTAACTGAGGAATTGAAAAAAGATTTCATTTTGGTCCTGAATAAGATCGATTTGTCCCCTGCGCCGCTAGTGGCCGCATGGAAGAACTATTTTGAACGGCGGTATCCATTGCTAAAGATAGTAATGTTCACAAGCCTACCTGGGTACAACTTGGTGGGGCAAAGATCCGACAAAGGAGGTTAGAATCTTTGATTTTTAGGTGAAAATTTAGTTAAGTGATGTTTAATGTTCTGTTAAACTTTACTTAAAATTGCGTTTTCCATATAGCTACTAGGTAGAGGTCCTGCTTATGCTGGTAATACAGGAATTTTTCAAGCGACAATAAAAATATATTGAGATTAGCCATTTAATGTGCGCATGCGCGCTCGTAAGACCTACCGGCGTCCAGTAACTGACGTGACCTCTGACAGTTCGTCAATTTGACAGGTTTCAGTTTAAATGTTTAGTATAAGGAGATCGCTATTATTACCATACCAGGGCCACTATATTATCTAATAGCTATATGATGTTTACGGTTCTTAAGTGCAGTATTCGGTGCAGGTCTCCAAATAAGACGCAGAAAGGGCAGAATACGCATGGCTGCGGAAGGTACGGAACAACTGTACCAAGTCTGCCAAGGTATAGTGGGTTCTTACGTGGACTTAACCTCTTGGCACAGCAAAATAAAAGAAGAGATGAACGAAAATTACTTAGAAGAGGAAAAACTCGAAATCGGCGAGACGATAACCGTCAAAAACGAGACTGATTACTTCCAGTATGAGAAATACAGGGGCGGGATCCTTACCGTGGGTTGCATTGGGCAGCCTAACGTGGGCAAATCATCTCTGATGAACGCCATCATGGGCAAAAAAGTCGTGAGCGTGTCGAAAACGCCAGGCCATACTAAGCACTTCCAAACAATATTTTTGACGAACAACGTGAGGTTGTGCGACTGTCCTGGGCTCGTGTTTCCTTCCAAAGTCCCGAAACCCTTGCAAGTGCTAATGGGTAGTTTCCCGATCGCGCAGCTGCGCGAGCCTTACACCACGGTTAAATATTTAGGTTACTTTTCGACGCGATCTGTTATCCGTGGTTGTTAGCCCTGTTTTTATTTTGCAGCCGAACGGTTGGATTTAGTTGTTCTCTTAAGGATAGACCACCCGTATAACGACGACACGTGGTCCGCGATGGATATATGCGACGGTTGGGCGAAAAAGCGAGGTTATTTGACGGCCAAAGCTGCTCGCTTAGACTCGTACAGGGCTGCCAACAGCCTTCTGAGGATGGCGCTGGACGGGAAAATTTGTCTGTGCCTTAGACCGCACCATTACTCTATGAAAAAAGGTAAGCGGTGTATTTTCGATCGACCCGTTGCGCAAAGTCCATGTTTTAGACTATTGGAATTCGCATCCGGATGTCGCGAAAGTGAAATGGATCCAAGCGCTGGGCTCGGACGGCGATAGCGAAGTCGGCGATACCGAATCCAGTTCGGGAGAAGAACATAACGTGATTCCGGACGATTCAGACGCGGAAGATTCGGACGAAGATAGCAGCGACAGCGAGCAAGAGGTTTCGGTCGCCGCCAACAAGTTTGCGGTTCTAACTAACGAATAATTTGCCTGTCATTTTTTAAAATTTTTCTATTTAGAAATAAAACGATATAAAAGCAACGTCGCTTGTTTATTTTTTTCTATAATCGGCAAATTCGTCTTCTACTCGATTCGCCATCACTATTTCCTCGCTGCGTTTCTTGATGTCATCGCGCGTAAACACGTGAGGGTCCAGAAAAATCGGATCGATTAGCGCTAAAAAATCGACTCGTGTGGAAGTGAGGTTAAGTTACCGAAGCGCGCTTACATTCGCTCAGGACTTTGTCATCTTTTTTCGAGCGTGTCGATTCCCGCATCATTTGTTCGAAAAGTTTGTAGGCGTGGTAGCGGTCGTCGTCGATTAACGTGACTTTAGCTGCCCGCGACAGTTTCGTGAAACGTTCGATCAGTTCTCGTACGATCCGGGTGCCTAAACAAAGTCACGCGTCTTACGCTTAGGTAACGAAGGAAAGCGCTATGAGCAAGCGGCTCGAAACACCGACCGAACTTTTAACTCTGGTTTCAAAATGGCGTTAAACGATTTTTTGAAAGAGAAATGGCGCGAGTTAAAGTCGCGAAATCGGTGTAACGGCGAAAGCGGTACCGTCGATTTCGTCTGCTGGGGGCGCCTGAGGTCTTCCAAATTCGGCGTACAACTTTCGGGCGGTTGAGTGCGGCCTCGCGTCGTCGGAAAGCAGCGAGGCCAGAAGTTGTAAGTGTTTAAGTGATATCCGCACTTTGGCGGCCAGTTGGCGCCTGTTGTGTATTAATTTAGCCAAATCGACGTTCTTCGTGCTTTGGTTTTCAACTTCTTTGAAAAAATGTCGCTTTTTCCGCTTGTACCTAAGTAAGAAATGGCGGATTGCTGAGGACGATTCGAATACCGGGCCTTACTCATGGGTGTTGTTAATAGTGGCATTTTTAAGTTCGGACTCGATTACTTCTCCGTGTTTGACTCGTTTTAACAGTTCCGCTTTGGTGGACTCGCATTTTTCAACCATAGCCGAGAGGCGGTTTTTTTGTCTCACTTGCTCCTGGAGGCTGGAACAGTTTCAAATTTTTACGCGTTCAATTTGAAAATTGAATTCGACCATGGGTAGATAGACTCCAGGTTAGGCACAAATATGGCGTCCTTGATCAACCTCAGGGTGGATTCAATAGTTTCCACATCTTTTCTCAAATTCGTATAGCTTTCGGACGATTCCAAATGAAAGGTGCCCAAGTTGATATCGCTCTATAACTCCAGCTCAATCGAACGCGTTTACAGTTTACCAATCCACTTACGTCGCGCCTAACCAAATTTTTAACATTGTGTCCAAAACTTTCGACCCGTTGTTTCACCATCGCCAAATCTTTCCTTCTGTTCCCCAAATCCCTTTTGATCACTTTTTCGAGCATTTCGAACTCTTGCCGCCGATCGTCTAAATATTCGGTGGCTAGCTGCCCCAGTTTCGTCGCGTTTATCATGCATTTTCCTTGGTTGAGGCCATCCCGCTTGATCGCCTCTAAAATGGCGTCAAAGTACAGTGCGTCTTTTTTCATGACTGCGATCATTTGTTTGTAGGTATCGCGCACCACAATGGCAGCTTCCTTTTTTAAAATCGCATCCTGCACTTTGCCTGTTATGATGTGAGCCAATCGCTCATTGGGCAGCTGGCTCTGCCAGCTCAGGTGTTCAAATTTAATGCTGTCTTCTAGTTCACCATAGCGCAGCTAGGGAGTTGAAAATTAGCGATCGTTTTTAGGTGTTTGGCATTGAACAATACCTTTCTTTGTATAAGTTCTTGCTTTTTTAAATGTTTCTTGTACTGTAGCAGATCACGCGCCTTTCTTTTGTTGAAGTTCACCTGCTCCACCATCTCTATAACTTTCTGAAAAATACAGCTCAGTCTCCACAAATCATTTTGATTATTTTTTAGCAATTATAAATTAATCAGGTATAAATAGGTTATGTTCTAAATCTCTCATATTGTTCGAGGACGACCGAGGAAGGAACCGTGAATGTCTTTAGAAATAATAGAGAAGCTTTGTTTGATATCAATCACATTGAAGATATTGTAATATTTATTGTCGTCAATGGTGGGCAATTTGAACATTTGATTTGATTTTTTTTATTACTATTACCAAAATTGTTTTTGGTTTTTTATTATTCACTGTTCCTTTTCATCCTTGTATATTAAAAAAAAAACAGAAAGATACCTTGAACTTTTTAAATGCAAATATGTCAAAAACCGACAGAGGTAGCCGACCTAAACAAGAGTACCTTTTCTGTGGAAAATTAAACTTTCTTTCAGATTTTCATCATAACCCGACATTTTTTATCATTATGCAATAGAAAATTCCTCAATAATTTTAATTAATTAATTAATATAAATTTATCTTCGAAACCACTTAAATTTGTATGAGGCATGTCGACCCCAATCATATTTTGGTGTCTCGTACCTCGTAATTTCCTTCAATCACTCTGTATATCTGATGTTTAAATTGGCACTATCCATTACGAGAGAGTTTTGTCAGAAATTCTGATTTGTTCTTCTGAATGCAAACTTGAATTAAAAATATATCAAGCTATTGATCAAAAATTTGCCTTATTAAACTAAAACCTATTTTTTTTTGAGTGACCTTTCAGCGCTTTCGTATAAACAAACAGATATAAGGAAAAACATTCGTAGTTTTTTTTCCTACAGATCAGACCTGGGGCTGCGCGTATTGGTAGGCAAGCTGCATTTCCCTGTGCGCGGCCAACGTGTTTCTCAGTTTCTGCTTGTCGCCGCAGATGGCGTTGTCCAACGCTTGCCTGTCATCACCGATTTGCTTGCGTAATTTCTTCAATTCGTGGGTTTGTTTCTTTGCCGCCACCCCGCTATCGATTTCCATGATTTTGCGGTCTCTAGCTGCAAGGTTTTAGCCGTAATATCGCCATAACATTTCGAGAATGTTTACTATATAGTTTGATAAGGCCCTTGTACTGGATGATTTTGTCTTTCGTTGTCCATCTGTTTGAGGTCATGCCGTGCAGTTTAACCTTGTTGGCCGACAGCATACTCGCCGCGTTCATCTCAGACAATTATAACCGAATTTGCTTTCAAAGCTTGAGTTTTTGATTGTCAATGTCAATTATTATATTTATATTTGAATAAATTATAAAAACCGACAATCCGAATGGTCGAATGGTCCTAGCAATATGGCCTATTGAAGTAAAGGACATCGAGATCATATTTTAAGAATTGGCCAAAAATACGTTCATAATAAATGTTTAAATTTAAAACTCAGGCTTTTAAATTACGAGCTGAGAATACGAGGTTGCATAACTGTGACCAAACGAAAGTACAGCACTGTGAATCGCAGACCACGCAAGCGACACGAACTCTACTTTACCGACCGTACGTCTCAAATTCCTCCGGAACGTCAGTTTCTGTTTTGTTCTTTTTAACGAAAATTTTCGTTCGGTCGAAAAGGCGTTCACAAGGTTTCGCCAGCCCGTGTATTTTTTGTAGATCGACCCCAACGTTAAACATTTAATAATCGGACGGTAGTGAATATGTCGACCAACATGGAAGAGGAACAGGCTCTCAGGGAATTCGAGGCGTACCTGCAAACGCACAACATTCAGCAAATTCTCAAAGACTGCATCGTGCAGCTGTGCGTGAGCCGACCCGCGAACCCCATCAATTTTTTGCGCGACCATTTTCAAAAGCTGGCCAGGGTGAGTACGCTTTTGTTGGGTTAATTTTAACGATGGCAACCTCAAACTTGACTTTTGATCGGGGCCTTGCGTTTTGAACCGATTTTATAGCATTAATTTACTAGATAGGGTTATAATTGTTGTGCTTGTTGAGTAGTGGAAGTTTCTATAACTTCCGAAGGGGTTGTGTTCTTTCCCTTGGCATTTTTGCGCGAAATCTGGTTTGAGTCAATGTCCGCTTCTCCACGTTCTACTCGATTTCGCGTCATAATTTTTTGCTAAATCGTAGTATGCGGTGGGGTGGCATCTAGGACGTCACGAATTCCAAAGATTTATCAGGGGTTGCCCGGCAACGGAGGGCGGTCGCCGTTGCCGTCGTTGCCGCCAAAAACGCCAAAAGGGAGAGTTTTGCGCCATGGTTTTCGGTATTCAGCGAGAAAAAACGCGCATCCCATTGGCAACACCGCTTGCATCGCTGCATCCCCGATCTATGGCTTCGCTAGACCACCCGCGTTAAGTGCCGTGTATCGGGTTTTAATAACAAAAGCGGAGGTTATTCGCGCCGCATCTCCGTTGAGTTGACGGAGAACGCGAAACGTCTTCGGCTGTGCACGGTGGGATGTTAACGTTGCCCGTGGTAAGTCGAGGGTAGGTAGGGAGCCGTAAAATCGAAGGGCGTGGGCGGAACAAAATCGAACGGTTTTTCGTGGTGTTTTCGCTCGATATGCCCGCCGCTTTGGCAACGTCGCACTGATTTTCGAATAACGGATTTTTTTTTGTAATTTCTGTAGTTTCTAGTTTGATTTGTGTCCCTCGTGGGCGCTCGGTAGGAGACGGAAAAATGTGAAAATGGCGGTTGGAATTTAGAGTGGATGACGTAGAAATACGTTTATTTACGTTTTAACCTAATGTTTCACGTGCTCTAGAAAAATACAGTTTGCAATATTCATATACATAATAATACATAATTTCATATACAGGGTGTATCATAATAAGAGGCTGACGCTTACAGGTGTGATTCCGTGGAAGATTTTTAGAAAAAAAGTATCAATTTTATTGAAAATGCCTTAGATATTTTCTTCATTATTCTCGTTGCTTAATGCTAGTTGTTTTAAGGATCACCATATTATTATGAAACAGTTATGTGACATTTTATACTATATCGGAAAATGTGAGTTTTTTGATTTTTTTTTGCCAATGCCAATTCGCATCTCCTACCTTCATACATTTTTTTTAGAGTCTTAATCTATAAGCGAAGTAGATTTAATTTTTTGATTTGTAGAGCATGACTAGTTTCATTTTTCTTCTCCATTCATGTTGGTAGCCATTGACACACACAAAGGGTAATAGTCTTTGATCGTTTATTCTTTAGAACGTTTTTAAAAGTCTCATTTGCCGTCACTTTATCAAAAGTCCGGTTAGACAGGAAAATATCAGCAGGGATATTTGTCTTTTAGTTTTGTTTGGGTCACTTTTTCCGACATTCATTAGTGTCTGTTTGAAGTTCGTTAGTAGTTCGTAAGCAAGTCAATAGTGCCAAGATGCTCAACAATCTCTTCTCTTCCTTAGACCTTCCCGGTCGTCGAACTTGGTGAAAATGTTATCTCATAATGTCACAATAAAAAGAAATCTTTTGGTTTACCGAATCGGGAGGCAATTCTAAAATTAACCACCTCACGTGCGGTACAACCGATATTTGTTTTCGATTAATTAAATAAATTCATGGTTTGGCGCGCAGTGTTGTCACGCTGAGAGAAAAAAAAACGGCCAACACTAACATTAAAAAAACTATTTATTGGAAAACAAGTATATAACGCAATCATATACTCCGATAAACTATATATCAATACAAATATAAATAACAATACATAAAGGTTTCTTTTCGTATGGTATATATATGTATACATATATATATATATATATATATATATATATATATATATATATATATATATATATATATATATATATATATATCTCCTCTCCGAAGTAAAAACTTGATCTGGATTTAACCCTAAGACTAAGTACGGTACGGTGTGGACATAGATTGTGTTCTCACGTAATTAACTACCGATTAAATTTAATCGCTAATGGTATTAATTAAAAAAAAAAACAAAACAAAACAAAAGGACGCCCGCACCCCAACCCTCCGAAGCCACAGGGCCGCCGTTAAAAATTCCCTGCATGCCCTTGTAATGGGTTTATAACACGGATCGCATCACAGCATCGGTTCGTGACATAAGTACACTTGGTTTTCGAATGGTATAAGCTTAATATATAAAATAAATAATTTATATATATGCGCGTGTGTGGGTATGTACACCAGCTTTAGATATTTTCAGTTAAGTAGTTTCTAAACGTGGCACACGTAAAGACAGAGAATGAGAGAAACAAACGGGGACAAGTAGTATCACACGATATATCATACGATGTATATATATATTTTTTAAAAACACTCTTTGGCTATGGACTATTGCGTTTGTGAAAATTTCCTGCGCCTGCGCGGAGGGGGCGTAGTAAAATACATATATATATATATATATTTTTCCCTAATCTTAAGGCTATAAGTAACGAACAACCTGAGTTGTTTTTGGACCACAAAAATCACAGTCGCGGGCGTGTGGCTTCGGCAACGAGGGCCGCCTACTCCCCTGCTCCCCCATTTTTCCCTCACGCTCACGAATACGCGCCTATGTACTCGGGCTTCCACAGCTGATTGTGGAAGAAGTTGTTAACGATCGCGATGTCGCGGTCGTGGTCGGGGGTCGCGAACACGGGGGCGATCGTCACCCCCTCGGGCACGACCAGCCCGAAGGGAATGAGAGGGTTGTCTTTTGCGCTACGTTTCGTCCGTTTCTTGGGCGGCATCGGGTCGTCCGCCCGGGGCGCCGCCGGTGGCGGACTCTTGCACTTGACGGTGGTGGGGATGCCGTCGTCGTCGTCCGCGCACGCGCGGCTCAGGTTTAAAGGCAACTGCGGCTTGGGCTTGGCAGCGACGGCAACGTTGTTGTTGTTGTTGCTGCTCACGTTGTTGTTATTATTATTGTTGCTGTTTGTCAGCGTCGTCAAGGTTATCACGTTGTTGTTGTTGGTCTCCTCGGGCGTCGGCGTCGGCTGTTTGTCCTTGTCCTTACCCCTGGAGTGAAGTTGCGTAAGTCGACGAAATTTGGTAAACTGCAGGTAGCGGTCCTTACCTGTTGTGACTCCGGTAACTGTTGAGACCGAGGCTGCTGATGAGCTTTTCGCGCTGCAACCGGACCCTTTTGGTTGTGATGACGAACGCGCTGACGAAGGCCTTCTGGCACACCTCGACCGATCGGCCTTCGTCAAGTAGCGGCACCAGGTACTTGCAGGTTATGCGACGCGGCGGTCGGCCCGAGCCCGTCGACTCCGGGACGTTGAGGCGCGCGCGCAGGTCCATGTTGGTTCTGAGGAACTGGTTCTGGTGGTCGGCCTCGCCCAAACCGTAGAAATGGTGGAAAAGGCGGTAGCGCGCTTCGATCGGCACGAGTTCGTCGCACTTGTGCGGACACTGGCACAGCTCGTCTGGAACAAAATCGTCAAAAGTTGAGTTTTGAATACCCTACTACCCATGCCATAATAAAGAATAAGTCCGTGACATTTCCAGTTCAACAAAACTCCCGAAACCCGCGAAAATTGACAAAAATTACAGTAACTTATATTGATTGGGCCCTGTTATGCAAAAAGGAACCATTCAACATTATATTAAAACATTAAATAAACGGGTATGGTCTGTTCATAGATATAAGAAAGTGACCAATTGCTTTTGAAGGGGATTATCCAATTACATACAATGCAACATGATTATTAAAATTCAGGTAAAATTGTGGCCCGTAATAGAAAATAATTTTATACCTACCTGTGTTTAATATTCTTTGGTTTGGTATACTACTTAGTTTCAGTTTATTAGTAATCATTCCTATTTCGTGTGTAATACAGCGTGTGTTGAATCGTGTCCGAATTATGCAAAATATGTACGAGTCTAGTGTATCTCAGGAGATGCTCCCGCCCAAATGTAAAAAACACTATTCTATTGAGATTAAGGAAGTTATAAACAATTTTTACTTAACTCTCATTGAACGTGGTGCCAGCAAGCAAGCATCTTTAGACGAAACGGCCACATTGACGAAAATTCTAACATCAACTGTATGGAAAATTGTGAATAATCCCATTTCAGCGAGGAAAAAAAGAAGCGACGCTGACATTTCCTCGAGTGTAGATGAAAATGATCAACATATAATACGGCGTAAAAATTACCAGTTATACGAGGAACAAAGCGTGCCTTAATTAGTAGGCTTGAAAAAGATGAAACCGGTGTTAAATGTTTCAGAACTACCTTATGGAAGTGTATTCAACATGTGGGTTTTAGATTTTAAAAAAATTGACAAAAGGCAAGTTTTAATGGAATCTTTTAGAATTCGGAAATGGCGACTGGAATATCTAGAAAAAAATAGGATTTACAGGCCAATTATTTACTTGGACGAAACCTGGTTTGACACTTTTGATACCCCGGAAAAGGGTTGGGTTGACTCAACTGATAAGTGTAAAACAAACGCGCCATCAAAAAGAGGTAAAAGAATAACTATTTTGCATGCTGGTTCTAAAGATGGTTGGATTCCAAATGGACTTTCTCTTTCTGCTAAAATGATTAAAGATTCTTCTCTGGATCACCATTACCATTACCACCACCGCTGATTTATTTGAAAGTTGGTTTAAAAACAAACTAGTTTCAAACATTCCTCCTAATAACGTGTCGTTACAAAATGATTTGTGATGTTTTACCTTAAATGTAAAACTCTCTTCTGAAAAGAATTCAACTAGAAGAGTAGTTGACAACAACCTGTTCTGGTCCAGTTTAACAATTTTATATACAAATTTTTATTAACATTATGTAGTTTCGAATTTAACTGTGACGTTTTTTAAAAAAATATTTTATGAGCTCGGACTAAGGTTAGGGTTTTTTAACCTCTCCTTCATAGAACACTTCTGAATCAGTTTTAGGAAAAAGGTGTTTTTTCTTAGTTTTTTAATTTACATTTAAATAAAATTGGGTTATCGCTTTTTTAACTGAAACAAAATACAGCGCGCGACCTGTTGGCTGGACTTTGGTTTATAATAAATTATTCTCGGATATGATTTTTTGTCTATCATTGAACGAAGAAAAATACAATAATGGACGATATAGATGTATTTTTGCTAGTTTAATAAAGCATCAGTATCCATTACGAAATTTCTCTGGACGTCAGATTCCAATTTTAAACGAAATTTTAAGTTATTGATAAGAGTATCAAACGATTTATTTTTAAATTCAAAAATGTTTACTATATTTTATTATATAATTTTAACACACTAACGAATTATAATTACTAATTAGTGCTGAATTTTTTTTAACGGTTCAATAAATGAGATCGCACTGTACTGCAAACGTTCGATCAGTGAGGTTACGCTGTAGCGCAGATAAATATAGGGTCGCTTGCAATTAAAAGGATGTTTTTATTTTAGTTTTCGCGAACGTTTCGATATATAACTATAAACGTGTTTAATATTACTACGTTTGTTGTTATATCACGGTCGCACCGGGGCGGCCCCTACACTTGTTATTACGAATAATATTATGACTCGAACGTTGCATATAATCGGGATTCCCACACCATTATCCGGCGACCGACGTAAAATAGGCCGGTTGTGTAGCAAACTGCGAGAAATTCCACATTTTAAACGCCCAAAGTCGAAACCGTTCACAGAGACAAGCACGTATTCTTTTTTTGTATACGGCATTTTTGTTTTCAAACAAAATTAGGCGAAACGTTTAAACGCATATCTAAGGAACTTTCGTAAAATTGCAAGGGTTATCACCTCGCCCTTCTCTACAATTCATCCATTTCTATTTACTAAAGTTTATTTTTTTTTAATTGTCACGTGGCAAATATTGGTCATTCTTTCCTTTTTAAAAAGTAGAAAATGTATTTAATAGTATACTATGCAAGAAGTTTGTTAAACGACACCTTAGACACTCGTTTGCTTTGACACGAGCAAACTAAATAAACGAGTATCCGAAGAAGTTTGTGAAACTGTCGCATACTACGTTTTTACAATACAGTATACTCAGTGACGTTAGATCTCACAAATGTCAAAATAAATACATTAGTATCTGCCGAAAATCACTAAGGTGACTCGCGGCAGTGTTTGACAAAGTTGACATCTAAAAGTGACGCTTTGTGCAAGCCTGAAGTGTATGAATGTGAACATTTATTTTTTCTAATATTTCATGCCCAATTTAGAAAAATGTCTTATTTAAATCGTTCAGTACATCATTTTTATGTTTACTTTAAAAGTGACGTCAACACACAAGCATAAAATTATTGCCTTTTAAAATTTGGATCACGCAGTATAAAAACGTAATGCTCGTTTGATAAAATATCGCAAAAACTTGAAAAATGTAACTCAACTTCCAGTTGAATCGTGAGTTATGAATTACGCGTATAATGACAGTGTCGGCGAGTTGTAGACATTTCGAGAGAGCAAATGTTAGCAAAAAAGTATTGAAGTAAATTCATATTTTGCGCGGTTAAACGCTACTGCTTTTTCCGTTTTTTCTAGGACAAAGCAAAAGACTACTTCGCGTGAAAAAAAAATTGCGTGCGAGTTGCGTGGTGGCAAACAGAAAAAAATAAAGAAAATCTGGCCATTTGGGCGCGTAAAATCCTAAAACAAAACACGGTCTGGTCGCGTCGCCTATCGCGCGTTATGGCGCAATAAAAACACTTGATTACGCTTTGGTCCACTTCGTTTCGATGTATGTGTGTGTGTGTTTGTGTATATTTCGCGTTCGACGTTCGAGTTCCGCTTTGTTTGGAAACGCGCTTTCGTCGATAAGAGCTCGCCATTTTTTTTTTCAAAATTTCGATCGCTTATCTCTCGAGTCGGTCGAGATAGCGATCCGCTCGACTCTTTTGTGTTCGTTGTAACGTTGCAACGTCGCAACGTCAGACGTCATCGTATGCGTTTTCGTCGAACACACCTCGTAGCACGCGTGGCGACAGTTTTTTACGGGTCTTCGTATGTTGACTGACTGATTTGACTGGTCCTCGTAAATAATCCATAATATTTCAATTTGAGAGTACGATAATTTGTAATCGCCCCGTATTATAGAGTATAAAACGTTAGAATATACAGGGTGTTTAGGAAAAAGATGCAAAGCTTATTACTTTCAATGTATTTTTACTCGTTTTCCTCAAGTAATTGTTGCAGTTTACAATATATCCATTTAAAATTTGAAAAGCGTATTACTTTTTTAGGGATATTTTCAGTAGTTTTGCTGTATTTCATATATACAGGACTATACGCGAAATACTTTTGGGAGTCCGTCTGCAATTTAGGGTGGATTTAGATTATCCTCCATATTTTTGTCTGTTTATTTCTAGTTTTTACACCTTCTAAACTAAAATATCGGATTTGAAGAACCTCCATTCAAATCAAAACGCCTCCACTTAAGTGCCCTTAAAGATTTCATCTATTCATGGTTTAGTCAGAATCAGAAATATTCAAATTACACGTTGTTTTGAGTATATAATTTGTTAAAAATAAACTGAGAAACTTTCTTTTATTGTTAAGGGTGGCCAGAGATCATCAACCTATTGCCGACAACTTTTTGGGAGTCCATACCATGGCATTTTGCAATGCAATGCAAACTGTTGAAAATATGCAGATCACACTAGAAACAGATAAAATTACCGTTTCCGGCTCACACTGTGAGACTATGCAGGCACATAATTTAGTAGCTTCAGTTTCGATTTTTAACGCTTTTAATTTCTTATCTCAATTGGAATTGGAGGTTTGGCTATTGGTGTCATTTCTAATTTTTTTGGACAATAGAGGACCGACCTGTGCTACATCATATTCCACGAAAACGAAATCGATCCAGAATGTGTTAATTTTGGTGCCGCCATTAACGATGGTTTTTAATAATTTTGTGCGCGGATCTAACGAAGATCGGTTTCGGTGGAGGGCGTGGCACCGAGAGACATACGGACGCGCCCGATTGCACCCTCGGCGACGCCTATGACGTAGTTTATCGCGCGATTTCGGTAAATTGCAACGTCGCTAGAGTCGCAAGTGTCTAATAACGCCCAAGGTCCGTGACGGTACTACGGGTGAGCGGCGCGGCGCGGGGACCAGCTAGAAACCAATTTGGTCGCTAGCTTTCACCTTGACGAAGAACCAAGCGCGCGGCAATGATCCGAATGGGATTTTGGCCGCATCTCGGATTTTAAATTGCCGCCTTTGGGCTGTGCTGCCTCGCGAGAGTGCCTTAAAAAACCGCGACTCACGTCCCTGAAACGTTTATAACAAAAAAAAACGCGCCAGCTCGCTTAACAATAATACTCTGGCGTGTTAAGGTCGCAGATTCGTCTATGTCCGTTTTGGTACAGCGAGACGTCGATTATCTCGACGTCCGCTAACATCTCGGAATGAAACTTAAAAAGTTCTTCTTTATATGCCGGCAACTCTAATTTCATTTGAGT